GACACTGTACACATGTCCAATTGACTGTGACAGATTTGTCACACTGCTATGTGAAGTCTTCTCGCCACAAGCGGAAGAAGCAGCCTAGCTTGGTCTCTCTCGACCAACATCTGGTCTTATGGAGCACAAATATACATTAATTATATCGTTCCACGGTATCCTTTTATGGAAACCGTGCAAGAGTGTGTTGGAGGTTAGAACCTAACTACAAATTAGTCGTTTAACCCAATCTAGTTATAGGGATATCTATATCTATTCTCTACTTACATACATGGGGAGTTTAATGACCTATATGGTCACCCCTTCACTATATCCTTTGAAGTTGAATCAATCCCAGAAATACATGGAGAAAATCACTTCTTGGAAATAGCTTAACAGTAAAAACAGTATTTTACCTTACTAAGCTAAGTGTTACTAGCAACCGAACACCCCTGTGTTTCCGGAAAACATTCCCAAACATGCCTCCTCTAACTGCCAGTACTAATATGGACTGGCCTGAGCAGCTCAAATCAGTCCCTAGTTACCGGTTGGCTCTCTTTGCCGCCAGCCTGGCTCTGAGAGCATGGTGCCCCCCCCTGACAGTAACAAATAAGTGCACCGGAGAATTCAAAAATGAACCACTCATGGCCTGTTGTTGCTGCCATGGTGGCAGGGTAGTGCTGCTGCATCATAGTGTCTTTATTGGATAATTAACCAAGCTTTCTTGCTGTCATCCATAGTATTAGTAGAAGATGAGTGGTCTTCCTGATCTTGCCAGAGCTAGGGAAGAAAACGCTGCTGCTAGCGAGATAACGGATAGTATCCCCCAAATTCGGTTGATGAAATGGCGACACCAATCAATTGGAGGGGATACGATGGCTGATGACAATCCCACCAGCCAGAGCTGAAGTGTCGGTGGCAGGGGCTCAATGCAAATTCAAACCCGAAGTAGTCAGTAAGAAGTCTGTGCTTCAGGAAAAGCCAAAAAGATGGTCTGATTTGTTACGATTGGCATGAGACAGGCAGATTATCTTTACCAATGGTCACGGGCGGATTTCTGGGTTTCCATTTGGCCTCGGATGCACTTCTTCTTGTGAATCGATAGTCTCGAATAGGGAACCATGGGATAGTCAAATTGGCTTGCAGCTGTACGAACACGCGGAAACGTGGCAGATATTCCAAAACTAGCAGACCTGTTATGACAAGGAACTACGGTGCAATTACTTCCAGTGGCTTATGGAAGAATGTGGTGGCTGCAAATAAGTCATGGCTAAAGCAAATACCTTTCTCAATACTAATATAAATGCGAGCATTACTGCCGCTAGTCGAAGCTGGGTTTGCTGGTATTCTGTGAGCAGATCAAAGTTGGCGAGTCACTGTCAATCCAGAACTCTTGCAAAGCAGTACAAAGTCAAGCTGCATCCAGGGTTCTTAACAATTGTGAGGATATACACGGTCAGCTACAGCAATGGGTATCCTTGGACCAGATACGAGAGATGGCACTGTCAGCATTCAATCCTAAGGCCGGTGGTCCAGTATCTAAGCTGAAACCCAGCAATGCGATCTACTTTATGTGCCACTATCACACAATGAGTGCCACTAACCGAAGAAGTGAAGAGTTTGTTGGAGCAAAGAATGATTCAACGAGCCTACAAGTTCATGGAAGCTATTGGTACATCCGGTATTGGAGCATCTCAGATTGTGACTAACAAGGCAAAGCACAACAAAGTCGGGTGGCTAGAGTATACTGTAGCCATCCCCCACAGAGATCCATTGAGAGATTCCAGCAGCTGGCATGGTATCCTTTTTCTCTGGCAGCTGATAGTGGAGAAAAGGAGACTGCCTGATTTGTCTGGCAATAACTAAAAAGCTATCTTTGATGTATTAACGTATCCATCATCAGAGGACACAGACAAGACTATCTCATCTCGACAAGTTGCTGCCAACTTCGGAAGCTTCTACTCGGAAGCTGACGTGATATGTGCCAAGGTCACACATCAGCCACGTTTCCAATCGATCCAGCAAATGGATATGCTTGGCATTCCAGAACCTGTACAGTGTCGAATGACTGGGCACAAAGGGAAGGGTCAAACTGTCCATCAAAGAAGCTATGCCAACAACCCCCCCACTGCTGGTATCGTCCAAAGGGCCGGTGGTGACCACCACTACCCTCAACAGTACAGTACTACTCCATTCCAGCTTACAGCGCAAGAAAAGGTGTGGGTCAATGAGATCCGATGTACTCTTATTCCAGAGATCGAAGAGTGGTACAAAACAATCTGCCAGGATTTCAACTCGGCTACTTCAGCAGCTGAGAGGACATCGAAGCGGTTGTACACCAAAAAAGGAATGGTGGCTTCTATTCGATGGGATGTAGAAAGCTGTATCGTGATGCTAGCTACACCGGAGCTGCACCCAAGAACCTTTAAACTACTGCCCAACTCCAACCTGAGTGTCTTTCAACGATACCGGAACGACAGATTTGCTGTTCTGTTAAACCACTCAGCATTCAATCTACCAGTATTCTCACTGCTGGAGCAGTCAATTCTCAGTCGACTCAAAGCCAAGGACACAATCAACTCCATGTTCAGTGTTGAGAATCCAGATAATGTATCCAACATGGAACAGTTGCTAGTCCAGTATGTCAGCCGTCCCCTTATGCAAATGCAACAGGAGCAACAGGCAGCTTTCTCAGAAATGCGACAAATGCAGAATCATTCCAGTTCCTTCGCAGCAGCCAGCAGGAGACCTACTACAGAGCAGGGAAGTGTTGCCATTACTCCTTCCCCCACATCTGCTGGCAAAAGAAACAGCAGCACCCTAGCTGATGGAGTAACTGCAAGGAAACGACGACCACCGGTGAAACAGCATGAGTCCATATCTCAAGAGCTCAGAAACCGGACAAGCAATGGTGAGACCAGGAAGCGTCAAGCTGAGATGGTTGTTCTATGTGACAATGACTGCAATACTTTCGAACAGCACTGGAAACACTACTGCAAGCACTATCGACAATTAGAAAAGGAAACCGGTGGTCGTTGGAGGCAGGATTTGGGTGGGCGCCAGAGGACACAGTGGTGGACACAGCGAAGTGGCATGTATCGATTGATGGAGCACTATCTTGAATCTGGACTTACAGAAGAGGAAGCATTGGAAAAGTGCTCTGCAATATACGATTCGATAGAGAAGGGAAAACGTGCTAAGAAGCCAAGGGTTAAGGCCATCGACAAAGCATTCAAAGCCAAGTTGGCGGAATTGGGAATCAAACCAAAGGGTAGGCCCAAAGGCAAACAATCCACCACTACTGCTAAGCAATGTACTGGAGCTGGAGCTGGATCGCCAGACACAAATGAACCTGACCAAACCACAAGGTCGAGAACAGCTGCTAGGAGAACTTCACCGGAAACCACTGAGGATCAATTTGGGGACGTATTTGGAGCAATTGTGGACCAGAATCCCTTCACTCGACAAATATTTGATGAGGCAATGCAGGAGTCAGAAACCCGGAGACAACAACGTTTAGAGGAAATTCAAACAGCAAAGGACCAGCAAAAAAGATACAATGATGAACAGAGGTGGCTATATGCCAACCCGAGAATTTTACCTCCGGTGTGCCAATACCCCCAGTCCACCCGGATATGGTACATTGCATTCACACCCCTGGAACCACTATGATGAGAACAGCCGGAAATCCAAACTGCACAAAGGGCCAATTATGATCAGCACTAGCCTAACTACAAATGAAAAGATGTACAGAATTTCTAGTAAATTGCGAAGGTAGTAATAATTATTACATATTCAAGAGACAATAAAATGTGGATCTCTGAAGCATTGTTTGCCCCCCTCTGTCGATCCCGTAAATTGTACTGGTATTTGAAAATCTGCATGAAAAGGGATACATCGTCCTGACCTAATCAACCAGGCATGGCGTGCATAGTACCATATTTGTCCCTTGCCGCGTTCCTCGAGAATTCCTTTCCTGCGACCACAGGAGTTCAAGCCATGTCATAGACACGCACTTTAGCCCACCAAACGCAGTGTTCAATGACGTGGCCTTTGATCCTGTATCCCGCGCAGTGAGCTGCCACTGGCTCAAAGTTCACTAGCTGACCAATCTGCAATACATACTCGATAACCAGGCACTGAAAATCAGACAGGTTGTGGTCTATTTCTTGCTGCCACTTATCTTTGTTCTGAAGATAACTGGGCCAGGCATTATTAAAATGCTGCCAGACTTTGACCTTCTCGCCATTATCCAAGCTGTCAGGGAATCCGTCAGACACACCGTCTACCTGCAAAGAGGTGATTACCAGTTGGTACTTCAGTCTGGAAATGTACTGGGCAATCATGCTATTCCGGTAATGTGGACGTGTCTGCATCCATTTGCGCTTCATGGCTGATGTCACTTTCCTACCAGCAATGTTCGGCCGACATGTCTCGCGTAACAGGCTTTGCCTTTTTTGGCTCCGTTTGCTTCCCAAACTTTCATATACCGTAGTGTTGGATTGATTGCTGTTCCTGTAGGCGCATGGCCCCAGGTTCGATTCACCTTGTGTTCCTCTTGCTAACCATGGTCGGTTTAGATGATCCTGATCAGTTTCAAAGACCTCGACTGGTCCTCCAGCTGAGCCACTGCGCCTGTATGTTGTTAGTTTCCCAACAGACAAATCTGTGATATCCCTTGATCTTTCGATCAGATCTTCATACATGGTTGCAACTGTATCCAAACCAGCATGGTTCCACTTACGGATTCCTTTGGAAGGATAGACCGGCCAGTAGGCCACCTGCATAATTCCAGTGTCGTCAGCCTGAAATACCAAGTTTTGGGGGAACTGGAAATCTTTGGCAAAGAAACCTCCAGTGATCGAATCAATTTGGTTTTAAAATTGTTGTTGTTGTAATCAGTGTCTATTTTAGACAATCTAATTTTAAGCTCATACGGCATCACCCGCTCCCAGCCCTTCAATTTGGAGGGATCGAATCCATTCCAGAAGGGCCGATTCACTTCCAGAGCTTTCTCCTATCTATTGCAATAACTTGTGCTGTTGGCAATTTTGAATACAAAAGTTGTTGGCTATTATGTCCAGTTGATTGCATTTGGATTCAAACCTTCGGTAAGTCTCCTCATTGGCTAATTGTGCCATAGTTTTGCCAGCAGCTGTGACAGTTGGTGGTCTGTCACTCACTGCAATAATTTTTGTTGGAGTAGTTGATGTCATGACTGCATCTTGCATGGCAGCCTGTTGTTCCAGATATCTCTTGACCCTCCTTCCAAAATTATTGGATGTAGTGGGCACCTGGTACTGCCTGACAAATGCCGCATACTGAAGGCTCGGATTCTTCTGGCTAGCAGCCAACCACTTGATAATGAAGGGATCAAGTATCTCATTGGATAATTTGGGAACAGATTTCCTTTGTTTCTTCTCCTCTGTGGCAGGATCATGGTGAACATCATGACTTGGGGATGGCTCGGTAAAGACTGGGATGGATGGAGGGAATGGAGATTGCGTTTGCTTTCCCATTCTGGAGATTCCCATTCTTGAGATTAATTTGGATTCGGAGCATGGTGGATGATGGCCTTCAACCGTGTTTTGTTTGGCTTGGATGATGTGCTGTTCAACAGCATGGACAGCATGCAAACCAACAGCACGGCTACAGGCAGATTTGCTGGCAATCCCAGTACTGCTGAATGCCGAGTCCTCCTTGGTTGAATCTTCCTTGATTTAGTACTGGCTTGTACAGGTACAAAAATCCAGAAAATTCAGTCTGTAGTGGTTCTGTGGGGTTTGTACTAGTAACCGGTGCATTAGCATTGTCATTGGTCTCTCCTATGGTCTCCATCATGCTTCCATGCTTTCTTTGGCGGCAAACAGAGTGGTAGCGGCGGATCGGCGGATTTGCTGCTGTGGCGAAATTTGGCCCTTTTGGATCCATTTGGCCACTTTGGGGCCACTGTGGGACTTTTTTCTATATTGGTGGTTATGCCCGGTAAGGCCCAGGTGAGGTCAGGGGTTCAATTTTGCGTTTTTGCTTTTTTAAAAACTATTTTGGACTTTGCTCTGAATACCAGATTAGATATAACAAGTTAAAAAGCCCTTAATGCTTGGTACATTGGTATCTTTTGGTGCCTGCTGTTGTTGTTTTGGGCTTCGGCAGCAGCAACCACCATGATATCAGCTCCCAATCCAGAGCCATGTTGCCAACTCACTACGAAGTATGTATTGAGAATGAAATACATAAAAAGGGACTAGTTTTAGACTACTAAAGATGTCTGTGCGTTGTGGCAAACCTAGAATACTACAGAAAGAGGTAGCTTTCATTTCAGGAGGTCAATTCTGAAGAAGTCGCCCTCTGTTCGGACAAGTCGGTCGTCATATTGCTCTCAGCTGCGACTTTGTCAGTTTCAGCTGTCCACTAGGGCCTACTATAAGGATACACTTGCACCTGGGTCCTTCCCTCACAGGAACCCCATTGTCCAGTAGCTTCAATCCACCAATTTCACAACCTGGTGTCATCATGGTAGACCAACGGTTCATTCCATCCAGCACAAACTTCAGCATATTGTCAATGTCAGGAATGATTGGTCTCACAAAAGGAACTGAATTCTTGAGAATACCCATCAATCTCCTACTGCCTTTGAAGTCAGTATTGGTCTCCTCATCCAGAGTGCACCTCCACAGTTACTGGCACACCGGTAGGGAACACCACTCCACTAGCTGTAGCTGGAATCAGATCTTTCACTGCTTGCCTGAATGATTGCTTCTCTTTACTTCCAGGATGGTACAGACCATACTTGCCCAACCTCATCCTCTTCTCAGGCAATGGCTTGCCTGGGACTTCAAAGCTGACCCTCACGGGCTCTTCTGTCAAGTCAACCACTTCCGGCATGGCTGCTTTGTTGTGATGGTTGCACAAACATGTTCAGTCTGTTTTGGGATAACACCAAACAGCCTTTGGAGATCTTCTGCAGCTACAGAGGAGCCATTCGGTGGGTTGGGATGACTTTTATTGTGCATTCAAAATGTTTGCTGGAAGAATGGGATAACTTACCCACAGCCACAACACTGCATGGCACTGCATTGCACTAGCAAAGGAAAGTTTGCCAGAAGGCTCTTCGGTAGCACTCAACTGCCTGGGAAGGAACAGTGTGGAACATCTCTGCTGACAGGTTTCCTGTTCTTTTCGGTGATGTTGGGGAATGCTGGGACTATCTATTTAAGGGGGGGTGGAGCATGCATAGACAGGCTATGCTGGCAGCATAAGTACAAGGTGCCGGTGCTCTATCAAGCTCCCTGGCTTGGTCCCTGACTTGGAGCCAAAGCATACCGGTTATATAATATCTACATGGTGAATACCTTAAAAACCAGAATGTCACCCCAACTGTTACTAGAGCCACCTTCTAACTTTTGGGACCGTTGCTTGTTGGGCTTGGATCTTTTGCAAAGATATGGTGACGTCAGCAAGGGCGCACACATTCCCTTCGAAGAAGAGCCGCGAAATCACTCAAAAGCGAAGCGGAAGCAAAGGAGAAACTGCCCTCGCGAGAATGAACGCAAACCGTTGGCATTCATTCTAGCGGACCAGGATTATGCATCATCAGGCAAACTCGCTCTGCTCCCCCCTGCTCAACTGGCTACCGAAAATAAAGGTTTTTGTCGGCTCCACCATAACTAGAAAGAAGGTTTCGGCCAAGGTGATGGAATCAACGGTACAAGTTTTGGTCAAAGGGGACGAAAACTCGTCCTTTGAGCTGGGCGAGTTTGCATGCTGTAGACTATATTCTGTGCTTGTACAGCCATATTCTACGTTCATTCAAGGACTATTTCTAAGCCTTTAAAAGGTTATGTGTGTAATGTACAATATACTTGCCTGGCGACATGATTCTTCTCTTGACAGTGTTCTTTCGACAAACGATGGATATATTCATAATGCATCGGCGTGCTTCGCCATCTGCTCTGTTTTGTACTTTCGTTGAAACTATTCAGTTGACTTTTGGAATGCGTTCGTTGACTTGGAAGTTCTACCGCACGGTACTGCAGGTTCATTCTCAGTCTATGCAGCTCGTCGCATTTGTTGACCATTGCGAGGCACTTCCCCATTCATTGATTCTTGTTTGTTGGCAGGGAATGTGTCATGATTCACACCGGGGATGACGGCGCCGCCTCCATTCGGCGTAGGGCGCGATAGTTGCATGTCGGAATCAGGGGCGGCATTGGAGCGCGCCTCGGGACCTGGTTTTCCAATCAGAAACTCCATCCAGCTATTCCATCGCTCCCGCTCTGTGCCCACCTCCAAGTTTTGCATAATGCTTGTGTCGTAGACCTGTTTGCGGTCTCGTTCGAGAATGTCAGAAACGGCCTTATCGCCTCCTAGCCATTCTCCCCTCAAAAAGCCGGTGGCCTCATCCAGCTTACCATCCGGTCGATCAAGAGGTTTGAGGTTCTCGTCTAGTCGGTATGCCAATGGCACAGCCCGAGGCAAACACAAATCGATAATGTCTTCTTTTGGAATGTCTTCCAATCTCATAATGAGAGACCTCAGGTTGTTCTCGTGTCCCACAACGAGAATAGTTTTTCCACTAGTAAGTGCCGGAGCGATTGTTTCATCCCAGTATCCACGGGATCGCTCCATGGTGCACTTTAGTGACTCTGCCAGAGGCAATTTATGTTTCATCTGTTGAAGAAGAAATCAAAGACACAGAAGCAAAGTCAGATATACTCAACGGAAACAGATCCACTTGTTGGCATAAGTATGCCTTGAACCATCACAGGGATAGTGCTGATATAACTTACCATTTGATAACGAGGATCTTTGGCTGGATGAAACATATGGTCGTCTTCCATACACGGCGGAGGCTCATCGTAGGATCGCCTCCATCGCTTCACTTGATCCTTTCCAAATTGCATGACAACTTCCTTCTTGTTCTTTCCCACCAAGTCACCGTAATGGCGCTCATTGAGTCTCCAATGCTTGTGTACTGGAATGTACTCTTGTCCCATTTCCATGAGTACGAGATTCGTTGTCCGAATCGATCGTCGTAGCAGTGACGTGTGTACTTCATCAAAGAGGATTCCACTCTTGGCCAGCATGTCTCCGGCAACTCGTGCTTCCAACACACCATCATCTGTCAAGGGTGTATCTGTCCAGCCAATAAAGCGATTATCACGATTCCAAGTGCTCTGCGGAGATGATGAGACGAGTGCCGTGTCAGAAACAGAACAAACAGTGGTACAAAAAACAGAACATTGACTTTGACATACCTGTCCATGTCTCAAGAAAACCAGTTGATAAGGAGTTTGGCAGTTAAGACTGGTAAAGTCTCGTTGTTGGGGGGATTCGAGGTGGTGACTGCGGTCTAAAGATGAAGAGCTGGAAAGAGCTGTGTACTGCTTGCTGCCAGAGGAATGGAGGCAACGCACAGCCGGTCGGATTCGCTGTGGAGACGGTGCCGCTTGGACCAACGCGGATAGATGAAGGGTAGCTCGACAGGGTATCATGGTCAACAATGCAATAGAGATCTCTGCAGTTGTGGTTTGTGGGAGCAACGCACTAGATAATCGGTGAGCGAGAAGAGTGAGAAACGACTGCCTCTTGTTTTTCTCAGAAGAAGGAAATGAGCCGAGGAACAAATAAATGCTGTCTTCGGCGTGGGGTTCTTGGATCTCATTATCTTATCCGTAGCCAATAAGGGGGATAGAATTTTGGTGTCACAGCTAAAGACAGCGACTCATCGCCTTCCACAGCTGTCCATGCATCCAGAAAGCTGCCAAAGAACAAAAAGCTACCAAGAACTGAAGATAGAAGAGCCTCTCTCCGTTGCTTTTAGTCAGTTTTGTGCCACGCACGACAAAGAAGCGGTGCGTAGGTGAACTCCAAAAAAGGATTCTACTTTGATGTTAAGATATACAATGAAGCCAACAAGTCAACGGGTTGCATCGAGCACCGCTGGGCCAGGGCAGTAGATAGTACATGTACATGTAACAAGATAGCTGGCAGTCCTCCTTCTATGATAGTATTCTCAGCTCAATTGGGTAACCATTTTGGCAGTCATGTCGTTTCTCAAGGCAGGACCTCATCCTTTCCTGTCTGTGGCGACATTTTATTGCTCCTTCCTTGGACAGCCAACTCCTTATTTGAAAATGCAATCAAGTAAGTTTTCATCGCTGCTGGAGGAAGATGCCGTGGAAATCTCAAGTGGCGAATAGCAATACTATCTTGTAAGAGAGGTAAAGTCATTGCATAGATGTCAATCAAGGCCACGTCAGGTCAACGACACGTTGGAGTATCAAAGAGGCGACTCAAAAGCTGGCATGTCCTTCTTGGACAAGACGTTCTCCACTCTAAGTTTTGTAGGACACGGGAGCAGGTCGAAATGCCTCTTTTCAGCCAGCCTTCACTTCTTCGCACCGGAAAGTATAGCATCGTTCCTCTCCTTGCAACTCTAGACAAAGGTGGCAATGGCAACATCCCATCAAGACTGGGCAGTTTGCTCGTACGTCAATCGAAAGCATTGGATGGGAGCCATACAAGTTTCAAGAGTCCTGTATCGAGCTCTGGATGTAGGTCAAATTTCGGGCGGAAGTAAAAAGTATCGGCAGCATCAAGAAATACCGGTAGCTACGGTGTGCTGTGTTGGCCTTGACACTGCCTCTTTTCCTTGGTCTTGACTCAGAGGCAGACCGTCGTTTACCTGCCTCTATGACAGAGTGCTGACAGAATATCTACATCGTACAGCTCGGAACAAGTTCTCGAGTCGAGTGACTTCTGGCACGTGTGCACTTAGGTTTTGGCTTCCCATGTCCTCAGTGCGATTTTCCTTCCCATACTACCAACGGGGTTTTGTGGCAAAAGCAATAGTTTTGAACCTGGAAATGAAAGCATCTAAGTTGCACGAGAAAAGGTCCCGCAAGTAGCCGCCCGTACGGAGACCTAGCTATAGCCGATTTCAATGTGCAGCTATCTATAGCAGTGCTCTGAAGCTTGCACTCTTACCGATCTCTAGTTAGTTAGAGGCAAGAGCCACTCAAAGAAGTTCCTAGTTTCAGTATTGAAGGCTACGTGATTCGACGCAGCGTTCGTTGCTTTGCTATCAGCTCTGTCGAGCGTGCTGGTCTTTCTCAAAGCGGATTGTGCCATCAACCGATCTTCACTCATTGCCGCCTGGGACTTGGACGATCCAGGCGCACTCCGGCTGGTTTGCAACTGGCGGTTGCCTTGACATTCGCGACGGTTGCCTTGAGGCACCATTGTATGGAATTGCTGAGGAGGCATGCCTGTGATGCTGGACTCCTTATGGATGAGAAACCGTTGCACCAGAACCTTGCTGACCTCCTCCAAAGGCAATCGGATAGTTGCCTCTCACTCCTGCTGGTATGCGTTCTTGCCATTCATTGTTGGCTATGCTTTCTGTGACTTGACGGACTCCTTTGGTTGCTTTGTTGGCTGCCTTGTCGCACACCACTTCAGCAGCCAGCTTACCGCTCAGCACGGCTCCCTCCATGGAACCCAGGTACTTTTGAATGGCAAAATCACCCGCCATTACAAAGTTGTCGATTGGTGATTCCTGACTGGGTCGGAACTTTCCACGCCCTGGAGTAGCCGCATAGACGCTTCGAGGGACACGTACAACTGTGCTCTTCGTGACTTTGGCGCCGCCATCCATGGCACCGGGACCAATCTCGGTGGGGAACAGTCTCGCTAGCTCTTTGACGGTTGCATCAATGATTTCTTCGTCACTTGCAGCAATCCAATTCTTTTCGGACCCTGCTACGGGAGAGCATGGAGCAAAGACCAACTCCAGCATGGATGCCTTGTCGGAGGCATATTCTTCGCAGCAGACTGACATGTCGGCGTAAACACTTAGCAGGGGACTCCTGGAAAAGCAAAGTCCATCCAAGGCTTTTAGCTTGCGATCAAACCAAAGCTGAATGTTGACGACGGGGATCCCTTCAAGTTCGTCCAATTGTCGAAAGTACGGCATTGTGGACCAACTTGAGGGAATCAATCGTTTCACGACATCCACGGGCATCGCTGAGACATACATGTCCGCTGTAATGGTGCTCCCGTCGGCACACAGCAAACCCTTGACTGAATTGTCCGCATTCAAATCAATCGACGCAATGGGTTTCCCCATTTGAACTTGTCCACCTGTCTTCTCAATGTGATCTACAATTGGTTGACAGAGTCGATCTGGCTGATTCCCATCCAAGAATGCTGTCTGAGATCCATCTGAAGATCACGCTTTATTAGGGAAAACCAAAACCCAACAAATACCGTGACAAGATTCCTGCATTAGTGAGCACCTTTGCTTACTTACCTGCTTCGTTGATGAACCTATTCATTGCGGTCAAAATGACCGACATGCTTAGTCGATCCGGGTCAATAAAGTCCAATGCCTTGCCCATGGCAATGAAAATCTCTTGGTTGATTCGTTCTGGCATTCCGTACTTTTGCATGAATTGCAAGACTGACAGTTCGTCTTGAGCATCTATAAAAGATTGCCCCTCCAACAGCATGGGTAGCAATCCAGGAACCATGCGAATTTTTTCCGTCAAAGTGAGCATTTCCGTATTGGTCAAGATGGCGGCTGCCATATTCAAGGGTGCAGGGACTCCGGGTGGAAATTCAAAGGATGTGAATTGACCTGGCTTGTCGGCCATGGCAAATGTCATTCGATGAGGTTTCCATTGTAATCGATCTTCAATATCCAGTTCTTCAAACAGATTCATCATGTTGGGATAGGCTCCAAAGAAGATGTGCAATCCCGTCTCGATCCAATCCCCATCTTCATCTTGCCAGGCCGAGACTTTTCCACCCAGCACATTTCGTGCTTCATAGACAATGGGCTTGTGACCGGCATCGCTCAAGTACTTGGCACATGCGAGACCCGAGAGGCCACCGCCGATAATGGCAACAGTTTTTTGCTGCTCCTCTGTCGCTGGATTTTGTCGAAATTTCTCCGAAAGAGCCGATGCTTCTTTGTAGTTTTCCGTGAGTTTGATTCTGGCTGGAGTGGGCAGACGGGAGGTGGACGATAACGCCAAAGCACTCGTGAGGTATGTTAGTAGCAAAGCGATAACTCCATAGAGAACTGTAGGCGGTGGCATGGTGTGCGAGGTTCTGGATAAGGGATGTGTGTTGTCAAGGTCGTCCTCCTCAACATTTACAACAACAAAAAATGTTGTCCCTGATGGTCGTTGAGATCGAGGTGTGGAAGGGACAGAATCTTTGGTGTCAATCATCAACACTGACGTCAGTGTTTAGTCCTGGGAATTCGTGACTTCACGCCACCCGACACATCTCAATTGCAACGGCTCTCACTTTCCAACCGATTTTGAATTCTTCGGGTTTTCGACGAAGGGCAGCTTCGAGTGCATCTATCTTTAGAAAAATCTCATCAACAGTTTCACCATTTTCGGAGCCATGAACGACGACAAGGAAAACAAAATGGATGGAAGATCGGTCGGTGATGGGCAGTCACCTTCTCGCAGGAGATCGGACGCTAGTAGTTTCAGCTTTCGAAACATTCCTCCCAACACCCCTCTTCGCAACACTCCGCTCAAGGATGTTTTGGCCAGTGCAAGGAAGAAAAGCCATCCAACACCCAGCATTGACTTTCACAACAACAATATATCACAGCACCAGCAAACAAATACAAATGATCTCTCGACTTCCACCACGGATTCTTCCTATGATGGATGCCTGAAGGATCTCATGGTTGGATTGGACACTAGTTCAGCAAACGACACGTCCCACTCGTCGTCATCCGTTAGCAGCGGCCTCATGAACCGAACCGTCCTCAGTGACACCACCGAGGTTACTGCTTCCATCTTTGTCAGGGCAGCGAGCTCCAAGCAGTGTTTGCTGGACGTGACACGGTCCGAGAAAAAGCGAAAGCGGAAAGAAGAAGCCAAGGAAAAGCAACACCGAGCGCCGCTGGAAGAAATCCATTTGAATCTTAGTGGTGAAACTAGTCACAGCAATGTAGCTAACAAAACAACTGCAAATGACGATGACGCAATGGAAACAGATCATCAGAGTCAACAACAACAATCTTCGTTTCTCGAGCAACTGAAACACAAGGAGACATCATCCGACGACAACGCGAGAGAAGAAGACAAGGAAATCCAAACCAATGGACTACGGGCACCCTCTGGCTTGGCAACCACAACTCAGCCCAAAAATAAGGAGAACAATCCGGTCAATAATCCACCACGTAGTCGCCGCAGCTCGTTGTTGACGGGGTCTTCGCCGTTAGCCGCCGTCAACCCACGAATCCAGGCTTCACCCAACAGCATCCGGAAAATGACAGCGTCCCTGAAACGAAATCGTCTTCAACGTAGACTGGAACGAGACCGAAACATCCGAAAGAGGCTTTCCACGGGAGTAGCAAACAAAAAACCAGTTGTACCTGCTGGAAGAACTCCTGGTGGGTCCAGGTTCTCCATTGGAAGTGCCTTTGCAAAGGCAGGACGTGGGTCGATCGGAAGTCGGCGTTCATCATCTGGGGGAGAAAGTGCTGGAGAGCACACGGGTGAATTGTCTTGGAATCTCTCCAGCAAGCTAGCGCAGTCTCCATTGGAATCAGCTGATGAAAAGGAGGGACCTGACAATGGGAGTGAAAAGCCCTTTACATCACCAGAATTTTTGGTGGGTGGCGCAGCAAAGCCTGCGGTTGGAGGTCAAAATGGATACGAAGACACTACGGAGATTAACTTTGATTTCGACAAGTGGATCAGGGATCCAATTGAGAAACCGGCGGAATGTGATGTGGAAGCCTCGGTTCGTAATGGGACAAGTGCAGTCGCTCTTCGCAGGTTGTCAAAGACTGACAATAAGGATCGCAAGGATGGCGACGCTTCGATATCCCAGCAATACAGTGAGACTCAAAGCGTTGATAGCTCTACCAGAAAGCCTTTCACTCTCGTGGACTCAATGTCAAAGTCACTGGGATCGTCCGCAGCCGGTTGTGCAGCATCCATTCGGGACCCGTTCAGTAATCAAATGGATGATAAGAGTGGACGCAGCAGCAACAAGAATGGCTCGGAGGTCTCCTCGAAGCGGCGATCTACGTCGTCCACCAGTACTGGTTCCATTGGTCAGAAGGATCTTGCTCTTGACAACACCACAAAAGGATCTGCCGATTTTTCCAGCATCAAATCGGTTGTAGGCAGCAACAACAAAGATGATTGGGAACACAGCCAGGAGGAATCCAAACGCAGTTCTCCCCCGCGCGAAATTTCGGTTGCTATGGGCTCCCAAGAGACCACTCCACGAGAATTAAATGGGATGCAGTCGCCCACGAGCACAACAGAAGCAGCAGCCCACCGTGCACCTGGCTCTTCTTCAAAGATTACGCCTACAAGATTGAAGAAAAGACCACGTCGAATCGCAAATCCCGATGCGATCACCTCTCCGGCGCACAATACGCGGGGTGCCGTCAAGAAAAGAGCCCTGGTGGAGGGAGACCAAACGAATGTCCCCGATGCGTCCCCTGCAACGGGAAACAATCAAACGCAACTCGTATTTGACCAAAACGTCGACTCTTCTGCCACCAAGGAACAGCGGAACGGAAGGGAATCCCTGGCTCCAAGTGTCACTACCAGGGCAAGTCGTCGGAGTTCAGCCACCTCGGATTATCCAAACATCAACGATATCCTCGGCTCGACGTTTGGCGATACCGATGATGATGACGATGGTATGACAGTCGACTTTTCCATAGGCGATCTGCTTGGACGAGGAGACGAGGGCTCTCGGCGATCCAGTATCGGCGTAACAAATCGACGGAGCTCCACTTTCCGAGCTTCTCTTTCCAGCCTTCCCGAAAATGGGCCTGGGCTTGATGTCGCGAGCATTGGAGGCAAATCAGGTCTTGAAGAGGCAGGAATCCTTGCAAAGCAGAAACACCGAAGATCCAATCGACGCAAAAGTTCAGCCTTCCTGCTTCCCAGCATGGTAGTGGAGGAGAACGATACACCTAAGGACACGGCTCTGTTGAACGAGCACGAAGCTCCGGACAAGCCACAAGAGAAAAGACCCGATGCCGCAAAGCCAGTCAACTCGAGATCCCCTGGGCAGAATCGTACTCGTCGACATTTAGGTACGGCTTCAATCGATTCGCCGGCTCGGCATACCAGAAGTGCGGGCAGATCATTGGTTGAAGGGCTTGCCATGTCACCCGCATCAAAACGTGGGAGCGAACCTCGCACTCAAGGTCCATCAGGGAGCAGCAAGGAAAAGGTCGTTTTATCTCCTCCCAAGATCTATTTCGAAATGAATGAAGACACCGTCTCCACTGCAGCTCTATTGGCGCAAGCAAACCCCAACTTCAAACCTAGAACTTCATCGATTGCTACTGCAGCTCTATTGGCGCAAGCAAACCCCAACTTCAAACCTAGAACTTCATCGATTGCTACTGCTGAGATCCTTGGCTTGCCGATTGGTCGCAACAATGCGGGGAACAGAGATAGCTTATCCACCTCCGATGACATCCTTGAATCTGAGAAGTCCCGAGACGGCTCAGAAACAACAGAGAAGAGCATTGCCAATAGCATCAAATCTGGGAGCTCGGGGTCCAGCAGTGATACCACTTCAACAGTCCCAGATATCAATGCACTTCTTGGCTCGCCTTCAAGCGAAAGCAAAGGTGGCGAGCATACTGAACACAGCAACAAATCTGGAAGTTCGGGTTCCAGTAGTGATACCACTTCAACAATCCCAGATATCAATGCAATTCTTGCAAGTAAAAGAAAGGTTGGGGCGAGAGACAGTATAAGTGCAGCCGGTTCAGGAGCAGATCAGGAGCATACTCATGACAGCAACAAATCTGGCAGCTCGGGTTCCACCACTTCAACAATCCCAGATATCGATGCAATTCTTGGTTTACCTTCAGGGACAAGTCAGGATAGGCAGAGAGACAGTATATCTACAGATAGCTCAGGAGCAGATCAGGAGCATACTGAACACAGCAACAAATCTGGCAGCTCAGGTTCCAGCAGTGATGCCACTGCAACAGCCCCAGATATTAAGGAGCTCCTTGCATCTTTCTCGAGTGAAGGTGACCAAGAGAGAATGAACGAAAGCGATTCCACTATTGACCCATCACGACAGGATTCTGAAGATCATCAATCGGAAACAAGCTTCACCAGCAGCAAATCGAGCACTTCAGTGGTCAGCACTTCATCGCGGGATACGAAACGGCAAAGAATGGCATGTTCCCATCAGGCTAGAAGTGACGCAAAGCGCCAGCGACTCACGAATGGTGTTGTTGAAGGTCTTGAAACGCCTTCTAAAAGTGACACATTGCCCCAAGATGGCAACGCAGCCTCTTTAGCTGCAGTGGAGGCCTCGGCAAAGGAGAGAACGGCAGCTACCAGCGGGGCTACGACACATGATGCCTCCCCAGGAAGCGATAGTAACGAACTGGAAACGTCGTTTGATTGGGATGGCGGTAAGCACAAATCAAAATCAACTGCCAATGTTGGTCGGCGCAGCAGTATTCTCGCTTCAGCTCTGAAACGATCAAGGAGTCCAGGCATCCGGAGGGATTCACAAGAGCATTCTGTCAGAAAGAGTGTAGGCTTCAAATCACCATCAGCGGCAGAATACGACGTGGGCAGCATGTCTCGAAGCCTAACACCAATGCCCAAGAGCCAAGTGAAGGCACTGTTTCAGATACCAGGCTCTGACGCAGCAACTAACGACACTAGTGGCTCGGATATGTCCCTGTCGTCGTCATCAAGCGATCCGGATCCAGCATCACCCCGAGATATCAACCCAGCAATTGGCGGCAACAGCGAGACGTCTTTGTCTTCAACTTCGAGCTCTGAACCTTCCCACGAGAATTACGATGAGGAAACGGTCACGCTGGAGATGAACTTGGATGAACTAATGAACAAAGTTGAAACCGAGATATCTACTGGCCATGGCCAGCAACAAGAGCTAGAAGTGGACTCTTCGCAAGATTCTCTTTCGTTCAACAATGAAGGGAATGGTGGTGGCAATCAGGAGGAGGCGACAATTGAGCTGGAAACAAGTCTTCGCGACATGTTTGCAAACACGGCCAATGATATTGACAGCGGAGGCTCTGATTCCATGTCCCTTGAAGCGACAAACAAAGAGGAAACAGAGCTGCAAGATGATTCGTCTCCGAATTTGATAGCCCGGCGAGGAAACGATGAAGAAACCACCATAGAGCTGGAGTCGGATGTCGACGAGCTGTGGAATGCCAACGCCGAGGCCATGCCATTCGGGGATGTCTCTGCAATCCCATTGAGCTCTCCAGGCGATGAAAGCGGTTCTCCTCAGTCGCAGTCGCGGTCACAGTCATCGCTTTCGTTCAGCAAAGAAGAGCTCGGAGATACTTCGTCGTCGACTGCTGGTCGATCCGAGGATGAAGGCACAGTTCCACTCGAGAACAACGTGAGCGAACTTTTTGCAAAAGCTATGATGCAAGAGTCTGCCGACGAGAGTCGTAGCGTTGACATGGACCGGAGGCAATCGTTCACGGCGAAGTTGGAAGATAACCTGGATATGGTATTGGATCCAATTCCGGCAGTCGGCGCTGACAACACATCGACTAACCACAACTTGTCATCATCGCTTGCTTCTGATGACGAACAAACCGAATCCGAGTGCGATCAAGTTTCGATCTCTCAGTTATCAGCGGCTGCATCCAGTCGATCTGAGGAATCTCGAGAGTTCTCGAATGATTCGGGGGCTTCTAAGGATGCGTTTGACATGGACTGCAAAGAGCTCTTTGATCTGGGCTTTCCGAGAGGCATTGAAACGACGTCCCAATTTCCCGACATCGTAGCCGGACTCACAGCCAGCTCTTCATCTGCCTTACGAACCAACGAGTTTTCCGCTGTCTTGGATTCGATTTGCGGAGAGTTGGAGGGCAATATCGAAAACCTTGAAGACACAAACACCGCGTTCAAACGCATCGTTGACAGCAAACGTGACGTGTTCTTTGCTTTACAAGAACGACTGCGACAAAATGACGATGACTGCCGACATACTATAGAGCGGCTTGGTGCTGCAGTTCGCGCGAACTGCACTATGGAATGGAACAATTGGTTGGCAGTAGTCTTGGGATCTTTAAATGATCCCTTTGAGGAAGTCTTGGAGTCTCTGGGATACTCTACGAGCCAAACGACAAAACACCTCCACTTGGCACAAGAAGGCAAGGGAGAAATGATCGCTATAGCCGATTCCATGGCTCGCAGGGCGCGAAGGAAGAGTACCGGTCGGCGCAAGGTGCGTTTCGAGTTCGGATGCCAGGAAACACACAAAATCTACCCCAAACCCTCACATTGCTCTGTCTGTTTGCTAACTGCAGAAACAGTCCCGTGATGTTGAAGACGAAATTCGGCAACTGGAACAGCAAATTGCAGGCATCCAGACGGGAAAGGAAACCGCAAAGGTCCGAAACGAGAAGGCAAGCGCTTTGCACGTTGCACTGACCAAAAAGGCAAACCAAAAAGACCCAAAATCAATGCGAGATCAAAGTGCAAGAAGTCAGATTCTGTATACCACCATTCGAAATATTCATCGTGTTGAACTGACGGGGCGGCAGACTACGACACGTCAGATGTACAAGATAGCTGGCGTCTACCCAGAATCCAGTGCGTCTCTAACCTTTCATGTCAAGGAGGACAGGTCGAAGGTTGTGTGCCACGCAAAACTAGATTCAACTGCATTCCGACAGCGAGCAGGGGTCAAGGGTGTACTGTCAAGGTCAGCCAAATGCTATCTCAAAAAAAGCATTGGCGATCTTCTCAAACGTCTTACGACAGGTACCGGTAGCAATCAACTCAATTCGCCTGGAGAGATTGGCCCTTTCCTGATGGACCTGGATTGCCGAGTGGGACGACATGAGAGTACGGCAAGGGAAATATCTGCTCTGGAAAACCGCCAAGAAATGAAGTGGTTGTTTACCAATGGAAAAACTACGCTGGAAATGGTCGTATGTGGGTATCACGCGATGTTTGAGTTCAATCATCTGTACCCGTTCAAGAAGATGGCTTGTCGGTTTGATGTGCTTGGCAAGGGCGAACAAGCTCAAGCAAAGGCTCTGCAACGACACTGGGACAAACATGTGGAGCCCGGTCCTCAATACCTCACACGGCTGTACGATTGCATGATTGCGTACTTGCAACCACCCAAACAGTTTTAAAACATCGTAATGTACTTTCCTTTATGACGTACCCTACTACCTGGAACCTGGAGCTCTACCTGGTAGTGTGACTACCCAAAGGTCGTACTAGTACCAGGAAGCTCGTGGGTGATTCCTCCATTCATGCTATCGTACGTTGCCGCACCGTACCGGTATCAGGTACCGGTACGATGTGGGCCACCACTATCCATGGTGCACAAATAAATAATGACAGCCTCGAACGGATCCCAAGGCCAAAAAGAGGTCGTTTTCCTACAACCAAAAGAAGGATTGATTCGATTCGATTCGATTCGTCTGGCGACACTGTCAAAACGACACCAGCTCGTTCTCGCAGTCGGGACAGACGGTGTGTCGGAGGTCGGTCTGGTACGGTACGGTACGTACGGTACGTGTTATGAGCCCGACCCAAAACCAAAACCAACACAGAAAACAATCACTCACACTCTCTTCTCGTCACCCACACCTCCAGTATTAGACCATAACACTGCAACGTTTGTCAGCTGCTGCACACAGGAACAGACAATGGATCCGCCCGCAAACGACCATACTAGCAGCGATAACAACGTACTCTTCCAAAGTCTACAAAAGCGGCTGAATCAGCTCGAAATATGGCGAGAAATTGCGGTTCGGCCGACCCAAGAAGAATGCCACCAGCAGGACTGGGATCTCTGGGAAAGTCCAACGGATGACCTGGTGAAGCTGTCTATGCGATGCATCTCGGTGCGTGCGGAGATGAATGCCAACCTACCGGTGCTCGTGGATCCCCAAGATGATAACCTTTGTTCTGCACCGAGCACGATTCCCGGAGACTCTGGATTGGGTTTATTCTTGAAGCCCCTGGACGGAAAACCCCTTCGCCAAGGCGATCGGTTATGTTATTACTATGGCCACATTCACAACTTTCAGTCGGCCAAACTGCTGGAAGATAGATCATATCTTCTGGGGCTCCATGGAGATCTGATGGTGGACGCAGGTCCAGCTTGCTTGCGTCATATTCACGCTCGCTTCATCAACGACCCATTGAATGAAGCCTATGTGAATTGCCAATTTATACCGGACAAAGAAGACATGCTGGCCCGTGCCGCCGTGGTCAGTACCAGGGAGATCCAACCGGAGGAAGAATTATTCGTGGCGTACGGGGATGCCTACTGGTCCCAACAGACCTCCGCGGGTACGGTGATGCCCACGGTTGTGCCCCCTAGCATAAATCAGGGCTGAAAAGCAAAGACTCGCCCATGGACTTTAATAAAAGTGTAGTCTAATATTAGTTTTTACTTATTTGGATTACGAGATGAAGAAAAATAGACGGTCCTGTTCAAGCTTGAATGATTTTGCCGGATTTGGAACATAAAGGAACCCTTTATTTTGGCGCTTCCACTTGTTTTCAAGTTTTTTAAAGACTGTACCGGTAGGGCGCAGGCTTCTTCTTACCAGGAAAGTTCCCCAACAACTGAGTTTTTGCGATACTCTTTAATTAAACAGCTTGATTGTTGAATAAATCCAACAAGTGTTGAAAAAGTGTTAATTAAAGTGTTGAAGAGCTGTTGATTTAATGTTGACTCCGTTTCAACAACTGTTGAATTGTTGAATTTACTGTTGCATTTTTGTACACTATTTTCAACACTTTCACTGTAACTATCTACTAATGGATTCAACATCTGTTGAATTCAGTGTTAAACAGTATTCAACCTGTTGAAAAAGTATTAAAAAAGTGTTTAAATAAGTGTTGAACAACTGTTTAACAAAAGTCAACACTTTTGAACTCAAATTCAACACTTTTACAGATCCTTTCAGAGATTCCAGCTTTTGCGGGACTTTCCAGTACCGGTGCTCTCATACCGGTACCTGGTACGGTACCGGTGCTCTTCATAACCCGTCGTACCAGGTATGACATACTACCAGTAGGCAGTGGCAATGGCCATCGTTGCTTGTTTTGGTTCAGCCAAAAAGGAGGATTGGGCACCTTTGATGCATGGACGACAGCTGGCTGCCTGCACAGGTTGAAAGACAGGTATTTCGTACAGGTAACATGTTTTGGCGAAATGGATGTAGACACTCATTTACATCTCCGTTGACCCCGCAAAGCCAAGCCCTTCGGTCCTCGTTGGTCCTGAGTTAGTTTATTTATGCATATCTCCCCTGATCCGCCGAACCTGGTCCTGCAAATCCACTTTCTTTGCTCAAGCCTGGTCCTCAAAGGGTTCTGTAGATAACCTCCCTTCTCTACTCTAACCCCCCTTTCGACTGTTGTATCTTCTGATTTTGGAGCTTTCACTAATGGAGAAGAACCACACATGCCGGTACTTAGTACACACCCTTTGGGCTCGGGCTGTTCATTCTATTTATTTATTTATTTATAAAATCATGCAGATTGGATGGCCTGATTATTGCACAAGCCGTGCTTTCCTTTGATAACAGGGTTTTATCAATCAACTACAACGATTTTGGAAAAATAATGCTGTTGGAGTGTTGGCCAATGACTCAGAAAGCAAGGCAATTTGATCGAGTTTGTTGGGAGGATTTTCAGCAGCGGTACTGTGCAGTAGATGATGCCTTTCTCTGGCGATTGTCCCGAAATTGCACACCTTCCGAGTCTTGACTTTTCCTTCCCCAGATGATGAGATTGCTTGGCAGTCAAATAGTCAGAGTCTTTTATTATTGTTTCGTTTCGTTATTTAGTTCTTGCATTCCGAGGCTTTCTTTGCGGCGTCCAGGGCTCTCGCCTTGTCTCTGCACTGTTCCCAGGCTTCAATGTAGTCACGACATGCCTTTTGCTGCAGATTGTTTCGATTCAGACAATACTGAATTGCACAGGCCTGTTTTCTGCACTTTATCTGTTCGGGCGGCAGCTCTGCAGTGCTCTGCTTGGCCATGATGGCGGCTGTTGTCGTGTTGTAGTCAGGGATTGTGATAGTGGGAAAAGTTTCCGGAATAAGAATAAAAATTCATATGCCTCCTGGCTCGTCTCCGTTTCCATAAATCTTTTATTACCAACACCTAGTATTCGCGCGCTCCGCGCGCTCATCCCTTTCTCTGCTTCGCCCCGAAACAGATCCCTCATTCATGCGAAAAATGTGAAGAACGCCTTCGCCCCGAAACAGATCCCTCATTCATGCGAAAAATGTGAAGAACGCAAGGCGACTTTCATGTGCATGTACATGCGTTGACTGTATCCCGTCAATACAATACTAGTCGAATACGTAGACTTCTACAGAGGCCTCTAAGTAATGCACGCCGGGTATAATTCAAACCTCCACTCCCCATCGGTACCCTTACCCCTAAAAGCAAATCGTCTCCGGGAGACGAAATACTTTTTATTTCAGATTTCAGCCAGCTAGCTAGTGTACTACCGGTAGCCAGTTGAGTTGCTGATGGCTCTTGTCATCGCAGAAGCCAGCAAATGGGTCAAACATTGCACTTGACGAAGTGCTTCTACGGTATCTCCCTGCTACTGGTGCCGGTATCTCCTCCTCCACGCGTCAATAGAAGTTGAACCTCATCAGGGAATGAGCTCGGAAAACTGATGCCAACTTGGTTGGTAAGTGCGTGGCGAGTCCATTCCTCTTTTCCAAGAACGCATCGATTGAATCAGCCTCGACAGATGGGGTGAGTGAAAGAACAAGGTCATCCATCATCCACAACTCCGCTGCCGACCAACGTTCCATATTCCATCAATAGAGTTTTTGGGTGGAGAGCAGAGGTTTTGAGCCAGAAGTCTTGGACAGAGTTTTGCATTAGTTTTAGTTTGGAAGGAAAAGACGAGCATTGCTTTTGAGCCTTGTAGCTAAGAAGAAGCAAGGAGATAATGACAATGTGGAGATCAGCTCTCCTAGCCATATTTTTGGCTGGGCATGTTGCTTCCTTTGTGAACCATCCTATTGGTACTGGAGTGCGTCTCTTTGGGACTAGAGGGTACGTGGGAGCTCATCTTAATAGTTTCTGGGGTATCTGATGTGCCTGTTTTCTCACTTTCACACTTTTCTTCCTTGGTACTCACGTACTTGCTTTTCCTCAGACTCCAAACTAGGCAACTATCTTCGACATTTGAAAGAACAGAGACTTCGAATGGAAACAATAATGGCAGAGGTGGACCAAGAAATGACAACCGACAGAACCAGAACTACAATAGGCGACCCATCAGTTATTCAGTAGGGGACCCGGTGGCGGTGGTGGAGGTGCTCCAGCACTCAAACTGGAAAATCCACTAAAGTTACAGAGAATTGCGGCTGCTCCACCGAGCAATCCTCGAGGAGGAGATCAACGAGGAGGACCCAGGAATAATAACGCCAGGGGTGGTGGCGGCGGTGGTGGCAACCAGAGAGGCCCACGAAGAGACGGACCTCCTCGTCAAGTTGCCAGTATTGGAGATGGAGCCGCTCCGGGTCCGGGAGCAACAAGTGAGTCGAAGTATAATAACTACAACGACAACACTCGTGGTAGGTAGTAGCATCAGCACCCATGTCTGAGTTGAGTTGGTTTGGTATGGTTTGCATGAAACGAAAGAATGAATGAATGAACGTTTGAGTGACCGTGGTTTTTGAAAACGTCTCTCGATCGTATTGAAAAAAACAATCGAATCACAGACAATTTCCCTTATCATCCATCCATCCATCCATGAATCAATCAATCAACCCCTTGGCGTGTGAAATGCGCAAGGGGGGCTTTCTTGAAGCGATTTCCAAGGTTGATCAGGAACCCAGGTTACTGATCAATCTTTGTCCTCGTGGATCCTACCACAAACAGCGAGGCGAAAGGCGATACTATGCTCTACTGTACAAATCTATCTACCATGGATGAAGTCTGGAAAGGGAACGCACACACCAATCATCTTTGGTTGTTTGGAACTCGTATGTATGCATGAGCTGCCGGGATCAACTAACCTCTTTTGTTTCTTTGGCTTCTTTCCTTACTCGGTACATTAGACACTGCTGGCGGTGGGCCTGCCTCCAAGTTTGGACGAGATCGCAAACCAAAAAAGAAAGCGGGGCCAAACGAGGGAGACGGACGAAACAATAGGAAAACTTCACTTCGTATTGGCACTGGCCGAAAGGGTCGAGGTGCAGAGCTCAGCCGAAGGCGTGGTAGTCTCAAGAGACGTGATCGGTCCGCGGAAAAGGCAGCCCGAGCCGAAGCTGCAATAGAACGGAAAACTGTCAACCTGTCAGAGTACGTTGTCGTGTTCCTGTTCACTCGGTCAGGCAAAATCATCATGCATGCATATTTGCTCACCTCCTTTTACGTCTACGTGTTTGTTTATTTAGTGGCCCCATGACTGTGGCCGAGCTAGCCGAAGCCATCGATGAAAAGCCCGTTCCCGTTATCAAATTCTTGATGACTGACCTGGGTGTCATGGCATCCATGACACAAAGCTTGGACCCAGCTACCTGCATTGCTGTGGCGGAAGGTTTCGGCAAAATTGTCGGTGGATCTGAAGACGATGAGTTTGATGATGATGATGAGTAAGTCCGGCATGGTTATGGAGTAAACCAAAATGCCAGTTGATGATGATGATGACATCTCACATGATCCTGTACGAAATTCTTTTTGCAGCGAGTTTATGGAAGAGGACACAGCACTGGCTAGTGGCTTTGCCTTTGAAGAAGATGACGAGGAAGACTTGAAGCCTCGTGCCCCTGTAGTCACTATTATGGGCCATGTTGATCACGGCAAAACGTCCCTGTTGGATGCTATCCGTGACACACGCGTCACTGCGGGTGAAGCGGGAGGGATCACACAACATATTGCAGCATACCAGGTTGAGCACAACGATCAGAAGATTACATTTATTGATACTCCTGGTCACGCTGCGTTCACAGACATGCGTGAGCGTGGTGCCAACATTACAGACATGGTCATCTTGGTTGTGGCAGCCGATGATGGCGTCAAACAACAAACCGCTGATTCGATCGCATGTGCTCGTCAGGCGGGTGTCCCGTTGGTAGTCGCCATTAACAAGTGCGATTTGGAAACCGCTGATCCAACAAAAGTCATGACAGAATTGACTGGATACGACATTTTGACAGAAGAATTTGGTGGAGAGGTCCAAAGCTCCAAGATAAGTGCCAAGGAAAGAACGAATCTGGATGATCTACTCGACAAGATCATGATTCAAGCTGAAGTTCAGGATTTGAAGGCAAATCCCGACCGTGATGCCGAAGGTATCGTGATCGAGGCATTCCTCGAACGTGGCCTTGGAACGGTTGCCACAACACTGGTGAAGAAGGGCACACTGCAAGTCGGTGATATTTTCGTTGCCGGTGAAACATATGGTCGAGTACGTGCATTGATTTCTACCGGTGACGACAAGACACGTCTTGACGAAGTAGGACCAAGTACTCCTGTTCGGGTCGTTGGATTTGAAGGTGTCCCAGCTGCTGGAGACATTCTGGTTGTTGTACCAGACGAGCAAACTGCGAGAGACGTTGCTGAGAGTCGTCAAAGGTAAGTTATTTCTTTGTTTTGAATTTGCTTTTCCTTGGAGTGGTACCTGTGTTTTACTAACAATTGAGTTTGAAACAGAATCTCACGAGAGCGAGAGTCTACATCCTATCAGGAAGGCTTGATGAGTTCTGTTGCCATGGCCTTTGGTTCCAATAAAGAGCAAAGAGAAATGTGTGTTGTTGTCAAAGCAGATGTTCAAGGTTCAGCGGAGGCACTCACACGTGCCCTCCGAGAACTGAAACTGGAAAACGATGAAGCCGTGGTGACCATCAAAGTCCTCGTTAGTCAAACGGGTGAAGTCAGCAAGAGTGACATTGCGATTGCCAGTGTGACACCCGATACCACTGTAATTGCTTTTGGCGTGGCCGCGTCGTTCGCTGCCATGGAGGACGCTCGAGCAGCGGGCGTGCCAATTGAATACTACAATATTGTGTATGACGCCATCGAATCTGTAGAATCCCGTATGCAAGAAGTGCTGTCACCAACACCCGAGGGTGAGTACGTTGGCGCTGCAACGGTACAAGAAGTCTTCAACATTGGTGGAACTGGAAACATTGCAGGTAGTCGGTGTACCGATGGTTATCTTCGAAAGGGTGGCAACGTCCGAGTCATGCGCGGAGATAAGATTCTTATTGAGACCATGATCAAGACTTTGCGCAATTTCAAGGCGGAAACAGATACCATTGAATCTGGCAATGAATGTGGTATCGGCCTGGTGGATTTCGAGGACTTCCAGCCCGATGATGTCATCGAGTGCTACGTTGAGAAGTGAGAATATTGCTACAATCCACAGATGAAGTCGAATCGATGGACTCATGGACGGTCTGAGAACCGCCAAAGCATGCATACTACTGAACCCAAGGGCTATCCATAATACAGTAAAGCTGGGTTGTTTGTACCAATCTTACCGTACCGGTATCCAATGTGCGAGCAGTAGCGGTACCTTATCGATTGGGAGCAGACAGAAGGCACCATAAGGCCGATGATTCATTCTACCTTACTCATGTAATCCGCATCATTTCGTCACTGTCCGCGGAATCTTTTTCCTCATCTTCACCGTCTGAAGGAGGAATAATCGTCTAAACTGGGAATGAACAACTCCACTTCTCGATCTCTCGAGCACCGGACCCAATCAATATTCTGCATGTTTTCAACAGTGCAACGTTGCCGGCGAGAAGCTGAACAGGGGATCCCCTCTAATTTGCCACCAGTTTGCCCAAAGAAGTTTCCCTTTTCGTTCCAACAATCTCAAAAATGAGTAATAATTTCCGGCATCTGGCAACCCACCCAAACTTCTTGGGCAGTCTACTTCCACAGTTTTACTCCACGTTAAATTCGATTCCACGATTTGTTTCGATTCCACGCTCACATTGCTTTCAAGCCGATCAACGTCTCAAACAATCAACAAAGCTCCAAATCAATGAACTTAGCGTGCAAAAATTCAAAGCAAGCAACACAGAACAAGACAAGGGGGTCGATGCACTGTGTTTCGAGATGTCGGTGCCACCTTGGGATCGTTGCGACCATGTCGGTGCGCCTGCCTTTTACGTGGAGCGTGACGGTGGCGAGTTGGAAGTTGTGTTGGGTGGCGGAGAACGCTATCAAATCAAGTTCTTGTCGCTTTCGCGCCAGTGCAAGACGTACGCTCTACCAATTGCCTTCGAATGGTGGTACACCTGCAAGATACTGCGAGGTGCTCTGTCCAAGGTGACTCGTATCAGCGTCTTCTGGCCTTCAGAACCAAGCGATCATCTTTATTCTCCTCGGCAAATGAATATCATGACAGATGCTGAGGTTTTTACTCTCATAAGACTGTTCCCGGGCCTGACACACCTGGAACTGGATGGATTTGAGGACCTTCCCAAAACCATGCGATTGATCACTAGTAGATTGTGCCATAAATTGGAGTGCCTGAGGTTGGTAGGTTCGGGCGGGCCTTTCAAGCTTCGGAGGAAACTGATAGAGGCTCGCCCGCACCTTCGCGAACTGACTCTCCTCTGCCAAGTAACGCCGAACTTGCGCCAGCTTTTGCGAGCGGGCTGGTTGCCTGTCTTGGATGCGATCGGCATGAATCCAAAGCTGGCCAAGGTAGTGATTGTCAAACAAAAGTGGGCGACGGAGAGGACTCTCAGGTTTGGCCCACGCATATGCGATGCTTTGGACAAGCACTTGGGTGGAATCAAGCTGAGCGACATCAATCCAGGTAACGACCATTGGATCTATGCGCTGCTATCGCTTCAGGACCGCTTTGACTGCTTCCATTACTTTGCAAGTCAAATCCTCCCAACTGTCTGCGTCAATTTGGTAAACAATGGAGTAAAAAGATAGCCCATGTTTCTAGTCTGAGTTGTTGTAAGCGTCTCTCTACATGGTCAAAAAGTCGGATAGTTGCTTAGTTATTGGTTAGCCACTATCGGGAGCCCCCTTCAGCTGTGCTCTCCTCTGCTTTTTCCCAGGTCCGGAAAATGACAGCTCTGGCAACGAGCATCCCAGATCAATATGCATTTACACAAGGTGCAACAGGACAAGGCCGGACAGAAGCACTCCAGCCAGAAGTTTGCGACGTCGACTGGAAGAAGATACGTTCGTCGCATCAGCAGTGCCGCCGACTGCTTTCAGTTTCTGCGAATTAGTGCCGCCTCCTGCTTCCATTTTCTGCGATACTGAAGATCGAAGTCCTGGCTGTTCACCCAGTGGCTCTTCACGAACGGTTTCTGGTTCTTCAACAAAGTCTTCGGGTACAAACTTGTCAGCGGCATCGTCGTAAGTTGTGGAACCAGCAGTGCTAGAACGATCCGCCGCTGCTACAGTAGCATCCACTGGTGCGTCGGTGGGAGATGAGGTAGGAGGTTGCTTGTCCACTGTGGTATGGCAATTGTCGTAGAGACGGATCCAATCCACTTGCATCTCTGCTGGGAGTGGAGCTGTGACATCCTCGGGTTTACGTGAAGGGCATCCTCCAGACGAGCTTCCAGCAGCCGAAGAACTGGCCCCGGCGCTGCTACTGGAACCATAGCAAGCGCTGCTGCTGCTGCTTCCAGCGGCCGAAGAAGAGGTCCCACCGCTGGTAAAGCCTCCTCCAACCGCAATGTTGAGCAGGATGAAATGCGGTTTATGGAACACGCCACAAGTGGGGCAGTTGCCCTGATCGATATCCATTTCCCATACCCAGTTGTCATCGACATAGGTAGAAATGGAGTTGGGATTCCATTCCATTCGGTAGATATGAAAATCGTTGGTAAGGTTTGTGGGATGATCGTACGAACGCGCATATGTTGCATATTCCCCCTCAATGGCCCAATGCGCCGCACTGACCACTCTTCGGTTCACCTTTCCTTCGTTGATGGCCAAGCCCTGTCCCATCTCAAATATGTCGATTTCGCCCGCAGCAGGCCAACCTACTTGATAAAACTCCGACCCAAGAGTCCAAAGGGCCGGCCACAATCCAGCGTCTATGTCAGGAGCCTTGATGCGCGCCTCGAGAGTTCCATAGGTGAAGAGGAATTTGTCATCGGTCTTGATGCGCGCGGACGTGAAGGTGATGGCGGTGTCCTCCGCTTGTGTCTTGTTGCGCACAGCGATCTTGAGCCTATCATCTTGGACAACGACATTTTCAGCGGAACTTGTGTACGTCTGGAGTTCATGGTTCCCCCACCCGCCCCCACCCAAGTCGTAAGACCATATGTTAGGATCCGGCTCTCCTTTGTAGTTGAACTCCTCACCCCACAAAAGGACGTTGGAACAATCAGATGAACTTGGAGTTGATGGATTTGAAGGGTTGTTGTTTGGAGTTGGCGATACAGGTGGCCTAATGTTGGGCCCACCAGAAGATTCGGGGACTGGATTGGTGTTTGGAGATGGGGCAATGGGGGAGCTGGGTGAAGGATTGCTCCCGACTGGAGCTACCGTGTTAGTCGGCGCGACCACTGGTACATTGGTAGTAGGAGAGACTGCTGGGACAGGTGCCTTTGTTGGTGCAGGGTTGTTCAATGTTGGGGCAACGTTTGCAGTAGGGGAGGCCACTGGAGCTGTTGTAACTGGTGCTGTGGACACGGGAGACAACGTAGTTGGAGGTGGGTTTGTTGGTGCTTTCGTTGCTGTTGGAGTGTCGCCAGGAGTTGCAACTGGAGGACCATCAGGATTCGAGACGGGAGAATTGACTGGCGAGGTTGCGCTTGGAGGCCCTGGATTCGAGACAGGAGAATTGACCGGTGAAGTAGTAACGGGAGCATTATCGACGGGAACAGGTGTTGACGAAACTGGAGGCTTGGTTGTGACGACAGGTGCTGCCGTCGTTGGTGGCCTTGGGGTTGGTTTGACAGTGGGTCCTTTCGTTGGCAAGGGGGTGGTTGGAGGAGGGTTGGTTGGTGATGGAGATGGTGGAGATGTAGGAGGGCGGCTAGTAGGTGGAGATGTTGGAGGGCGGCTAGTAGGTGGTGATGTAGGAGGGCGGCTAGTCGGTGGAGATGTTGGAGGGCGGCTAGTCGGTGGAGGAAACGGAGCAAAAGTCGGCTGTGGGGCGGGCAGTTGTGGCGCGAAAGTGAAAGGAGCGAAAGTGAACCCGTAGGAATCTTTGTCCATCGCAATCTGGGGCGATGCACGAAGAAGCGATACATGTATGTGAGCTGGTTGCCGCAATCATGGTGGCATTGTGATGCGCCTGATATGCTTTCCTGCACTTACCTGTTGAAGTCCTCGCATCATGGTGAAGTTGCACCTTCTGTTGATTTCTCTCCTGCACTCTTGAAATAATGCTGAAATCGTATGACAATGCTGTTATGCTGGACTACTGATGGTACTAAAGTAGGGAAATCTGGTTCGTTGGAATATCAGAGCAAGGGAGCCACCACGTCCAAGATGCGCATCCCCCGGAACCTCAAAATTTTGGAACGGGACTAAGCTAACGTTCTGGCCTTTTTTCCTTCACGAGGTCATGTTTCGCACCAATGACGATGTCGAAACTCGAGGGTAGACGAGCTACATTTGCGCCTTGGTCCAATCATGGCACTTGTGAGGTATGCCCCATGTCGTTGCAGGACCGCAAGACGTAGGTGGATGCATTTCCGCCATGTCATTCATCCATCAATCGTCGTGTTTTCACAAGCTACCGGGACGCCACCGTAGCTACCGGTTTGTCAGGACGCCTACCAGCGCTGTAAGGTCTGCTTGTCGTGGCGGCGGCAGGAACATGTGAAAACTTTGGTGTGCAGACATACCGTAGCCCTTGGCATCGTTAGTGTACAGTACGGTACTCTATCTTACAATGACATGTTCCTGACAGGTCGAGGATTGACGAGAGAGGCCAGCATGGGTACGACTGTATTGATGAATGTCGATTCGATTCGATTCGATTCGATTCATCACTTCGAATAGTTTGATTGAATAGTTCGATTGATCAATCAAAGGGCAACTCTGCGTCTTGCTTTCCACGTGCTTTCTCAAAAGGCGCCATTTTCTTCTCTCAACGTTCACCGGGAGAGATCGAGTGGACCATTGTGGGAGAAGAAGGGCTGTCAAGAAGGGACACTTGTCAACCTCCAGCATTGTCCACGAAAGAAGAGGCAGCAAGAGTCAATCGAGCGACTTTGATCTTCCTCGCATCCTGGAAAAGAGAGGTTTCCTCTAGTCACATTTTCTTCGTTGTCGGTTGGAAACTCCACGCGGATCGCATCGCCTCATCTTTGTTTGTCCCAAGGTAGCTAGCTAGCAAGATGGTAAAGTACAAGCAGAATGCCCCTGATTTGGGCGACAATGTTCTCGTCAAGTACGGAAGATATGGTACTGAGTTTGCCGCTGCTCGTTTGGTTGTAACTGAAGAACAAAGGCCGGGCTCGGTTTTTATCCAATGGGTTGACCGTGGAGATCGAGCTTGGGTGGCTCAAGAGAGTGTGGAAAAGATGGAAGATCTGTCCAAGGGAGGACGTCGGAGTCGGCGAGGATCGAGGTCATCATCAGTCGCGCCAACAACATGGGTCAACCAGAAGAAGATCAAGAAAGAAGTCAAGAAAGAGCCCAAGGTCGAGTCCGCCGAAAAGAAACCACAGAAAAAGGCGGCAAAGGCAACAAATAATAATAGTGACAAGGACAAGAAGACAAAAGTCAAAGTAGAGTCGGTACCCAAGAAAACACAGAAAAAGAAGAAAGTATCGTCCAGGGGGAAGGCAAAAGACAAGGGCAATTCATCGTTGGGTTTAGAAGACACGGATGATGAAGCACCAAGAGAGCCCGTTGTCAAACGGACGAAGCTCAAGAAAACCACAGGCAAGAAAGGGTCGTCTGCCGGCAATGAATCATCAGCAGCTTCCAAAGAAACGGGATCAATTCTCAGCAACGAAACCGACAAGGACAATAGAAGCAGGTCGACCAGCGACAATCCACCGTTTAAAGACCGCGCAACAAAGCAGGAAGAATTGACTTCTACAGATGAGGGAGCGGGGAAAACGGCACATTCTTCGCAGGGCAAGTCAATACAGGGAAATGAAAAGAGACCGGGACGAACTGATGCTCTTGATGTGGAGGCGAGAGACAAATTGAATGATGGTCAGGAGGCAACAACAACCAGCAAATCGGGTTCCAACGGAGGCTCCTCTATGAAAGTTCCTCGGAAAGGCCAATCCAAGAGTACCTTGGAGAAAACTGATTCGGCCAAGGCTGGGCCGCCATTGGCTCAGCAGTCTCGACAGCAACTCACAGACGGCGGTGATCCAAAGCTTCCAAAGGAGACGCCAAAGCTCCCAAAGGAGTTGCCAAAGCTTCCAAAGGAGGTGCCACAATCTTCGGCTTCCCAACCTGCTGTTGCTGCAGAAAAACTTCAGAGGTCTTCCGTAGCTCCTCATCCCAATCGTACAGCAAACGCCTCAACGGCATCGGGAGCAGGCAACAAATCCTCCGCCACTGCTAGTGCTGGAGGTGACTCGCAGTCTGCAAAGAGCGCGAACACGGACGAGGAAGTTCTACAAACAAGGGTGCCAGGACGCGCAAAGCAACCAATGACGAACGTCTCCACTTGTAGTACAGCGTCGCAACAACACACCGCCAAGCCAAAGCCAAAAACGAAAATTATAGTTACGCTATCGGATGATAGCACTGACGAGGAGGAGGACGACGCTGGTGAAGCTTCAACGCGCGTCTCTCATTCAACTACCAACTCTTCCACTGTCAGGAACGCTCCTGTTCACATCGCGAAGGAGACAACAAAAGCAGTTCCAAGGGATCCAGCCTCAAAGAAGGCCAGCCAGAACAATTCCGCGGTACCCGCGAAAAGCCTTCCAACGACGGGGGACCAATCCACTTCCTCCTCTGATAGGAATGTCCTGCGACCAAAACCGCGCAAAGACCCGAATGTGGCGCATGGTAGGCCCGGGAAACAAAACAAGGCTCGTCCGGAGCAATTCACTGGCAGTCTCTCATCGGCGAGGACGCTGGAGCCTACTAGACCAAACCCTCGCAAAGCCGCGAGCGGACGGAAGGAACCCACCAAAACTACCTCCATGGTTTCGGCCGGGTCAGGGGCTTCTCAGGTGACTCACTACAGAACACTGACTTCAACGGCTTCAGAAGTAGCTGCTTGTTGCGACCTGCGAGTGCAAATTACTCGTTTCGAAGACGCCTTCATTCAGCTCCATGGACATCCTCCAAAAGGGGCTGCTGAACGTGCACCATTGGCTACAACCTATTCTCAGTACAGGGAGTTGAAGCGTGCCATTCGTGCTGATGCTGCCTGTCGCATTCAAGCACTATTTCGAGGCGCTCGACTTCGCTGGGACCTCATGAGAAGTGATGACTCCAAGATTAGCGACATTGTACGCCGCCGAGCTGGTCGAAAGGAATTCAGCGGCCAAACTGTTGCCTCGGAGAACGAATCAGGCACTATTCTCGAGGAATCCCATCGTGCTTCTCGCGCTGTCCAAACAACCGTTGGCATCAACCGGACCGCTGCAGTTGTTGCACCACCACGAGTAAGGACTAGTGTCGTCGTCGAAGAACGCAGGAAGGAATCTGTGATTGCAAGAGGAAACGACAAGCCCACAGCCCATGGGCGGGCTGCGGACAAGGCAAAATCGTCTGCGAATGCTACTGTCCGAGAGAGCAAAACCAGGGATAGAGAAAAGCCAAGAAAGGAGCCTGTGGTTGAGAACCGAGCAGCTAATGTTCCCAAGTTGAATGACGGCAACATCGCAACAAGGCAGGAACCTACTCTCTGCAAGCAGGAGTCGACCACATCAGTCACGGAAGCTCTTCTGGCTTCCGGAAGCACTGCAAAGTTGAAGGAACCGGCGTGGATTTCTCTTTCGGAAGGAGATTTAGAACCTGCTGCGGCGCAATCAGACCGCCGGCCACAGGAGCAGAATGCAGACAGTCGAGTGCAAAACCCATTGGCGGCTGCTGCAACACGGGCGCCACAGGCCAACGAAGCTCCTGCTACTTCTGCACAGATGAGCAAAAACAAGGCTGCTGATCCTGTCCCAAGTCTTCCTGCCCAAAAGCAGTCAACTCATGGAACCACGGCTGCCACAGCGCCTATCGCGCGGCCACCCACTGCAGGGCTGGTTCCACAGGCTCAGAACGCAGACAGTCGAGTGCAAAACCCATTGGTGGCTACTGAAACACGGACGCCACAGGCCAACGAAGCTCGTGCTACTCTGCAGAAACCACAGATGAGCAAAAGCAAGGCCACTGATCCTGTCCAAAGTCCACCTTCCCAAAAGCAGTCAACTCGCGGAACCGCTGCTGCCACAGAGCCTACCGGTATCGCACGGCCATCTCCTCCAAAGCAGCCAACTGCCGCAGCACCCACTGCAGGGCTGCTCCCCCAAAAGCGGACAATCGATGAAACCAAGTCGACAGTACGAGCTCCTGTTGCTTGTCCATCCACTCATAGGCATTCGGTTGATCTAGCCCGAGCTGCCACAGTTCCTGTCGCAAGGCCATCCCCTCCCAAGCAGATGAAGGCTATGGCACCGAAGCCGTCCACTTCAAAGCAGTCGACGGCCAATCCTGCAGCAACCATTGGGAAGCCTTCACAGCCGTCGATGGATACAGCCAAGGCTGCCGCACCAATAATTGTGAGGACGACCTCTCCACAGCAGTCGATTGCAAAGCCGTCCACTTCCAAATGGCCAACCAATGCAGCCAACGCTACAGCAGCTGCTACTACAGCTCTGCTGTCCCCAAAGAAGCGTCCTTTGCAAGTTGAGGACGCCGCAGATGCAGCTGACAAGGCATCCACTCCCGCAAAGAAACGTCTTCGCGAAGACGGCGGCGCAGAGACGCAAACGCGAAACACAGTTCCCTCGACCAACCAGGATCGCACATCAACCCAAAGGCAAGAGGGATCCACCCCTGTGCGACGCAGGAGGTTGGAGGAATCCAAGTCCAACAACAACGAAATATTTGACTGCGTCGAACGGCTGTTTTTCGATGCCGATCCTCACAAAACCACGGTCGGAGAAATTGTCGACAAATGTGAAAAGATCTTCGGAGCCAAGTTTTCGGAACGAAGGGAAAAGGACATCGAGAAGTACTTGATCACTTTGGCCCGGAAACACGTACACTTGTAGTGACCTAATCATTCTTCCGAGTCGAGTGGAAACAGTGGGGTCTCGGTCTCCAGCCAATATCTGAAGTGGCTCACCCTATTTTTTTGTTTTTGAACCAGTTCTTCTACTAGTACGGTAGCCCAAGACAACCATTGTTTTATCAAAATTTCCTGCTAGTAAAAACATGTCTTGACTAACTTCATGTGTACTGTGTACTCTTGTGAATGATTGTGGAGGAAAATGAGTGCGGGTACTGTACGGGACCACCTTTTTCACCTGTGTACTTGGTTTGTTGTTGTGGATTGGTCTGGTGGCAACGAGATTTCTCTCAACTAAGATGGAGTCTTCGGTAGGACTCTGGTTGGTGGGGCAATTGCTTCTTTCATAGCGCCTTTTGTCGAGAAATCGCAAAAGTTCACGTCGTGAAAGTTTAGTTCCCTTTCTAATCGTCTTCGACAGGGATCATATCCACGCTAAGTCCGTTGTCTCGAAGCGAGTCGCGGTAGAGCTCGGCCCGTTCCTGATCGTACCGTCCGACAACCGAGACACCATTCTGATGTGCCTGCATCATGACTTGATACGCCTGTCCATCCGAGAGTCCTGTAATCTTGGAGAGGCACATGGCTACAAACTCTCTCTTGTTCATGGGATCATTAAACAATCGAACAGCCCATCCGCCTTTCTTATACTTGGACTCGTCTTTGGTTTTATCTTCCAAATCTTCCTTTTCAACGGTTTCGGGTTCCTTGATGGTAGGTTCCAGCACGGCAGGGCCCGCATGGATGCGGGTGGTAATAGTCCTTGCGTTGGAGGGGATTGTAAACGAAGAGGAGACAGCCGCCAACAAGGCAAACAGCACCAGGAGGAATCTACTATTCATGGCCATGGTTCCTTTGTTTCTTTGGTAGCCTTCCAGACGAAAGTTTGGCGTAGTGCTTTGTTTTTATGATACGTTATTTGTCCCCGATCTGATGGTTGTCATGGTCGCTTGGCCCTTCGAAACACTCGTCGCTGATCTGGCTTCATGCCATCACCCAAAGATACCCCTGGCTCCTGCTGACGTGGTCTTCTTACTCTCAGCGTGATTGCTCCCCTCTCTTTTGTACAGTCGTACTCTTTTGGACCTTTTTGGGCCTTGGCTCCGATCGAGAGAGTAAAATTGAAACACCGCTGAGCTGTCAAAACAAATTATGTGCCCGCAAGTCCTTTTAGAATAGTCACTCAAAGGAGCTACAAAATCAACACAAAAACAATCACATGCAAGTCTAACCGTCCCTCAGAGCCTCTCCCCATTGCCAAGTATGCTTCCACTATTGCCTTTGTCATGGCGTTTGGTTGGGTCATCTTTCTCCTTGTCATGGCGATTTGGAATCACGACAATGTTGGTCGAATCATTGTGGAGTGCTTCTTGGCATGTCTTTCCTTTTTTGGGCTCTTTTGGAACTCTTACTTTACTGTATCAAGTATTATCAAGATGTTCATCCCTGCCAAAGCATTCAAATCAAACACAAAGTACTTCTCCATGATTCCCGAATCCAAACAGCCAGGAGATCCATGGCTCGATGTTACTATCCAAATTCCAGTGTACAAAGAGTCGCTTCAAGAAGTTCTCATGCCCACCTTGAAGAGCTGCATGAAGGCACGCGATCATTACATCTCTCATACCCAGGCCAGTTGTAACATTGTGGTCTGTGATGACGGAATCATGAATTATTTAAATGACAACTTTCCGGCTGCCGAAATGCTCTGGGAAAATGTGGTGGAAACCAAGGGCAAGGTGGTCCGTCTCAGTCAAATCCTGAAGCGGATCCCTCGGGTCGCTCGTCGCCATCTCAAGGGACTCAGGAGCAAGAATATTTACGAAGTGTTTCACCGCATGTTATTTTACTACCATTTTCAGATTGGTTGGGTATCCAGATCCACTATTGATCGTCGAGGAAAGTTCAAAAAGGCATCCAACTTGAACACACACTTGCGGCTTAGCTTTGGTGCCGAAGATCTCTTGTCCCGGTCTGGTGGAAAAAGAACTTTTGAAGACTGCCTGTTGGAGGTTTCCCACAGTGACGATGGAGCCAGGTACATTATGTTTGGAAACAATGTGCGTATTGGACATTTGATCTGTGTCAATGATGCCGATACCCGCATGCAACCTCCTGTCATTCTCAAGACGGTCCCAGAGTTCATCAATGATCAACGCCTGGGATTTACCCAGCATGCCACCAAGACATTGAATGATCAACGTGGTGAATCGTTCTACTTGAATATGATTGAGGCCTACACTGATGCTCTCTACCAAGGACACTTCCTTCTGTCTTGGATAATGGTGGGTCTTCTATCCTCCTTGGAAAATTCTCATTCTCTCATCTTGGCGGACCTGAAGTCCCGTTTAATTCAATCATGAACGATTGACGTCAGACGGTGCTCAAAAGGATGAGTGGTGTCAAAGCGTCCACAAAACCTTCCATTTCAGCTTGAAGGAAGAAGAGGCAGGTAGACTGGCAGAAGGATCATTCAAAAGATGAGGAATAATATGAAGAACAAGACCACTTTTGTACATACCGGTACCACTGCTACATGCAGGACCTGGGATCTAGTTTTCTGGGTTGGTCTCCTGTTAAGATCTTCAAGCTGTTTCTGTGGGGTATCTGCGTTCTCATCAACATCCTCATTTCCAAGAAGAACCAAGGATACAGTGGCCTCTCCTCTATTGACATTATCCGTCGCTTCCGTACCCTCCGATGAGCCATCAGTTGCAGATCCGGAAGAGCGACCATCAGCACAAAAGAACTACTGCATCACTGGTGTGGCTCGTCGCACCGGACCCCTGAATGAAGCCGTGGCAGCAGTTGCCAATATTTCCTCTCTCGAATATGCCAACGACCTCATCCAAATTGGGGCTGTCTGGGCACGCATGGAAACTCTTAACGAAGAAGATGTCCTGAATCAATACTATGACGATAATTTTGAGTCCAATGCGAGAGCTTTGTATGCCGACTTGAACAATCGCAAACAGGGCACCTATGAGGACAAATATGGCAACCTACGACAAGACGACGAAGTGGATTTGGATACTTACATTGAACAAATGCAACAACTGCGCTTTCGAAGAGTCTTGACACCAGTGATCATTGAAGCTGGCACCGATCTACGAATATACCCCAATCCACGACGATTTCCGGCCTGCAAAGAATTTCAACCGGAACAAGGACGAAAAAGTCTCCTCTTGTATGAAGATACCACCTTTCTCGTGGTGGATAAACCACCCATGTTGCCGACGCAACCGGATGCGTCCAATTATTTTGATAATTGTCCGGGGTGTACACAAACCTATTTGGGACCCTTTCAAGATATTCAAGGAAACACTATTGCACGGCCACTACTCTGTCATCGCGTAGATTCCTGTGTGGGTGGCTGTGTTGTCATGAGTAAAGATGCCAATGGGCAAAAAGTCTTTCAGGAATTTCAGGTAGGTCAATGATTGCCAGAAAAAGTATGTGCTTGCAATGTTTCTGTCTGTACTTCATTCTCAACCAATAATCAATCAATGCTATTGTAGCGAGATCGCAAACTGCGCAAAATGTACTTGGCAGTGACCAAAACACCGGTTCCCTTGGGCATGCATTTGCATTGGATGTGGTCACCTCAAACACAACGAGGCAAACGAGGAGGACCTCCTTGTCAGTTGGTCAGTCATACCCCACCGGAAAGTCGACGCAAAGCACGACAATTTTGGACCCGATGCGTCTTGGAAGTCACCAAGAGCGAAAAGATTCGTATCGATGACACTATCTACTATCAAAATACCATTCGGTTAGTGACGGGACGCAAGCATCAAGTACGTGCTCAATTGGCCAGTTTGGATTGTCCGATCCTGGGTGATACCCTGTACGAACCCATGTCGGGATTGACACTCGACAAATTGGAAGACTCGGAAGTGGACATGGACGACGCGGTGTCGCGTTGTCGCGTTCCCACCGAACCGATTGGATTGCAAGCCTCGGCGATTTTGTTTGCGGGAATTCGAGTCAAGGCGCGGACACCTTGGTGGGGAGATGATATTATTGTAGATGAGGACTAATAATAAGCGTACTCTTTTCTACATGTATGTGAATCTAGCTAGGTAAGGAATCGAAGACTTCCGAGCTCGGTGCTAACCGGCTGGCTGCACAAGAATCACGACTGTGTGTCCGTCACTAGCGGCATCGAAAAAAGATTGTCATGTTTGCTTTCCAAAGACAGAGAGCTACCGTACGAACAACCAACCACTGAAACTGCAGGGATCTCTTACTACAAATTGCCTAGATTGTTGTTTGTTGTTTGCTTGCTTGTTGTTGCTTTTATTGAATGGCCTTTTTGGCGTCTTGTGTCCAATCTACCCATGGTTTGAATCCACCTTGTCCATCAGGTATGAGCACAGTCTTTCGTATGATTTTGACTTGGTTCTGTTGGTCTAACCATCCTTTCTGGGGAACCGTATGAATGCGTGGCACCACGTCTTCCATACCTTGAACGATCGTTCCGAAATTGGCATCTGCTTCATACGGGTTCTTTTGCTGTTGTGAACCAGGGCCCTATGACACAGAGATAAAATGTGCGTGTGAGAGATAGAGTGCAAATGTGATGTCCTCATCCTCTCCAACCGTGACTAACTCACATGATTGATGGTATTATCCATAATGGATACATACCAACACGGCCCCGACGGTCGTCCACAATATCCCGCGGTTCCCTTTTTGTGTGGAAATTCTTTGGAATATTCTTGAAAGGGCAAATGTTTGGTGATTCCACTGACCGTCATGACTTGGAGCACATGTCCAGCATTCCTATGAAAACTGCCTCTGATCCATGTTCGCGCAATTTCCAAAAAGTTGTATACAGATACCGGTTGATACTCAATCGGTGCCATTTCTATTACGATCGTCCCATCGGGTCCCTTTTCGGCAAAATCCGGAATGGAGGGTTGAAATTCCAGATCCACCTTGACTCGATAGGCCGGATGATCTCCATATTTGAGTTTGAGTAGATTGCGCGTGAGATCTTTTAATTCACCCGTCTTTTGCAGAGACGTCGGATCGGTTTCCATAATGACCCCGGTTTTCTTAATCGCTCGGACTTCTTCATCGAGGAGGTGGACTCTTCGTTCCAAGGTTTCCAGTGCTCCCAAATCCGCCCGAAGATCTCGCACAGCAGGTGCTGTGGCGGCAGGTTTTTCAGGAATCATTGGCGTTTCCACTGTTTCCCGTCGAATGCTGGTGCTGTCGGTCGGTGGTGGGACCACAATAGCGCCTTGCCGTCCTTTCATCGAATGCATCCCACAGACCACCACAAATCCAATCACCATCAAGATACCGTACTTCTTGGTCTTTTCTTGCTGATCTCGTATCTTGTCGTCCTTCTCCATGTTTGCTTGTTTGTTGGTTGTTGTTGTTCTACTAGAAGGGTATCAATGGGTAGCTACCGGTACCTGCCTAAGAGTTTGGATACCCCTACATACAAAAGACTTTCAAGCTCAGGGAAATTGGGAACGCAATGGATCTCTTGACCGTTTTGTTTCCGAACAAGATCAAGTGGGTCGCGCACTTGATCGAAATGTGAGGGGTACGTCAGCATCAACAAAAACCGCTGCGATCTTCCCTCCACAACCCCACGCTTCCCAATCTTCATCCCAATGGTGTCAAAAGAGGCTTCAATAAGCCGTTGTATCATCCCACAGAAGTCAACCAAAAGAGCCAGAATCCCTGGCTATTTGCTAGCTAGTAGATACCATGACCCATCCTTCGATGCACCGCCCTCTGTGGCTCATTCTGGCGAGCCTCTCCTCCATTGCCACAGCCTTTGTGCTTCCATCACCCCCATTGGCAACCACCACCAGCAGTACTAGCAGTAGTAGTAGTTGCCTCTGGTCCACTCCTCCAGGACCCAGCAGTGGTGGCAGTCTTGGTGGCGGCAGTAGTAGTAGTAGTGATGAACTGAGCGATGATGACATTAGTCGCTTGATTGGCAAACGCAGTCAAATCAAACGCAAAAAGAAGGAAACCATGGAAGAACAAGAACAATCCATTCTGGAAGATTTGGATCTCGATGACATTGACATGGACAACCTTCCCGAATTCAAAACCAGTCGACCCGTGCGAAAATCTAAACAACAATTGGAAGAAGAAGCCGCGGCGGCCGATGCCGCCAAACGACGGGAAGAAGGAGAAGAACCCATTCTCAGTTTCGATTTTGCCGCCGATTATGCCGATGAAAACGATTTTCACGTTCCCAATCGATTGGGATTCTCCACGGCCGGATGGGGCGACGTATCCAAGGGGTATGTGGTAGAAGGCAAACTATCCAAACGCATGGTCAAAGCGGGACGCTACGACAAGACCACTTGTACCAATGTGTACACCCAACTCCTGGCGGGCGGCTTGGTCGTGGTCGAAACCAGTAGTACCTACGGAAAAAAGAGTGGTGTGCTGGCACAGGATATTCTCGCATCGGCCATGAAAGCGTACAAAGTCGATGGAGCACAACCTTCCATTGTGGAATCCTTGCCTGGTGGGTTGTTGCCACCCCGCCCCAGTGCCATGGCGTCCACGGCCGAAGCATCCTGCGAACGACTCAAAATCGATGCCGTTGATATTGTCCAGGCAACCAAACGGATTCCTCTCTTGTCACCCATCTTGGTCAAAGGATTGCAACAAGTCGTTGACGCGGGAAGTTGCAATTACGTCGGAGTCGTGGGCATTCTACAACGCAGTAGTTTGAGACGGTTTGCCGATGCCATGGAAGCACAAGGCAGTTCTCTTACATCCAATGCCTTTGAATTCAGTTTGACCAATCTCAAGAATGAAGCCATGATCGATCATTGCAAGGAAATTGGTGTCATTCCATTCATTCTCAATCCTCTCGATGGCGGATTGGCATCGGGAGTTTACACGGCCACCAATCCCAGTGGAGGCGAAGTGGGAAATGCTCGATTCAAGTTTGAACGATTGGAAAAACTATCAGCCTTGCACAGTATGCAAGAAACGGTGGCCGAACGAGCACGAACACGAGTGGCACGAGAACAACGGGATACCAAGGATCGATACCGATCTCGCTATGGAAATCCGGTATGTATTGTATATCTCAATCTTGCTTTGTTTGTTTGAAGTGGAGTGGAGTGTTTAGACGTATCTATTGTTACTCATATCCCACACTTTTTCTATGAATCTCTCACTCACAGCCAAAGGTTAACACAGACATTACCACCACACAGGTTGCCATTAACTATGTGGTAGCCAAAGGAGGGGTACCATTACCTGAAATCAACACTTCGAAACAAGCAGAGGAGTTGCTGGGATGTCTGGGTTGGAGCCTGACAGAGGAAGAGGTGGATATGCTAGACAGTGCTGCAGCTTTGTGTAATTTATAGAATAGTGTCAGTTTTATAAAATAGCTACAGTATGGTATTGAGTGGTAGGGTCAAATTCTAACAACTGGTAGTTGGAACTGCAAACAATCCAACAGCATCGCTGTTGAATGACTGCAATGAGCGACACACCTACGGTATCCATGGCACCTCCTTACGAATTCTTGTGGAAATAGGCAGGATTTTTTCGAACACATCGGAGCAGCAAATCCGTTTCGCTTGGACAAGCCTCCAATGTGGCCTTGCCATACACAGCGTCCTTGCGATCGGAACAAGTCATCAACATGTGATAATACTCTCGACACGGACCATCACGAAGCTTGTTCACTTCGCCTTCACCACCCGATGACATGACGGGAGGCAACAGCTAATTGAAATGAGAGTGCTACCGTACTAGCTTGTATCTGCTGATTATCTACTTTGGGAATGGACGCTTGCTGCTGCTTTGCCCCTTGCTTGCTCAGACAGTCAACTTTACGGATGCATTTAAAAGTTTTAACCCAACAAGAACGCGACAAAATTTCCAAATATAAAGAAGCATGCGACTCCAATCGTGCTTCCTTCCATCCCTTTGTTGTTTCTGTGGATGGCATGCTTGCCCCACAAGCCAAGATTCTTTTACAACGCCTTGCTTCTGCTACTGCCTCCAAAACTCAATTTTCCTACTCTCAAATGATGTTCTTCATGCAGACCCGTATCTCAATTGCCCTTGTGAAAGCTACCCATTTATGTCTCCGTGGATCTCGCAAAGCCAAACCCTTCTGCCCCCGTAACGGTCCTCACTTTCTTGCCCCTGATCCCACCAAACCTAGTCCTGAATTTCGCCTGTTCTTTGCTTTTAAAAGCCTGGCCCCGGCTGGCTTCCGTAGATGACTACCCTACTCTAAACCCCCCCTTTTGAAGAAGAGAGGAGGACGAAAACTAGCCAGTAGTACTGCCAAAAATTTGGCCACATGGCGTGGCTCGTCCCCCTTCATCTTTTCGGTGAGCGAACTTTTGAAACTGCCACCACAAGACTCCCACGCCCTCTACAAGATCCACACATCCTCTCCAAATTCTTTCGCGAGCTTCAGAATCTGGATTTTCAAATGCTGAGGTTCAGCCGTCATTGTCAGGTCGATCGAAAACGGAAGGAGAGTTAAATTAGGTGGATTGATTGATTGATTGATTGATTGATCACCAGCCATCCAATGGTCAAATCACTACTGTTTGATTTGGAGAAGGGGACGGGACCTGTGCTCGAACTTCTTCGTTCGGACGAGGTGATCCAGACGGTTGAGTACATTCGTGTCGAGTACTGGGGAGATGGCAACGTCTTGGTATCGGACGACGAGCTGATTGTCATTTTTGGGATCATTGGCTCGTTGCCAAGGATTAGGGAGCTCCGCATCGAATTTGACGAACTCCCGTTGCCAGCACAAGCCCTACGAAACGCCATGGCGCACCCGTATAGTCGCATTCGCTACATAGCATTGGAAGATGTGAGGCTATCGGGAAGCCTGGCTGATTTTGAGGACGTAGCCGACGCGGTGAGACGAAGTGCATCGTTGAAAACGTTTCGAATGTACCGATGTGGACCGTCCCCTGAAACCAGGGCAACTCTAGACCCGATCATAACAGCATTGTCGGATATTCCCACGTTGAAGGATGTCACTCTGAGCACCACGCACTTGTCTCCGGAGGCGTTGGGCGCTCTTGGTCGTTCCAAGTCATTGGAGACTGTTTCTTTGGATCACATGACCATATCGGCCTTGCCATTGGCCGAGTTGTGTCAATCCCAGAGCATTAAGGACCTCAAGTTCTGGGGGATGCCGGAGATCAACGACGACATTTCCTCCATGGAATCAGCACTTGCAATCAACAACAGTTTGAAGATGCTTCGGGTTCGCTACTGCCATTTGAACCAAAACTCGGGCGTGCACATCGCCCGCATGATTGCGGCGAACAAGACGCTCGAAAGCATCACTCTAGAGAACATGAACTGGAGGAACTTTGGTGGTCCTATTCAAAAAGCGTTGGAAATGAACAATACCTTGAGGAGCCTTTCCTTGTCCATTGACAGCAAAGACTTGCAAAACATCTCCAATGACGCACAGCAAATCGCACTCGGTCTCGAGGTCAACATTGGCTTGCAAAGACTCCGCCTCCTGTTCCGGGATGTCTCTCTTAACGACATCCAGAAGGCGTTCCTTGGCCCCATCACTGGCATGCTCCGAAAGAACTATACTCTCGAGAGTCTCTACTTGAACAATGGCACCCTTGCCTTGAGCCCAGAGGTTGACTTTCTACTCAAGTTGAATCGCACAGGAAAGCGCCATTTACTCTACAAGCATGCTCCGAATGGAGAACTCATGGACATGCTAGCAGCTTACAGTGGCGACCCCAGCATTACTCACTACGCTCTCACCATGAATCCGGCCCTGTTTCACGTCTAACAAAGCTACAATTCACAAATTATTCTGTGTTGACCGGTTCTGAAACCAACCCACCAACCGTGCTTATCTTGCCCCATGACAAGTGGAAGCAATTGAGCCATCCCAAAACGTACGAAGAAATACTACAGCATAACTCATAATAACTCATAACGAACTTTTTGACCTGCATTTCAGCAATATCGCTGTGCTTTTCAGTGCAGTAAGGGCTCAACTATGCATCAGTTGAAAAAAGAGGGAACATCCATCCCACTTGGGAAGTCTCTCGGCAGCATCAAGTTTTCCATCTACATAAAAGCGGACGACACAAACAGCTCTCGAAGTTCGGGGAATCCTTCAAAGAAATGAGATCGTCCTGGCAGCATCTTGTATGTATCCGTCAAGCCGAGACCATCTCTTATTTGCTCGGCCTCGTGCAAGGGAATGAAGGGATCATCATCGGAATGAAATTGATACCAAATGGGACAGTTCTGTTTCATTTGGTCAAACAGATAGGGATTGGTAACCTCCCCTCCATCGGCATTCGTCTGCGGGTAATATCCCGACGCCCGTTCCCCGGCATCGCCCAAATCGGTATATGTGGCGGACACCAAGACGACCGCCTTGAGGGGATACTGCTCGGCATATCGCAGTGCCGCTTGTGCTCCCGAGCTATGACCGACGAGAATAATGTTGGAAGGATCCTCGGTTTCTTCTGCCTTGGCACGGATAAAGGGGATCCATTTGGCACGACGGGCTCGATGGGGATCTGGAAAGTTTTCACAAACACTGGGTATCTTTAGCTCTTGCAGTTGGGTGTGGAATTCACCGTACCAATTGGATCTTTTAACGTTGGTGCATCCATTGCCTGGGCAGATGATGACTGTGGCGGCTCTTGTGGTGGGTACTGATGTCTTCATTATTGTATTGTCGTCCACTACGATGCTAATTCCATGCGAGAAAGCGAGCAAGATACTGAGAGTGCGAAGGCAATCACGCCACACAAAGATTTAGGCAGGAAAAGCTAGCCGGTAAGTCGACCTCAGTGTAAATGACGTCATAAAAGCTACTACTAGTAGTAGCCAGCTTTTCGCCTGAAATCGAACACGCTCCCCACTCACACAACAAAGATCCATCTGATCTTGACTATCGACCATGGCCAAGGACGAACCTGCCGCTGCCAAGAAGCGCGATGCTTCCGATGTGTACGATCGTCAGATTCGACTATGGGGAAAAGAGGCTCAGGTAGGGAGACTTCTTGTTCTTTTGTTTTGATTTGGATCTTTTCGCACACATAGAGAAAGTAACCAATGCCTTCCACTGTCGACGCCGTCATAGGAGAAAATGGCCAAAGCCAAGGTTCTGTACATTCACGTGACGGGAGTGTCGTCGGAAGTGCTCAAGAATTTGGTATTGGCCGGAATTCGAGCGACGATTTGCGACAATCGCCCCTTTCCCAGTGCCGCGGCGTCGACCCCGTCCTTTTTGCTGCCTCCTTCTACCACGGGCGAACCGGCCGCCAAAAAGACCAAATTCGAGACCGTGGGTGCCGCCTTGAAACCGGTCGTTGAAAATTTGAATTTGCTCTTGGGAGACTGTGGCATTATTGACAAGGACGTGTCCGAGTTGGATGCCGAGTTGCTGAAAGAGTTTCCCATTGTCATGGCATCTCGGATTCCACCGTCCGAAGCACTGCGATTGTCCAAGATTGTCACGGCGGCGGGAAACAAATTCTTTTTGGCCGATTGTTTTGGGCTCTACGGGAGTAGCTTGATGGATTTGGGCGAGCACACATTTCGTCCCGAACAGGGCAAAAAGTTGCTCGACCCCAAACCACTCCGCCCCAGAGTCACATTGGAAATGGCATTGTTGGAAACTCCCTTTCATACATCACTCCAAAAATTCAAAAAGAAATATCGGGAACACCTCCCGTGGAATGGATGCGCTATCGATTGGTCTTGGAGTATTTCGAACAAACCAAACGGTGGCCTACCGCCGACGATGCCGACGATTTCGTCACCCGCTCGAAAGCATATCTGGCCCAAACAACTCCCAATTTGCCCCCTCACCCCGTGCTACAAGAAGAGTCTTTGAAAACGTTGGCGTCCATGGATGGGGAATTTGCTCCCGTGTGTGCCGTGTTGGGGGGGCTCCTGGGAAATGAAGTCATCAAAGCCATTAGTGGAAAGGGAGAACCGGCCAACAATACACTGCACTTTTCGGCCGATACGTGCGAGGCCATTACATTCTTGGTACATTCCAAGGCCAATCCGGACGATGATGAAAACTACAAAAAGAAATAAATACAGTTGGCACTAATTTATCATACGGTAATCAGCCCTGAACGAATACTGTAGTCACGACCAGGGTCAGTCCAGCGCATACGGTACTGTATCATATATTTGTTGGTTGGCAGCGTCAAGATTCTAAAAAGTCTAGTCTATCGTCTCAGTTGCATACGGTACGTTACGACAGTCAATGAGGCCTCCAAAAAGTCTTATGGTTCCTGTAGATAGAGCTATTCTAGCTACGAGTACGGTGGAATTTTCCACCAGGATCCAAGCTAGAGCATTGGTAAGATCCACTCGTTACTCTGATCGGCAAGAAGATGTCGTTGCCTTTACAAATCCCACCCACCCTGTCTGCTCAGTTCAGCCAATGACCCCATCGCTTACCGGTACTTCTTAGTTGATGGCTACGGCATGGCATACTGAAGGAGGTGGTTGGGTCAACGGTGTTACCTGGTAGGTGTTGGGTGTTGGGTGGGGAGTGTGGAAAACCAGAGCTGGAAGACGGAAAGCCCAATGCATTTGCAGCTCAGCCGGATTTTCACTTCGCCAGAAGCCGAAATAAGATCGCATCGCCAAGTCCAGTCCTCACAACGCCAATCGAAGCCATCAACGAAGGGCTTCGATTCATTAGCTCTTGCTTACCCCCGTCGCGTCGTTGCTGCTACCACTCACTACAGTACTTCCCTTTGTATCAAGCAGAATCAGAGCGTGGGGATTAGACTGACGAGAAGAAAGCAAAGCGAGGCGCTGTTCGATCAATTTTATCATGTCCGACGAGGGCGAGGCAAAGACACAAGTCGAGGAACAGACACAAGTCGAGGAACAGCCTGAAGGCGAGCAAAAGACAGAGGTCGAGGAACAGACAGACCCAGAGCCAGTAGAGGCTGCGACTGCTACTGTGACTGATAATGTTGCTCCTGACGAGCCTGCACCAGCCGAAGCCTGGGCTTCCGCTGCAGCTGCTGAAACAGAGGAGGACCTCAAGCCTGCCGCAGAGGAGGACGATCCACCAGCCGACACCGAAGCTCGTGAGAGAATGATTGGAGTCAAAATCGCCAAAGACTTTGATGACGCCACTTACACTGGAGAGGTCAAATCGGCCGCTGTCTCCAATGGTGTCGTCATATACAGGGTTGTGTATACAGATGGAGATTCGGAAGACATGACGTTGATCGAGGTGGAGGATGCCTCTGTGAAGTACGACACCCTCCAAGAAGAAATGTGGAATATCATGGCACGCTTGGTTGGTTTGGATGATGCTGGCCTGGACAAGCTCAAGACTGAAGGAATTACCGACATCAAGAAGCTAGAATTGTTTGGCGGAGGAACCACTCAAAATCCATTCCTCAGCCTCGATTTGCCTCTCATTACCACACAGCAACTTCATTTGGTGGCTACATTTCTTTTGAACGATGGCATTTTGACGCCTACCTCCAAATTGGAAGATATTGCCCGCTTCAATCAGGCCAAGGCGACGGCTGTTTCTCCTCCCCAAAAGGCAAAGAAACCAGAGACGGCTGCACGTAGCAGCAGTCCAACCAAGCGTGCCAGGGGCAGGCCCAAAAAGACAGAGACTGCTCCTCGCAGCACTACCAAGCGAGGACGGGGGCGTCCCAAAAAGACGGAAACTGCTGGTAGCCCTGCCAAACGAGGCCCCGGACGACCCAGAGCGGCTAGCACTGGCTCTGCTGCCAAACGAGGCCTCGGACGGCCCAGAAAGACCGAGACTGCCAGCACTGGCTCTCCTGCCAAGCGAGGCCCCCCACGGGCCAGAAACACAGAAGCTTCAAGTACCGATGCTAGTCCTGCCAAACGAGGCCGTGGACGGCCCAAGAAGACAGAGGCTACAAGTACCGATGCTAGTCCTGCCAAACGAGGCCGTGGACGGCCCAAAAAGACAGAGACTTCAACTACCGATGCTAGTCCTGCCAAACGAGGCCGTGGGCGGCCCAAAAAGTCGGAAACTGGTATCAAGCAAGAGACTGTGAACGAAGCCGCCGTCAGTGTTGCTGCAGCTGCCTCTGCGAATCCTCCCAAAAGAGGAAGAGGAAGACCCCGAAAGAACGAGGCTACTAGTGTGGAACCTGCCGCCAAAAAGACTCGAGTGAACGAGGAGGATTATCGCGGTCCTCCAACGGAACCACTGGAGGGTGTAGCCAATTGGCCTGGATCGGCCTCTGAGGGTTGGACTTATGCATCGTCGAAACGTCCCAACACAAATGCCGTGGACCGAACTTGGTACACTCCCGGTGGCCACTGCTTTCGCAGCAAGGTTGCCGTCCGCAAGTTTCTCAAAGCCCTCCAACATTGTGGTGGCGATGAATCGGAGGCATTGAAAATTTACAAGGGCTTCAACGCGGAGGCGTAGTCATTTGTGGTGTTGTTTCCAATCGCAGGAGACTGCTTTGTGAACTCACCATTCCGTTGATCTGGATGAATGGAATGGTTGTCTCTGGATCATGCAATGGGAACACTCGAAATCAATGGGGTTTTGGTCGTGCAAATATTATCATTCAGTTTCTCATCTTGGTTTTCACAATCTAACGTAGCTGCGGTAAAGTAAATCATGTTTTTGTGAAATGCTGTGGTACTCTCATACTGTCACAGTACTGTAGCTAAGAGCAGCAGTGTTTCCGGTAGACAGAGTAGTCGGCAGAATTGTCGATTCTTCTGTGGTCGGAAGCAATAGTTGGAGAAACTGTAGGCACTGAAAGTGGTTCAGCTTGGCGCTTTGTCGTCTCAGCAATCGTTGGAGAAACTGTAGGTTCGGCAGTCTTCACAATTGGAGTTGTTGATGTGAGGATCGACTAAATAAAGTCTCTTCAAGCAACTGTTGGTCCAGAACATTGTTGCCCAATTTTGCCTGGACCTTAGGCACTTTGGCACTTTGAACGTGGAAAAGAACCTAAAGAATTTTATAGTAGACTAAAGAGCATTCTCTAACTTTTGCGTTCGTCCTAAAACTCGTCCTAAGAAATAGTTTAGGACGAATATTAGGACGAAAGCAGTCTCTAACTCAAACTCGTCCTAAAAACTCGTCCTATTTTTAAGACGGTTTTTTTTGGGACCATTTTTCTCGTCCTAAATTTCTGAAATAGGACGGGAAAAAACAACTTGTTCTAAAACTCGTCCTAAATATTCCTCTAAATCTTTGAAGATTGATGACATCATCATCTCACCAAGACTGAGTTAATAAGACTGAGTCAAGTCATCAAGCCAGTTGCACCGATATCGCACCTCCACCGCTACTAACTAGTACCCACTGTTAACTCTGTTAACTCGCTAGCTAAAGAGGTATCTACCTTACTAGCTAGATAACAACTCACAGTATACACAACACATAGGTGCTGCTGTTGGTAGCTTCTAACACACTATCAGAGCCACTTTAATCGGTTAATAGAGGAGAGGTGCAAATGTTGGGACGAGTTTTTAGGACAATTTTTTAGAGATTGAAACTCATCATATGAACTTGTCTTAAAATTCGACCTATCTAAGTCCGGTTTTAGGACGAGATTATTAGAGAGTGCCGATTCGTCCTAAAAAGATGTCCTAAAGCTAAGACGAGTAATTTTGGACGAGTTTTAGGACGAGAAAAGTTAGAGGATGCTAATGGAATTTTTCCCTGAGATCCTTGTAAAAAAGAATAAATCAGACAAACACAAAACGAAAGCAAAAGATCCAATCTCTACTAGCTAGTAGCTAGCTAGCTACTAGCTAGTAGCCCAAACAAACGAAGTGCCCTTGCAAGCTAGCTAGCTAGTGCTTGCAGCCACTCCTCCTACTAAGAAATAACCTCGGCAGTACTGCCCTGAGTTCTCAACCCCTTTAAGGAGGTACCACCCGGTTTTACTCCCGAGTTTGTTCAGATCAGTCACCAATCTTTTGATAAAATAGATATCCATGGTGTAGCATACACCAAGACCTCCTCCGTCATCATTCTCGATCACAGCCAAATAGCTAGCAGATGGAATCCTTCTTTTTGGAATTTTCTATTTTACCTAGCTTTTATCTTGCACCATGGCATCCAACTGGCGTCAAAAGTAAACAACGGCAAACATGAGTGAGGTAACAGGAACAGAGGATTCTGTTGCTGTTGTTGTTCCTGAGGATGCTACTCCCGATGTAGTAAGACAAAGTGATAGGCAACGTGGTATCAGGCCAGCTGAGTGTTCCAATACCCTTAGCTCCGTGAGAGCTTCCAGCGTACACCAAAGAGAGTTGAACAAGTTAGCCTCGGATCAAGAAAGGACATTGTCAGCAAGCTACCTGGTTGGGAAAAAGAGAAACTGAATATGGGTGCCCAAAGAAAGAGAGAACAACCAAAGGCAACACCATCGCCGCTGATCATTTCCAAAGATGTCATGGCGGAGACACCTTTAGCGACCCAACCGGATGAACCAACAAGGAAGAAGCCACCAACTCCAAGAAGGCTTATCCTAGAACACAAAGGATTGTCTGAATTGGTCAATACTTCAACTCGATGCTATACATGCAAGCAACCAAGTGTCGAACTTACATTCAGCACTACTTGTGTAACCTCTGTTGGGCAATTGTCTTGTTCCAACAAAGAGTGCGAGACATTTGGCTCCACGAAGAGTTCACCGGTCGCCAAGACATCCTTGCCAAAGAAGACTCAACATGCACGGAACCTTGACTATTCCTGCAACATACAGTTTGTGTTAGCTTTTCTTTGGTCTGGGGATGGCGGAGTGGAGGCACAGCGGACACTTGCCATGTTGAACTTACCCAATTACACCACAATGTCCAAGAAATCCTTTTCGAATATCGAGTTGTCACTTGCTCCTTACATACGGGAGGTTTGTCACAAGGCCATCGTGGACAATTTGGTGGAAGAAGTTCGAAGGAGTGCACATGCCGACAACTTCAACTTTGTGGAATGGGAGGCAGCTGTTCGAAATGGAGAACGTCCAGTGATGAGAGCAGTTGTTAATGGCGGAATGGACATGGGGTGGAATCAGAAGGGAAGCGGACGAGCGTACAACTCACCTTCAGGCCATGCAAGTATCATGGGTGCAATGACTGGAAAACCAATCTGCATCTGTCAACGATCAAAGTTCTGCCGCAAGTGTCAATACACCTCAGCCGTGGACTCGATGTACCAGAGCATCAGTGCACAATCAACTATGAGGGGAGTTCTGGTGGTATGGAACCGGCATCTCTTTTGATCATGGTGGAGGAGATCTATGACTTGTACAATTTGGAGATTGCGAAACTTTGTACCGATGACGACTCCACGATGAAGGCCCATTGCAAATGGAGTAACAAAGACTGGCTGGCACACCACAACTTGGACAAACTCCCCATCCTTGATACACGAAAAAGGGAAAGCCGAGAACCAGGACAGATGGTCATCTCCGATACCCAATTCCGCAACCACTGTTCGTTGCTGATCCAGCCCACAGGAAGAAGACTCTTCGCAATCATCTGTACGCGTTGAAAGGACAGGGAGTTAAGAAAAGTTTTGACTTGACTGCCGGCGATATCCTTCGAGTGACAACTTACTACGTGTATGTTCTTCGCAAATTGCCATCACTCTCAAAGGAGCAGTGGGTGGCAGCTGCAAAGGCTATACTGGAACACACATTCGACAATCACGAGTTCTGTGGTGACTTTTGTTTGCGGAAGAAGCAGACAGAAAAGGAAAGGAGTGAGTGCGGAAAAGTGTACGATGCAGGACAAAAGACAAAGCTCTATACGAGTCTTTGCTTGAACCCATCATTCAATTTACCACGATGGAAAGACTGGAAGAATCCAACCACTTCATGTCAACAAATGCGAATGAGTCGCTGAACAACACAATTGCCTGGCTAGCTCCAAAGAACAAAGTGTATGCTGGTTCATTATCATTGCAGAATCGAGTATGCATAGCCGTCGGCATCACTCTGCTGGGTGTAGAAGAGTTCTTTCACCGGTTGTTCGACACAATTGGTCTTGAAATGGAGGAAGGGACGGCCTACTTTCTTCGGCAACAGGAAGAATATCGAAAGAAAAGAATCAGTAAGAGAAGAACCTTGGAGTACAAGAAAAAGAGAAACCGCGAAACTTACGAGAAGATAAAGGACTACCAACAAAACTCCAACAGGATAGGAAAGACGGCCGCTTGTATTCCTCCTGGGATCGCCCTTGCCGAACCAACAAAAAAGCAACAGAAACGAAAAGTTTCGAAGATAAAGACTGCAGTACACAAAGTGTGTGGCAGTTGTGGTGAAATCGGTCACTCACGATCCAGCTTCAAAGGATGCATCAACCACGGAAAACCAAAGGCCTTGCATGTGAGAGTCACTACTCAGTCGAATGTGGAAACCGTGCAGGAGTGCGAGGTGGCCATTCCAACGGAGGAACAAAGAGAGATAAGCGAGCATGACATCGCTATTGCCACCTTAGAGTTGGTAGACTACATTGACTTTGGCGAAGACACAGAACGTGTTACCAGCGAGGTACAGGGATTGGCCGGAGTTGAAGATCTTTCAGAAGCGGAAAGCGATTAGACAGAAAGGTAAAGTGACAAATAGTATGAGTATCTAAGTAATTGGATTATACTGTCCGACTGTAGACTTTTCCTCAATTCTAGCGAACACAGTAACTTGTTGTTACATCGCTGATCTTTTTCGATTCTTTTTCAATAACAAACGGGGCCATTCTTTGCGTTGGTCTAGTGATAAGACTTGGCAGTGCGCGCTTTCTTGGTTGCCCTTTCCACGATTCTTTCCTCAGTTGTCTTGAAACCAGTAGCCTTCACCGCATTATCGAAATTTGGGTACAACAGCCAAATAGATTTGACAACACATCGAGGCAATGGCGTGGCAACTTCAAACTGATAAACATTCACCGCATACCAGAAGTAGGAACACCATCGCTTGTGAGACTGGGTCAGGCCCTTGAATGTCTCGCTGTAGATCCGGCCATTGGTTTTCTTCACGATGTACTTCTGCAAGGAATGGTAAAGATCATTCTTGTCCACCAAATTGAGTGGAGCTTGGACTTTGGCACACAGCATCAGGCCATGTTCTTCCACACAATCACACCGACGGGGCTTGTCATCCACTTCATCCTCTGGGTCATAATCTTCTGGTATCTCGTCGATCCCAAGGTACGTTTCCATCATGGAATTGCTGACATTATTCCTCACAGTCTCGATCAAAACAAAAGAAGCATTGTGAAACTCATCCTTGTTTGCCCTTGCTACCATTTGTCCTGCAGCTTCAGGACGCAGGCACTTGAAGTTTTCATAGTTACTTGGCTTGAATTTGGTCATGAAGACAATTTCCTTCCTGTGTCGGCACAAGTGCACATCCTCCGTTCGAAGCGTGTCCAAACAGTTGGTCCAGCGTGCGGATTATTCAACACGTGGGGAGGATGCTGCCAACTCATGTCAAAGATAATAAGAGCACAGCGCATTCTTTTGGGAAACTGCTGATACCAAATCGCATCAGACTTGCTGATGGTCAACATGCTTCCGCGGCTGATGTCTTCATTGTCAACGGTCAACTGGTGGCTCAAGGCTGAGTTGCAGAATGCATAGATGAGGCTGTTGCTACCATCAGCAAGCACAAAGCAAACAAGGTCAGTCGGCAAATCTCCAAAGGTACGTTGATGCTTGAAGCTATCAACAACAAGCAATTGTTCTGCAAAATAGATAGTGGAATCCTCATTATCTCTCTTTTCATTACTCTCCGCGTCGTGCAGGTTCATCTCACGCGACATCTCATACCCACTCTCAGTCTTCCTCCAGGCAGGAGTAGTCTGGTGGCTGAAGGCCAAGCTGGACACATAATCGGGAGACGCCGCTCCTGTATGCTCAACTACTACCATTGAGGTGACTGTCATCCTGATTCTGATTCAATGGCCGTTTTATTATCCAACTTCTATCCTACGGAGAATTTTGCCGTGAAATAAGTACCAGCTAATGGCTTCTTCACAACATGGGAAATGCAGATTCCTATCCGGCTGGCTCTGCTTGTTGCTGCTTTTCGCGATGGTTCGGACTCCACAACAACAACAAACTGCCATTTTCGACAACAGACAATGATGTACGTTGTGGTCTCCGTTCAAGGGCTTCCGGTGCACCAATGAGGGTATGGACATAGGGAATGGAAGCTATGCTCGTGCTCTACAGGAGGTCATTGGGTTGGATCGTTACTGATCGGTGTACCGTGTACCGACGCATTGAAAGGTATGGGTAATGAAAATTTCAAGTTGCCCCAGTGGTTGCTTTGACTGCTGCATCCTGTCAAGGGAGGTGTAAAACCCAGGGTGGACTATGGGTAGCAATGTCATAGAGTGTAAACTGGTGATGCTAGAGCATGATCAAGTAGTCGCAGAAGCAATGATTTTCTATTGAGTTTAATGTACTTTTGAAACTGATTTTGAAAAAAGTGAAGCTCGCCCGGCGATTCTTTCGGTATTGGGACTGAAAGGCAAGCCGTTTCTTTAAGTCACAGATTCTAATCACAGTTCCGCGAAACAAAAAATACAGTGAAAAGAAAACTAAGAATTAAAGCAAGTCAATCGCCAAAGCACTGTTTGACCACTGAAACAACTGTAAAGAGATGCTTTCCGTCACAAGCAGTCCACCATCGAACCAGTAAGCATGCAGAAGACATCAACCTGCAGAGTCCAGTCGCTCGCCGAAGCACGATGCACGATGCAGTCCCGAAAGATCACTTCACAAATTCAACCAAAGATCCCATCACAAAAGAACAACCACAAATTCCTCGAAGATCCCATCATTCCGTCGTGAAAGATCACCACTCCCCACGTCCCACATCGTCCATTCCGTCGGGAAAGAAGCTTTCAGTGAAAAAGACAGTAAAAAGGGAGCCACAGACTCAACAAAAGGCCAAGCAAAATAGCTTGACAAAAACACCACAACAATTCCCACTGTTGCATCCCCTGCAACAGTCAATACTTGCACTCAATCTCCACCTTGGAATCCAAAAATGGCAACAGTTAGAAAGGAGACCAAAAGAAAAGAGGCAACATCAGCACAAGAACTCACCTTGCAAGATCTCTTCTCCGTTCGCATCAAATACAACCTCGTCCTCGTCAAACTCCTGATCCTCCAGCTGGTTGTTCTCGTTCCACAGGAGGCCCAAGGGATTCTCCTCGTCAAGTGCCGCCTGAGCCTCGGCACTCGTCAAATCAATCTCTGGCTGTCCCCTTCCACGCAAAACGGACTCCGCATCGTCATGCCACCACACATCCCTCATGCGCTTGATCTGCTTTTCGATATCACGATAACGAGGTCCTCCACGACGATCCACCTTCTTCCCGTCAGCCGCCAAAGCAGCCCGTGCACTCTGTCCACGCGAACCAGTCCGGTCACCCAATCGATGCACAATTGCTCCCTCGTTTCGATAGATCTCCTTGAGAGCATGGGCGAACTTGAGGATGTCGGTGCAGATCTGTTTGCTGGTTGGCGCCCCATCAATACAGCGCATGTAAGCCTCTTGCCCCCGCTTCGGCGTGCAGATAGTAAACTTGCGAGAATCATCATCGGGCAAATGACTCGTCATGATAATGTGACGGTTGACACAGTCGTTCAAATACTTATTGCAGCTTGTGTCCCATGGCATCATCTCCGGACTGTTGCCACTAGGAAAAGCGTCACGCCATTCTCCAGTCACAGACATCTCGTAAACAGGAAGCAGCCAGTGATCGTAGTAGCCATGCTCTTTCATCCAAGCGACACACTCCTTGTTCGTCATCTGGGACAAAGCGTCATGATAAAAGTACCAACGACTGGACGGAAGGTCTGGATAAAACTCTTCAAAGTGGGCTTGGGTTTGTTCGTAGATGTGCTTGACAAGTTCCGTGACACACACAGTACTTGAGATTCCCTTGGCTTTCTGGATGAAATGCCGCCACTCATCACCGTAACGAGCCAGGTACGGATTCTTTTCCTTGCGATAATCGATGTCGTCGGGAATTTCCTCAATGCCCTGTCGACATTCTTCACGCCATCCTTTGAGTCTCTTGACGCTTGCTCCAACTTTTGCCATCTTCTTGCCGCGATCGTTGACCCCATTTGACATTCGAGTAATGTCACTGTCGGAAGCCTCAGCAAAATCACGGACGGTGTGGATCTCAAAGACTTTGATCTTCCCAATGATTGTCTTGGCGCATCCCTTGATCATGCCTTGACAAAGATAGTCGTCCATGTAGAGCTTGTCATTCTCACGAGCCGATTCGAACCAACCATTTGACTTGGCTGGACGATCACCCAATTTCTTGACACGGGAAATCTCCTCCTTGACAAGCTTGCGGTATTGCTTCAAGGAGACAAGAAGCTTGGTAGTGTAATCGAAAGGTTCCAAGACGTATCCTTCCTTGCCACCATTGTCGTCGACGACCATTGCCATTCCGAAACTCCAACGACCCTCCTTCTCAAACTTGACGTTCAGTTTGTGAGCAGGCGATGCTTGATCGTAAGTCCCATTCGGATCCAAGTTGCCATCCGCATCGCGTAGAAACTGCAGCTGATAATCACGATCGACTTGTGCGTGGCTGGTTCCGATGATGCATTTCCGATGCATCTCATCCCAAAAAGCGACATGTTGCAGACCAAAACGATAAGTAAACAGCGCTTGAGGATCAAAGTAAACCGGCAGAGTCCCATCCTCATCATATAACTTGAGCTCCTCTTCGTCCAAAAGAGTCTCGGGCACCTCCAGGACGGAAGGTGGAAGCTCGAACAGGTCGTGAAGCTCCGTCTCCTTCTCCGCGCCGAGTCGAAGTAGCAACTGATAAACCCAGGCAAAGCGGCGTCGAGCCCACGGAGAATTTTTGTCGTGGTTCCCTTGCTTCATCTTGCGAATGGGAACTTTCCGGCTTGGGAGACGCTGGACCAATTCACGGACAGCGGAATCAGAGTACGGCTCCACACCATCATCAATTCGACATTCATTGAGTGTGTCGGTTGCAATTCGGAGACTGTCTCCTCGTGACTCAATCAAAGTAGCGATAGTCTCAGCAGCTTTGGAGCCATCAGGAATCTTGACGGGCTTGAACCGTGAATAGAATCGCTGACCAACATACTCAAGGTCGTTCTTGGCACAGTAGTTGATGTCTCCGAAGATATTCTTGATTGGCTTCCGCGTCTTCATCCCAAGAGCGTCCTTGATTGCCAATCCAGTACTCCCCTTTCCAGTCCAATCCGAAGGGAAGTTGTGCACCCGGCAATAGAGGTGGTAAGTTGCAATGCGCTCTGAACGGTCATGGTGAAGAAAGGATTGCTGACTCAGGAAAGATTCCATCTCTTCAGGAGTGAGACGAAGGTCTGCTACTGCAGCATCATCATCGTCAGAAGGAGGCTCATGCTCATCATCCGAAGGGGGACCCAAGAGTTCATTCAGTCGTTCATCATCCGGTTGCTCCGTGGTTGGCTTGCGAGCAGCAGAGCGAAGAGAGGCGGCAGGAGGACGAAGCACATCATCAATATCTTCATTGTGGAAATGACCAGTGTTGACATGAGGAGTGACTGCATGGGGAGTCTGCAAGGCAGCTTGCTGTTGTTGCTGTCGTGCCCACACAGCCCTTTCATCCTTGGACCGGTTCTTCCCTTTCTTCCGATGAGTGTGACCGTTCTTCTTGTTCTTGCGCTTGCCCGCCATGGTGGAATCCGACGGAAGCTTGAGGAAGGAATCCGATGAAAGAGTCAGAAAGTAGCGGCAGTCCAACAAGAAGAATGGAACGGCGAATGGCCATTGCCGAGGATTTCAAGCCGAGGAGTTTGCCTTTCGATGGAAAGATAATGAAGCTGTGGCGTCGCTTGGACGCACGAAAGGATCTTTGGTAGATGGGTCCCACATCGAACGGCGGATCGTCATGGTCATGGTCACATCGATGGTCAAGACGGATTAAAAGAGTTCCCCCTGTAAAGTGTCGATTGTCAATATAATGAGATGCCGTCTGAAAAGTGAAGAATGAAGATTGACCGATCCACCGATTGGATCTTCTTCCGTTGGGACGCCATCAGTTGCTCCTCTCTCACTGAATCTTGCGTCAACCAACATGCTTCCAAATATCGATCCCATCCGACAAAGAGGCAATGCATCATTGTGGAAACTTCATTCGGAAGCTGAAATATCGATCGTATCTGTTGTGAGAGGAGTGACGGAACGATTGGAGTCATCAACATGGTCGCTGACACTGATAAACATGGTCTGAAAAGAGATGCACTTGGTGGGATGCGATTTACTTTGGATGCAACGGCTAAATCCAAAACTCGAAAGACTTTCTGTGACTGGAGAGCCAGCCATCTAGTTTAAAACTAAGCCTCACATTTTGAGCTCACATTTTCGAAATATCATGGAAAATGGCCACGTCCTACTTGGGGAGTCCTTGTTCTCAACAGGAACATGGTAAAATGACCAAACAAATGTTACGCGGCAGAGCCTTACACTATGGAGTATTGCCCCGTAACATTTGTTTTTGTGTTTTTCCATCATCTCGTTGAGCTATTCCACTCCCCAACTACAATACCAGAGTTTTTCAATGCATCGGTACCCAAGTACAAGACTGCGGGAACACCTGGACTCGGAATAGTGAAGACAGACGAACAGAGCGAATGGATCGCTGAAGAACAACAGAGCAGATATAGAACAGGAGTAGGTATGCTCATGTACCTTATCAAGCATTCAAGGCCAGAAATCTCAAACGCGGTACGAGAACTAGCTAAGGCCTTGGGGTGCGCAACGCCAGCAGCGTACAAGGAAATGCTACGTTGTGTAAAGTTCGTGTTGGACTCAAGGAACCGTGGACTTTTGATGAGACCAGAGAAGAACGAGCGAAGGACCGTGGAAGTTGGAAGTGTTCTCGGATTCGGATTGGGCCGGAGACAAGAACAACAGAAGATCAGTCACGTCCATGATGACTTTTCTCGAAGGTGTACTCATTCACTGGAGGTCCAAGCTACAGAAGGTTGTGGCATTGTCGAGTTCCGAAGCTGAGTTCTACGCGTGTGGCGAAGCAGTGCGAGAAGTCCCGTTCATCGCGCAGATTCTGAAGTTCCTACAGATCAACGTGGAACTACCTGTGCAAGTGAAGATCAATAACGTGGGTGCTATCTTTATGTCAGAGAACAAGACAAGTGCGAGTCGAACAAGGCACATGGATACGAGGTGGCACTACGTGAACCAAATGCAGCAGGACGGCCTAGTGAAGATTGGTTTTGTTCGCTCGGAAGACAACGTGAGCGACATTGGGACCAAGAATGTGAACGTCGAGACCCTCGACAGACATGCACCAAGATTGACCGGAGACAAGGAGCAATTGGTTTGAGTTGGTGCGAAGGTCGCTGCCATCATCGCGAAAACAGGAAGGGTGTTAGAACAAAGGTATTTTCGTATAACGGACAGACGACTAGGGATCCACAGTCACGGTTCGTGATTGGGGATATGTGACTCAGATTCAGATGGTGATCCGATCATCATCAGATGGCCAAGTGTACGAGGAACAAGGACAATGGTCGTCTAGATGATGCAACTACAAAGGATAGGAAGTTAGGTCGAAGAGATGAATGTAAGGAGCGATGGGACGGAGCAAATGAATGGACGGATGAAGGTCCATAGGTTTAGTAAAGTGGGAAAGCCCTCCAGGGCCAACCATGCACTTCAGGAAGATAGATCGATGAGATCTATCTGCAGATGAAACTGCGAGAAACAGAGGATCCTGGTATATGTATGCATATCGGAGCTCAGTTGTAGAGCTCACAATCTGAACGAGAGAGAAAGAGAAAACGAAACGAATAGCCAGTCTACTAGACAGTAGAGCTGGAAGGATATTGATTAAATTAGAGAAATTGTGCGTTCAAGTTCACACCTTTTCAACATGAGAGTGGTTGAGGTGGGTGCCTGCAGGTATGGTATGGTGCGGTCGAAGGTGGTAAGACAACCTCAGATACTGAGTTTTACTGTCTCAGTTGGTTTGAGGCACGCCGCTGCATTGGCAGCCAGGTATGCATACTAGTACAGTACCGTTACGCTCATCAATGTTTACAGTAACCATTGGACGATTTTTGACGTACGACTGTACAGTACATGCAAGCCGGGGACACTTTTTAAAAATTGCACGCTGGTACTCTTTGACAGTGAGAAAGGGTCTACAGTGGGTTGATTATCTACATCTATACAGAAGCCACGGAAGGCCTGGACCGTCCGACGGTTTTCACTTGAAATTCCCCCGACTGATGACGGCTTAAAACATGCCCTTGAACATGCCCTTTAATCTTCAACATGCCCTTGAACATGCCCTTTAACAAATATGCCCTTAAAAATGCCCTTTATGCCTCAAGCAATTCCAATAAGCCTTTGAAACACCATAGAACAAGCCCTTATCACGAATGAACATGCCTTTAAGTAAACATTCCCTTGAATAAACATGCCCTTAAATCGGAAACTTGCCCCTAAACATGCCCTTAATAACATGCCCTTAAAACATGCCCTTAATGGGAACCAGTTGTGGCCGTTTTTTAAAGCCTGAGCGAAAACCGTCGGACGGTCAGGCTTCAGCAAAGAAAAGTCGGAATTAGAGAGTACACGTATGCATACACGTAAGATCGCTTCACCATAGTCCCCGGAATTCTTCAAGGTTCGGGCAGATCGTCGTGGATCCTGGGGGAGTAAGATCCAGCGAGTTAGAGAACACTCTACGTACCTCCACTGACGTCAGTCGAAGAGAGGAGAGGAAAGCTGCTCAGCGACCCAGTGGAGCTCTTGGTGCCTTGTGCTAAAAGAAGGCGGCTGAATGCCTGAATGGTCAAAGACTGGCCACATAGAACAGAAAGGAAGTAACCTTAGATACCGGTACTGAGCTTTCTCTCAAAATACCGGTACTGAGCTTTCTCTCAAAGCTTGAAACACCCGAAAATCCCGGTGAAAATAGATGCTGATGATCGCTGATGTTTCGCGCTTTCTCTTGTAGCTCTCTTGTGTAAGCTTACACGTATGCATACATGTACAGTGTACAGTATGATACTATAATAGTAAACTTGTTGAACTTGTCTGCATAGCTGGTAACTTAATAACTAGCAGCTAGCAAGCCAGGTATTAAGGATCAGAGATCTCGTTCTTTCCTAACCTTGTTAAGGACACGCTACCCCATTAAGTAGCGTAGAGCGGACCTCATTCAGGCTCGCTTTTTGTTGTACCGGTAACATGATTCTATCGAATCTTTCATGATCAGCAACCTGCAGGGTTACTCGGCATTTTGTCTATTTAAGGCTATTGTATCTGATTACAGAGTTGCCTAAATGTTCTATGCTCCTTTGTAAAAGTGGCTTATGTCTCACAATGTCTACGGATGTCTCACAATGTCTCACAATGTCTCACAATGTCTACCAATGTCTCACAATGTCTCACAATGTCTACTAATGTCTACCAATGTCTCACTTTGTCTACACAGTACAGTAAAACAGTACAAAAATGTCTCACTTTGTCTACCAATGTCTCACAATGTCTCACAAAGTCTCACTTTGTCTACCAATGTCTATCAATGTATCACTTTGTCTACTAATGTCTCCTAATGTCGCACAATGTCTACTTTGTCTACTTATGTCTACTAACTGTGTGTAGACATTTACACTTATCGCCAAAACACTTTCCCAAACAGACAAAATGCCGAGTAACCCAGGCAAGTTAACGTTGCACTGAAAAAGCTCACTTTTTGTTGGCTCCTTTGATTTCCTCATAAGCTAAAATAAGAAGTATCATGGGATCCTTATCTTGGAGTGTAACCACAGCGCTTGTGCTGATTTTCCTGGCATTGGTAACTTTGTATATGGACCTAAACTTGCCCGATCTGGTTTTCAGTGGCAGCATTATTGGTGGCAGTGACCTCAACAATGGTATCATGAATGGTATCAACAATGGTATCATCAATGGTACATGTACTGATACAAAAGACACAAAAGATACAAAAGAAGTGGTGCTGTTCAATGCTAGTGGCAATGCCCCAGAACTTGAGAGTTTGTATTTTGTGCACTATCAAAAGGTAGGATCGAGTCTTTTGACATTGCTGAGGAATCGGATTCCTTCCTGCACCAGGAAAGATTGGACCTGTTTCGGAACCCGAGGAGGAGGAGTGGATGCTTGGATGTCCAGAGATGGCCAAGACCACTTTGCCTTTACACCCCAGTCCATGAATGTGTCTCATCTATCCGAGCGAGAACTGGATGGCATGGAAACCTGCAATGACCAATTCCTCAACTGCAAAAATGAATCCATCTTTCATTGCAGCTACACCAACTGCAAACACATTCCGAACAAAGTCACAATCTTCAGAGACCCACACAAATGGTTCCACTCCTATGTTGATTTTGTATGGCTCTACCATGCTGCAAAAGAGAAACCAGACCAAGCAATGTATGACAGTACCACAGCCAGACGTTTGGTTCTACCAAAACAGCAGCAAATCGAATTCACCACAGGAACCAACAATGTTGCAACGGCACTCGACATCCTGCAACACGAGTACGTATTCTGGGGGATCACAGATCAGTGGAAGACCACCGTGTGTTTGTTTCATTGTGAACTGGGAGGAGTGCCCGGGGAGAGTGAACTTCGAAACGTACGAAACAAGGCGAAACTACCCTTCAAGACACAAGATGACATTGATGCAACCATCCCACGACCACACCAGATTGTACCGTCCAACAGCACTCAGTACATCCAGAAAACCCTAAAAGATGATCTCAACTTGTACCACAATCACCTCATGCCACTCTTCCAAGAAAGGGCCAAACGATGCAACTGCATCAACTACATGTAGACACAATCCATCCACAACCTACACGTAGACTACATCTATACTTCTAAACAAGATACGGTAGCCTACTTCATTTTGTCACTACCCCTAGCTAGTTTTGTTGTTGTTCAGCTTTAATTAAGACACTGGCTAGCTACAGTAGCTGGCTAGGTAGTAAACGGGGGTTTAGAGTAGGAAATTATCAGGCTTAATTAAGCAAAGAGTGGTGGGATTCAGAGAGTCCCGTCAAATTGAGCCTGGACTTATGTAAAGGCGATACCGCCATTACTTTTTAAAATGCAAGGCGGTGGATACGATGAGAGAGACAGTCATCTCCTGAGGGTTTGGTTCCGGCGACGCACGGCAACCACAATCCAGCGCAAGGGTGTCGCATATGTAACAACAAAGAGCGTTGAGCTATGCATACCTGGTACCTTACAGGGACGTTGTGATGGAGGAACAAAATCATGCAAGGGACGTGGCTGCGTCAGCCATGCAAACCAGAAAGCCTTGCACCTCATGACCGACAAGAAACTGGAAGCTTCCGTCGGCCGAGACTCGCCCCGTCGTACCATTAGCGGTACCGTACCGTGCAGGAAAGGAAAGGAAGTGAGAGTGCCGACTCGACTCGGTAACACCGAGCGGTCGCACTAGTAGTAACCAGACCAGTCTTCAAGTTTCGGGTGCATGGATGAATCACCGAAACAGAGCTGCCTGGTCGGGGAGCAGCAACGAAGAAGCTACGGGCAACTCGGTGCTTTTTTCCAAAACCGCCGTACCAGCAAGACACAATGGCACATCGTCCGTTTCTCACCGTACCGGTACGACTTTCCAGCACTTCTCATTGCCTCCCTATTCTGTTCGCTTGAATTCTATGTTGGTTGTTCTATTCTTATGCATGTTCTATTGGTGATCTATGTTTTTGATAGCTGCTCGGGAAGTAAGTTTCTCTGTTGGGGCGCAACAGTCGGTTCATTCCCTGGTGGGCTGTTGTTCGGTTCTAATCTGTTCTACGCAAGACTCGTCCTCAGAGCCGTCCTGAAGCATTGCTGCTTCTCTCGCCAGATCAATGAATGTCTGTCTCATGGGTGACATGATGGCCGCCACCTCTTCCATGATATCTTCCTGAAAGCCACGGGCCGCCAGAGAGTCAATGAGATGCCCAGCCACCACATCAAAGTGATGTTCATTCAACCCTTGGGCAAACAAGTGTTGGTGCCGTCTTCTCATGACATCTTCCAGGGTGGCACTGTCTGGTGCCTCTGTAAATGCCATGGCAAAGAACATCTTGTGGTGCCTTGACAAGACTCTAAAGTCAACCCCTTGGAAGAAGTGAGCGAGGCTGGCATCTGTAGCAACACGACTACTGAAATCCTGCATGATACTCTGTAAGGCCAGCATGCCACCCAGACGATCTAGGAGCATTGTGTGCTGCTGTGGACACTGATGATTGCGACGTGGCATTGTGTCATACTGGGTTGGATGATTGTCAATCTTTTGGTTGCTGTTGTCTAGTTCTCGGCTGCTCAGTCTTAAGCTTTGGCGGACATTGAGCAGAAGGCTGCTGTGGCGTTTGACAAACTTGAGGACGTGGGCTACCATCGTAGATCGAGTTTTTGAATTTGATATTGTGCAGGCGATGCTTTTATTGTGAAATTGTGAGCATCGAAAGCTCTACCGTATCTGGGTGCCTTTTCCATTGGAGCAGTCGAACACAGAAGGCGAAAGAGCCATGAAAGATTTGAACACGCTCCAGCAGTGTTGAAGTTGTTCTCTTGTGAATCACTTTGTTGACTGATCGGATGGTTTGTTAACAAGTGAATGTTGAATGAGCCTCTCGACGCATGTCTGAATGTTCTTCTGACCTTCTTCAGTTAAATTGAAAATGCTTCTATTAATAATAGCCGCAGCAAAAGACATGGCTTTCTCAACCTTTAAATCATTGTAGGCCTGCCACATGACCAATTTCGCCACTGGGATGTCTCTGGATCATTGTCGCGAAATCTGGACTCCGCATCTTTGCTTATCGTAGACGCGTAGACGCCGGTACTTCACACTTTAGCCTGCTTCGGTTCTAATAACGTACCGGTACTCTTGAGGGCTGTGTGAGCTATTGCTGTGGCGGCACTGTGACTAGACTCAAAGCTGTGCTACATGATCCTCACCTCGCCTTCAATCTCTGGCTGGCTACCGGTAGATACCGTAGCTATGGTACCGGTACCACCGGCAGGCTGGGAATCGTTGGCTCGTTACCTTTCAGCTGAGTCTGGGCGCCACTACTAGTATTCTCTCAGGGATCCATGGTAAGTTGTTTTGAAGGGGAAGTCATCTCTATGAACCAAAGGTTTCCTTGGACGATGCGGTGGTCCTCTCGGGGCCACTCAAAGACACCATCACCAACAAGGCTGTCTCGCACTTTGAGCAGTTCCGAACCTACCGCAAACATCATCCAGACTTTGATGACGCTATTGCATACGGCGTCGGATTGACTTTGATGTTTTGTGGAAAGTCGGGTAAGTGATTTCTGTGTGTGTTTGTGTTGTGTGTGTGTGTTGTAAAGAGACAGAACGACATGCCAACCTCGTCGTCTTTGGTTCTATGGATACTTACTATAGGGACTGGAAAAACAATGACTGCAAACGAAGTATTCCATACATGGTTGTAGCACTTGACGCATTCCAGGCGCTCGAGTCTTCATCAAAGCCACACGGATGTTCGTCGAAATCATAAAAAATGCAGAACCTTCACCTGAAGCCTTTTTTATTCCTGAAATTTTTTGTTCATTGATGAAACTTCGGTTCATGACTGAAACCTCGGCTCAAGACTGAAACTTCCGTTCATTACCGAAACTTCCGTTCATGACTGAAAACCCCGTTCTATGATCACTGAAAGTTCCGTTCATCACTGAAAATAGAGGCGATTGGAAAACAAGAAAAGCGTCCTGGAATCGAATCGAATGAGATAACAAACGACAACAAGTTAGGAGTGAGACTGTCGGACGGCATGAGACCGGAAATTGGTCTATTGGAAGGAATGGTGCTTTGCCAACCATCGAAGTTTGATGGAAAACGAAGGTTGCTTCTTCCTTGCCTCAGACTGGGTGAATCTTTCGCTGGACATACGAAGCATTTGATGATCTGGCTACGGTCTGCCGTCCTCGCTATCTAGCTAGCATGCTTTACCAAGAGTGCGGCCAATGATGAAAACGTGTGGATGTGCTTTCGCGTATGCATACGTATCAAGCCCGCCCAGAAAGTTCACGCAACTTTTATGGCGGCGTCCTTGCCGGTACGTCCTCTAGAGGTTTGAGACCCTCCTCGTTGCTTTGTTCGGGGTTTGTTCCGGCGTTCCTCTGGTGTTGCTGGTCCAACAAAGTTCAACTTAGTTTGGACAATAATAAGTTGCTTGGAACCGTCAATCGTATAAGGAGAAATTTAGACGGACAGGATCAACTCGAATCTACTCGCCTCAAGCTACGGGAGGAGTGGAGTGGTGTCTAGCTAGGCCTTCGAAACTACATGTAGCGGCACCATGCAGCGTCGAAACGCCTGAAAGTCCATGCCTTCCTCCATGTCTGTCCACCTTGTTCTTCTGTTTTCGTCCTTGGCTGGCTTGAAACTCTTGCAACGTTGAGGACGCAATGTCCGCCTTACTAGCTAGAGTGCTAACAATACATACATTGTCGCTTGTCCCTTCACTTTTCACTCACTTCTATCCAATTTTATCTATCCTGTCTCATTTTATTGTATTCTATTGTATTCTATTCTATTCGGCAACACTTGTGTTTGTAGGTTCTCATTCATTTGGTCCCAAGGAATTGCTCAAAGTGGCTTCTCTGGACAGGACCAGGAATGGTTGCCTCATTGGTTTCATAATGGTTGCCACCTCCTCCAGGATGTCAGACTGAAATCCACGAGCGACCAAGGATTCCATCAAATGATTGGCCACCAAATCAAAGTGATGCTCATTCAATCCTTGTTGGGCAAACAAGTGTTGATGATGTCTTCTGAGTGTAGTTTCCATGGCTTCATTGTCAGGTGCATTTGTTAGTGCCATGGCAAAGAACATCTTTTGGTGTGAAGAGACCAGCTTGTAGTCAACTCCTTGGAAAAACGGGGCTAGGTCCACATCATTGGATATCCGGCTTCCAAAGTCTTGTACAATACTTTGCAAAGCCATCATACCCCCAAGACGATCCAGCAACTTGTGAGTAGGGCATTGTCGGGTGGTGCAGGTATGCACATCATTGCAACACGTGCTGTGGTCATGCTTGCTACTGCTATCCACTTCACGAGTGCTCAATCCGAGGCTGTTTCTGATGCCCATCATGATCATTAGACGACCGCTTCTGCTGCGTTTCACTCTGTTCAGGACTTGAGCTACCATGTTTGTTTTGAGAATAATATAATATGTGGGGGTGGAATTTGTGTGCCATTGGTTGGCTTCAGATTGCTCTTTTGCTCTTTCTGGAGTGGGTTGCTCTGAGAGTCTCCGAGAATCCCCCGGTCGCCCCGGGCCCGTTCTAGCCAATTATATTATGACTACGGCGGAAGCTTCATTAAATCTGATTGAAGGCTTGCTGTGCTGGAAAAAAGCTTACTCATGAGCAATGCGTTCTAAAAGGCTGGTGGCCTTCAGAGCAACTCCAGTGAACAGCTCGTGAATTAAGGCTGCCATGACATTATGAACAACCGCGAAAGTTCTCCTGTCGTTCCGCACGAAATCTCTGTTCTTGGTTTCCACTTACAAGTATGACACACTGTGCAGTACTGTACCCGAACTCAACAAGGTCGATACGGTAAGCCCTGGTACCACCACCCACTCGTAAGACGATGCTGCGGTACCGGTACCGCTACCGCAGGGCTTTGTTTTCAATTTACCGGCTCTGTTTCACGGTACCGGTACTGACATCTTCCGACTTGGCTGCCACTGAAGATCCAGACCTTCCAACCAGGAAACACCTAGTGCTTGGGTTCGAGCAGCTTTCGGACATGGGCCTTTGGTACGGCATGATGGGATACACCAAGAAAAGCTAAGGCTTGCGTGTTGCTTCGATCATACTCTGTTGGCCCATGGTTGGTAGAGAATTTCAGCAGCCACCCATGACCTAAGCTCCTTGTGGTACGATTTAATAAAAATGGGGGGGTTAGAGTAGGGAAATTATCTACGGAAGCCAGCCGGGGCCAGGCTTAAGCAAAGAACAGGCGAAATTCAGGACTAGGTTCTGTGGGATCAGGGGCAAGAAAGTGAGGACCATTACGGGGGCCAAATGGTTTGGCTTTGCGAGATCCACGGAGACATAAATGGGTAGCTTTCACAAGGGCAATGGAGATACGGGTCTGCATGAAAAACATCATTTGAGAGTAGGAAAACTGAGTTTTGGAGGCAGTAGCAGAAGCAAGCCGTTGTAAGAGAATCTTGGCTTGGTGTGCAAGTTAATTAGCGATCCTCGTAGATACTAGCTAGCAAGTACCGGTATGGTGCATATTTCGGGCTTCAGGTGCCGATACAAGGAAATTGCAATGCTTCATTGACCCGGAATGATGCAATCATTCGGTCGTTGTTCCCATCAAGTATGGCAGACACAAGCGTACCAAAGAGCTACCAAAGGCACTCAGGACCGGTCCACCCTCCGACGGTTTTCCCTGCACAAAATCCAAAATCCAGGTTCTGGTAAGTTGGTCTACTACCTAGAGTAGTAGACGTCCAGTCTAGCTAGATCTAATGTGAAATGAAAAAGCGTGTGTTGAAGCTTTAAAGGAATGTTTCTTTGAGGGGAATGTTCATTCTTGATATGGGATTGTTTAAGGGAATACTTTTCGACAAGGGATAGTGTTTTAAAATGGAAGGGTTTGCCACATCACGATCTCGCGAGCCTCTTCTCGCATTCAGCACAAGTTCATTCCGCTCAGTCGCCGTTCAAAACCCCTTTCATCTGACCTTGCAATCGTAATCCCTTCTACTAGCTAGCTAGTATCTTCCAATGAGTTCATGAAAGAAGCAGAAGATCAGGTTTGTCGTCACTGCCTTGTCTGGGCCCAAACATCTCGAGCTGCGAAGCGCCAATCTGGAGATAGACCGGTCTTCTCTTCTGGGTATAGCACTAACCCTAGCAGTACGTGTAATCGGGACCTCAACGCGAACTTGGTCACGGTGGTTTAAGGATCTTCGCAGCTCTGTACCGGTGCTACCTCGGTGGTGCCAGTAGCACGAGCTCCAGATCAAACCATGACTGCACTTTTGTGACGAGAACGCTGGAGTGCTCGTTCCTCCTTGATCCCAGCCACTTATTTTTTGGTTCGGGAGACGTGATCACGACTGCTTGCCAGCTACGAATCTATGATGGAGCAGCGGTCTTCCACGCGCTGCAATAAGCTTGCAAGGAACAGTCCAAGCGAACGGACGGTGCACACGCACATCGTGCTTCGCAATGATTGGAACGGTCCAGTTTCCATATTGGCCTCACTTATGCATAGTTGCCTTCGCTCTATTTGTTGTTTTTGGATTGAAGTTATCTTGGGATTCGCAAATTCATCTATGAAACGTGGTTAGTTGCTTCGAGACGAAGGGAGTAGGTATTCAAGGATAGCACACACACAAATGAAACTAGAAAAATGAAGGCATTCCTCGTCACCTCGAAGCTTACGCTGCTGTTGCAGCTGCTCTGGCACTCTGCATCTATACCCGCACCGGTGACAGCACTGGGACTCATCAAGGTTCGTTACGGATACTTCCCAGAGGCGCGTCCTATACATGCCGCGTGCGCTCGTGGATTCTTTGACTTCTACGATGCCCCCACGGAGACGACGTACATGGTTGCATGCTACCCGCAGACTTCGGGTGGATACGCTGCAAGTCGTTTGGACAATAGCCAGCTACATATCGCCAATCTGGGGAGCACACCCGCTGCAATGGCCATCGCTCGAGGCATTGACATTCAAGTACTGTACGTATCCCACTATATGGGAGAATCTCAGGGCATCTACGTCCGGCCCTCCAACCCTCCGTACAAAGCCATTCAAACGCCCTTCGACCTCGAGGGGCGCACCATTGCGGTTCCCTTTGGGTCCACGATGCACTACCAGGTACTATTCCTCGTTGATCTATTTGGGCTGGCTGGGTCAGTCAAGCTCCTTGACTTGTCACCCACTCAGATCATCGAAGCGTGGAATGCCAACGAAATTGATGCTGGCGCGTGTTGGGGACTTGCACGAGATCACTTGCTGACGAACGGCAAAGCTGAAACGCTTTTGACGGCAGCAGATTTGGCAAATTGGGGAAGACCCACCTTTGTGGTAGTGGCCGCCACGCGACAATTCGCGTCCAAACATACAAACTTTATCAATCACTTTGTTGCCATTCTCAGCAGACTCAACGATAGCTTCATTGATCGATTGGGAGGGAGCGACATTCAGAACGTGCTGAGATGGGAAGGACAACAAACGTTGGCAGGAAGTTCGTACATGCCTTCATTGGTCGATGCATTGATGTTTCCGCAAGAAACACCTCGCAATCCATCTCGAAGCAGCCTTATCAAACAAAGAAATTTCCTCGAGCTCTTCCACCAACTACCCGCAGGTCTCCAATTGTCGTGTAACTATTTGGGACCCATGCCCGGAGCTTGCACCAAGCCAACGTTGGTGCACGAAACACTCAAAGATACTGCGAACTTCTTGTTGGGTCAAAAGGTCATTGCCACGTTGGGGAGACTCGAGCAACTGTCGGATGATGCAAATGGATGTCAACAGAATCCAAACTCTTCGTCAGTCACGCCATTTTGTGCCAGTGACATCGTTGACGGTTCTTTCCTTGCGGCAGCGCAGCGAGTATGTTCCAACTGTTATCCAGTGGGGCTGTACGCCGCAGGTGGTTCGACGACGGGCAACGACAATCTATTGAGCGAACTGGAACGACTCGACGCCCAATCCTTGAAGTCTCGAAGTCTCCGTTTGCGGAAAGTGAGGTTGGACGGAGGCCCCAAGGCGACTCAACGTGCCAAGGTGTGAAAAAAATAGCAGGAGATGCACCAAACACGGTCCAAGGTTCGTTTGGTGATGGTGCTAACGGTAAGTTTTCCTTTGATTCGCCTTCTTCTTGCACTCCAGCTTGTCGTGCACACCTGCTGAACATGACGGCCACTCTCATGTGCTCAACTGTCGCCACGTCGTCTCACTATAGGTCTACCTGGAAAGAGTTATTCCGACAACCTGAATTGTTGGTGGGAAATTCGTGCAGTGGATTGCAATGATCCGGACCAACAAGCGTGCAATAGGTTGGTAGATATCGAGCTGACGTCTCTTCGTCTTTGGTCTGGCGACTTCATCCGAATATACTCGGACCCGATATTCAAGAGATGCCAACCAGATTCCACATCCAACGTGCTCGTGGCCCAACTTTCAGGATTCCAGGAGCGTTCGTCATTGCCCAACTTCCGGGGAAGGGGGTGTCTCCTCTTCCAGTTTCAAACAGACGGCAACGCCGAAAAGTCTTATGGGGACAACTTAGGCGATGGGTTCACAGCCATATTTGATCGAAGCGCAAGCCCCTGCAGAGATGCTTCCCACTGCAATGGCAACGCTTGTCTTGATGGGATGTGTTCTTGCCCTGGTACCTTGTTTGGAGCTGCATGTACCCATGACCGCTACTGCTTGGGAACCACCCAAAAAGCTCTGAAACCGGGGGAAGTCTTCACTATTCGGAGTTCCCTGTCCTCAACCTTGGCTAGCATTCAAAGTGCAGACCCCAACGGCATTGTCAAGCCCACCGAAGCCTACAGGAATGACCTTGATTGTTCTTGGGACTTGTCAGTTCCGCCTGGCCACGTGGTGAAGGCAACTGTTTCCCATGATTTGGAATTACACGATTTTCTATACCTGCAGACGGGTGCATTGAGCTATGGCCAGGGACGCAGTCCTCAGTCCTACACGGTTTTGACAGGCACAAATAAAGGTGATTCTGCTGACTACTACCTTCCTTCAGATGCAAATGGCTACGCAAGCTTGCATTTCAAGACAGACTCTCGTGGTCGCCGTAGAGGTTTTTACGCAAAGCTCCAGGCAATTGACCCCTCTGGAGTTCAACCTGAAGGAACGCCGTGTCCTATACCGGGCTACAGCGGGAGAAACTGTGAAGTCCCGCATTGCGTTGCAAACAACGACTTCCAATCACCAAAGCAATCGTCGGACATTGTGGCTTCCCACGTGCTAGGTCGAGTGGTGAGTCAGGCAGACGGCATGCCAGTCAGAGCAGCTCCTTGGGCTCCTGACGGCGGATGCCTCTGGAATATTCAAGACATACCTACTGAGGAAGTAGTCGCAATCCGCTTCGTCTTCAATTCTCCGCTCGATTTGGAACCGCGGCCCGCCTTTGCCACTGGAGACAGTTTGGTGCTCAAAACGTCCACTGGAAAGGAAACTATGTTCTTCATGGAATCATGTGAAAGAAACGACACATGTTCTTTCCCCTGGCAGACTGGCTCGTGCACCAGAGGTGGATGCGAAGTTCAGGAGGCAGTTGAAGCAAAGGTTGACAAATCTTCCACCATTCGTTTCGTAACTGACAGAAATGATGGTGGGCTTGAGTACCGGTACGCTGGGCTTGATTTTGATGCCTTGCTTGTCGAAGAATGCCCAACTCAAGCAGGAATGAAACACTGCGAAGCAGCAAACTCAAACGGGAGGTGTTTTCATGGGCTCTGCTATTGCGCAGGGGGTGTCCCCTGTGCGTGCCCTTGCGAAGGCGAACCACCCAGCACAGTCGCAGCGAAAGTGGGGCTCACGGTTGGCATAGTTGTTCCACTCTTTATGATGCTCGTCGGTGGCTTTCTATTCTACCGCCGGCGCAAGATATTGGCATCTCGAGAGCAGAAAAGAATAATTGCAGAAAAGGAGGCTGAGCTGGAGGCGTTCCGTGATTCCATTGGTAGGTAGGGGGCGTTTCCTACGATTTTCATTCTGCCGAACAGTAAGTTCTCACACTATCCTCAATTGCTTTCTCTGGAACTTTTAGTCGGTATGAGAGTCGCCGGTGAGTGACGAGTCGAGTCAGCCAGGCAGACGAGTGCGCTTCGTTGCTTTTGTGCAAGCCAAATTCCTTACCCCTTCTTCTTTTGCCTGCTAAAGTGCGAGAATATGTGCCAGTGCCAATGAAGACAAAGAAAGGCAGAGCATTGTCAAAGACAAAGTCTTTGAGACTTTCCGTCACGAAGGAGCCTCCCAAAATCGTTTGGTGTTGGGAGGAGACGACTCATCTGATGGGAAGTCACACTCCAAGTAGAATCTTTGGTGATCCAAAAGACTGTTGGATTCGCTATGACAAGAAATGCAGCGCCATGCTGGAGGATGCCTACCAAAACAAATCTGGTGGGTGCCGTCCTCTGAAAGGCTACTTTGTAGATACGAACGCAATGATCCAGACAAAGGAAGCGACCGGCTTCCAGCGAAAGGTGCAACGAGTTGTGTGCAGGAAATCCGTGGAGGGGACAAAAGATCTGGACCTTTCTGAGGCAAACTTTAGTGATGGCATGCCAACGGAACTTGCCGGGGAACCTCAGGTTGTGCTGGTAAAGGATGACTTGATACAGATATCGAAGAGACACGGGGATTGGGCGTTTGGAACCAAGGTACGAACGAACTCTCCACCAGACCGTTTGCACTTTGACAACCATGCATGCCACGTTTACAGTATCATTCGTTTTCTGAAACTTTTGACTTTGAACGCGAATTAAGCTGTATCATGCGGACGAAGCAGTTGCCAGGGAACTTGTGAAACTGGCTTGCAAAGACGCTCCTAGTACAGACGATGCGAACATCCTTGCTGACACTGGCTGGTTTCAAGAGGATGCAACAGCTGTTCCTACGGGCGACCAACTAACTGCTTTGCAGGCCAAAGTTGGAGATACAAACGCTCTGGACGCCCCTAGTCACTGGATCCCAGTGACGGATCCAACCGTGGCCGAAAGGCACCCCCTGAGTGTTGGCGATACGGAGCGAGATGTCGTTGTTTCTGCTTTTTTGAAGTCCCTCAAGCCACCGCAATTCAAAAAGAAAGTCAGGGTAAGTGCTATTTGACAAGTAAATGTGGCAGCAGGTCTGATCTGTTTCTGTCATGAGTTATTTGGAATGATTCTCACGCTGTCGTCCTCGGTTTCTGCATTGGGAAGGTTTCAACTGTGGAAAGAGTTCAAAACCTGGCCATGTGGCAGAGCTTTGTTGTCAAACGACAGACCATTTGCTGGCGTGAAACAGAGATGCTCGATGATGGCTCCTCGAAGGATGTACAAAAACGTGCTCTCGAGCGTATTGAACGGCGGTGGCTTTGGCACGGAACGAATGCCGAAGTGATGGACAAGATCATGCAGCAAGGGTTCAACCGAAGCTTTTGCGGAAAGGTGAGCAAGTCAATTGTCGTTTCTCTGCATGTCGTCGATTCTTGTTGCCCGTTGACTGAATCACTTGTTTGTTTGGCACTTCTGAAAAGAATGCAACCATGCACGGCAAGGGCGTCTACTTTGCGAGAGATGCTTCGTACTCTGCTTCTGAGGTTTATGCGGTTCCTGACAAGCATGGCTACCAGTACATGCTGGCGTGCCGTGTTGTTGTGGGTGAGTACTGCAAAGGTGTTATGGACGCTCTGACACCCAGCGTTCGAGACTCCGCGACGAATATCCTCTACGACTGCACGGTTGGATTGCTTCCGAACGACACCATGGCCAACCCCTCGATTTACGTCACATACCACGACGCCCAGGCTTATCCAGAGGTGAGCAAGCTGAGCAACTGTTGCTGCTCAAATGATGCATGCGTGGAGCTCATGTCCCTTCTTTGTTTTCTGCGCAGTACTTGATCCGATTTCGGTCTCACTAGAGAATGGACACAGGTTCATGAAGACTGTCTGCCTTCGTTCTGTTGCGTTCAAGCAGACGATTCAACCGGAGGATACCGTCTTCAGGTGGAGCTGTAAGAGAGAAGTAGATACCAGGTACCGGTAGTAGATCCAGTCAGGCCACGGGCCCAGGCTGTTGCGAGCTTGCAACCTGTACCAGTTCAAAGATTCACCAAGTTCGGCTTCCAGATCTTGCAGTCAACAAACTCAATAAACTAGACAACTTCGCTACTCTTTCTAGAACCCTCTTCGCTTGAATAAAGGCACCCTTTTGGGCCTGTTGCATCATCGGCTTGCAAATTTGGATGTACATGACAGTGTATTCCAATCAAACGTGCAGATATTTGGGCTTCGTGATCTTCAAAACTAGTAAGTCTCAGCTCTAATGGCTTTTATACGCAGCAAGTCGTTTGGGTGACGTGTCTCTCACCTGGCACCTGGCGTTAGTTAAACAGTTGTGAGGGAGTGTGCGTACTAAAGCCTCCGAGGATCCTTTTTTTCCAAGCGAGAAACTGGCGAGTCTGAAACTCTAAGTCTATTAATGACGGATTCAGAGATGAAGTGTCCGACAACAACCGGTAGAACGCTACTTAACAATTACCCGGCATTGTTTTCCCACTTATTTTACCCGGCAAAGATTGAAGGCCCATGGAGTAATGGCAACAATCTAGGCTCACAATTTTAACTTCCAGCAGCCAAAGTCAAGTCAATAACTCCAAGCAAACAATCCAAGATGATGCGCGTTTTGTTCCTCTCCATGCTCCTTGCTGTCTTGATCGCCATGGCATCTGCTTCCCACCATGACGAATCCGGTCGTGTAAGTCCATTGCTGTTGTTGCTTCTTTGTCTGCTTGCTTGCTTGTCCTTCGTAGCTACTAGCTACAATGGCTCATCCATCCACTCACATACATGAATGTTTCAGGCGCTTCGTACCCCTGCTTCCCACCAGCCCAAGCATGTAAGTCCACTACTGATGTTGCTTCTTTTGTCTTTCTACTTGGTTGGCTGGTTGTCCTTTGTACTAGCTATTGCTTCATCCACTGCCTCTCTCACACACACATACACACATGCGTGCATACATGAATATTAAATTTCAGGAGACTCGCAAACTTGATGAAAGTGGAGACAGTGGAGACAGTGGAGATAGTGGAGACGGTGAAGGTGAAAGTGGTGATGATGCTGATGATACTGATGATGAGGACTGCTATGATGCGTGCTGGGGTGATGCTACTGACGAAGACATCGATGCCTGGACTGAGGACCAATGGGTTGAATGGGAGACGTGTACTGATGCAGCCTGCGATTGCGCCGATGACGAATGCGCAGCTGATCCGGATTGTGTGGAGGCTGCCTCCTGTGCTTAGATGAAGCCATGTAGACGAACAAAGGAAAGAAGGAAGGAAGGAAGGAAGGAGGAGAATCAAGAATATGGGCATCAAGGAAGATGCAAGGACGGTTTGCTAGTTTGCTGGCGAGTTGCTCCACATTTGTACTAGATGGATGTTGAGCGAGCGACTGTATCATGGCTGGCTAGAAAGCAAGAAGTGTGTGTTGCAGCAATTCCCAGTGACTACAAGCAAGCAATTTTGGAGGAGAACAATGACATGCCTATAGTTTATAGGTGCATTACTAATAGAAAGAAAAGTGAATGATTCAATCAATGTACCTACGGAAATTGACGTTTGCTGCTTCAACCACTGTTTCGTGGTGGGATGACCTCTTGTCCTCCACGTCAACAGCTCGTTAAGGAGAGAGATAGGAGAGCTGCCATTACCTCGGCAGGTTAACTGCCTGAGTTCTCAACCCCTTTATTACTATTTCCTATTCCGGTGAAGCCAAAATATAGGGATAGAGATAGTCATAAGCCAACCGAACTGAAAATTAATTGAAGGTTCTACAAATTTAAGGGCACTCAACACAATAAGCCAGCACAAGCTACAAAAGTTACAGTTCCATAAGGGAATGACAGCTGTAAAATTATGGTTAGTGGGCGGCAACACACGACGAAGTCGGGTGTTGTCGCCAGGGCTAGCTAGAATAAAAACCAGGGCTAGCTAGAATAAAAAAGAAGGTTGCAATGAGGGAATGATACGACTGCACTGGGCGGCAACACACGACGAAGTCGGGTGTTGTCATCAGGGCTAGCTTGAAAGAAGACTGCAATCTCAAACATGTCATCCTTCTTCTATCTGCTTTCTGCCGAGGTATCGCAGCTTCCGCTGACTTAATTGCACGCTTTATTAGATTGTGTTTGGAAGTTGTTTTCACACGGCTCTCTTGGCTTCTAGCCAGCTATTTCTGTCCGTTTGCGGTCGTTGGGCACCGTGGATCCTTTTTTATTCGGGCCTTTCCTCCCAGCCAACAAGCCAGCAAGGTGTGATCTTCCTTGGCAACATTGGGCTGGATTGTTGCCTGGGCCCTTGAAGCTTGGAGGAAATCGAAGGGTCATAAATCAAAGATACCATATGGATCCGATTTCAGCCCAACTCTGCGGTGACTACTACTGGTTGCACGGCTTTAGCTAGCTAGCCATTGTGCATGCCACCATGCTATCTTGCGTAGCAAAGTCACATTCGGAGCTCAGGAAGCAATGTTTACTTCTTCTTCACGGCAACAAGCCTAGAAGACGAACTTGCTAAGCGGTCCTCAGCCATACCACCTTATCTAGCTAACTAGCTAGCTAACTATAGCCACCTTGCGGGATAGCTTGCTGTGTTGGCTAGCTAATAGCTGCCAACGGGGTTCCCGTACTTGCTTTTCGTTCGGGTTGGCAAAAACGCGACCATGGCAGAAAAAGGCGACAATGACGGACCGTCGGAGCGGAAAGAGAAAGTTGACGTTTCGACGATGAAGAAGAAGTTTGCTCGTACCATCAGCCAAGAGGATGCAACCCAGTCGCAAGCTTCCCCAGGAGCATCAAGAGCTACGAGGGGGCGACAAGGGGAACCCATGTCGGTGTCGTCTCACTCGAGCAGTGGCTCCCTCCGCCGATCCGCTACGACGAATATCACCACGGCACGAAAGTCCTCTCACTCGCCTCAGGCAGCTATGCGCAGAACTGCCACCACAAATCCCCGAGATAGAATGGGCGTCAATGCCACCGCGCTCAAGATGCAGGAGAGGGCTGCCAAAGACGCAAAGATACGACAAGCAGCAACGGCAAAACGAAGCAAAGCAATTGGAGGCTCGTCCGATCATAGCTCAAGTGCTCGTCATCGATCACGTAGTAAATCCCCTTTGCGTTCCCACACTTCGCCAGACACGATCGGGGGCATGGTGGGATCTGCTGCCGGTGCTACTGCTGCATCGTCAGGAACGGCGGAAGCGACAACTTCCAGCCATCGAGGTGCATCCGCTGGGACTGCCACATCTAGCACGACGGCATCCAGCCATCGAGGAGCATCTGCCGCCTCAACTACGAGCAGCACCAGCACTACATCTGGTCCCAGGTTGTCCACAATTGGGCGGGAGTTTGACAACGACGTTCTTTCTGATCTCCCAGAAGGACCAATGACAACGACTCACTCCAATGAAAGAGAGTCCATGACCCTGCCAGGTGGCACCGGCACCAACCGTCCCTTCTTTTCCTATATCCGACGTCAAACGAGCGAGGATGCTAGTAGATCTAGTGCTGGTAGTGGGAGCTTGCAAAACGTTGCCAATTTCAATTTTCTAAGTCTGGGAAGCAGAGGCAGTGGCACGCGGTTGTCGGATGCATCCTCACAGGGAGACGGGACGACACCCAACCTGGGCAGTACACTCTTGGCGGATCGCAATGAAAAGTTCAAGCACCAACAATACGTTGATCAGAGCGTCAATCTTATGGATCCTGACTTTGCCACTTTGGGCAGCGATGATCAGTCCAACACCAACAGGTCGCGCCGCGCACGTTTTGCCAACGACAAGAAGTCCCAAACATCTGTAATGGATCTGGTATTCGGTGGAGGACACAATGCTAGGGTACGAAAGAAGTCGATGGTCGAGGTCATACTTGGGCCAGATCCGCGGACGTTCAAGCAGCGGCAAAGTTCGTTTCGTGATGATGAAGACTCGACTTGTGACAGGATTTTGAGCTTTTTGGTATCCAATGCAAGTTGTATCATCATCCTTCTGTTGCTCATTACAGCCACACTGATCACCGCCCTTATCCTCATCGATCGAGTGCCAGCAATGTCTAGTCCAACGGCGCCCAATGTTGTACTTGCCATCCCTTCAACTCCTGAGCCCACATTAGGGTCTTCCCCCAACCCGACACAGGCAACAGAACCAACGCATGCACCTGTAATTACTCCACAACCCTCACCGGCAACATCAACTGTGACAGCAACTTCAGGGGCAGCAGCCACAAGATCGTCCACCAATGTAGAAGAGACTTCGCAACAAACTCAGCACACTGCTAACGTAAATGTCAAATCAGCCATCAAATTCGTTCACAAGAAAGGAGTCCCACATGACGCCAGCAAGTCAGCTGCAACTGCCCACACTGCTGCAAAGAAGCACAATGACGGACTTCGGCCAAAAGTATTCTCGCTCCCCATCAAGCAAAAGTCAACGCCGGCTCCTACTGCGACCCAACTGCCTTCGGATCCGAAATCACACCTGGAATCAATCATTGTTCAAAAGTATGGTCTGACAGATCCCACTGATCTCGTGGATCCTCACTCAAGTGCTGCTCGGGCACTCGAATGGGTACTGCAAACGTGGCAGGGCGAACCAATTGAGGTAGATGCCGATGAAGGCGATGGCATGGACGAGCAAAAGAATGTTGAACGGTACATCGCAGCGGTCTTTTACTATGCAACGCAGCATGAGGAAAACTCGAATCATTCCTCGTCACGACGACATTTGAACCATGGCAATTCACACGGCAAAACCCACGGTACCAAGGGTGCTGAGGAAGGAACTAACTGGATTGAAAGTAGCAGTGATGAGTCGATTTGTCAATGGAAGGGGATCCGATGCAACAAGAGAGGGATTGTCACTCATCTGAAGCTACCTCGTGCAGGCCTACGAGGGACACTGCCATCGGAACTGCAGGGACTCAAGGTAAGCGCCGTTGTGTGGTGGCACAGCCTTTTGTGCCTGCTCGTTCTAACGGAATGCACACCTTGTAGAATCTTTATGAGTTGGATGTTGGCCACAACGAACTTCATGGGACCATCCCAGACGAGATTGGCAACCTGTCAACCCTCACCTACTTCGCCGCTCCGGACAACACGTTGACTGGAACGCTTCCGCCATTGGACAATCTCGTTCACCTTCACGAGATCAATCTCGCCAACAATAATCTGGAAGGACCCATTCCGTCCAGCTTCAACGGTTTCCAAGACCTGTTGTATGTTGTGCTCTCTGGAAATAGATTTGAGAAAACCATACCAACCTTCACAAATTGTGGCAAACTGAGTAAGTCTTTTGCTGAGCTTGCAACCGGGTCACACTTACCCATCTCACGGAACGTGATTCATCTACATTTGAAAGAAAAATTGGAGCTGCAAGGCAATAAAATGACGGGGATGATTCCCTTGGAAGCACTATCAAAGCTTGAGAAGCTCGGTGAGTGCTTTGATTGCAAACCGTGGAGCTGCGTCTTTGTTGCTCTTGGCAATCCACGTCTACTGGGTTCTCCTCACAAATGTTTCACTTGTCTGCATAGAGGAGCTTAGACTTGGCCACAACTTGTTGACCGGAACTCTTTCATCCACTGGCATCAAAAAGTTTGCCAGTTTAGGTGAGATTTGGTTTCTGTGTGCGTGGCACATGATGGAAACAGAGCTCACCCTTTGCGTTTGCAGCTGTGTTGTCGCTCCCAAGCAATCACTTGGGAGGAACATTTCCAGACGTTTTCGACTCTGTAAGTGCTGTACGAGCCAGGGAGAGTGAATTCTGATAGAGCATCGCTGATGAATTGTCGTCGTTGCTGAATCATGATGAAAAGCACTGGTTGGGGTTCCGTAAGTGCTCGACGAGGCAAAGTGATATAGAGAGAGAACAATGACGGATCGCTGACAGTCTTGTTTTGCTCCATCACGATGGCCTAGACGAGCTCGATATCACAGGCAACGCCTTTCGAGGGCCCCTGCCTGCTACTCTTGGAGTCCACACAGAAATTAGTGAGTACTAGATCTGGATTTTCTAGGCTGGACCACCGATCGCTTTCATTCGTAGCTGACATTTTCTTGTTCGGCCTCTTGCGCTCTTCAGAACATCTCAACCTAGGTGAAAACCTGTGGACGGGTTCAATACCTGCGCTCTGGTTTGGACTCACGAACCTGCAGTCTCTGGTGGTAAACAATAGTACACTGAGTGGCTCGATTCCGGCGATTCTAGCGGAATTAAAACACCTTCGGAATCTGTTTCTCAATCACAATGTAAGTGCAAGGGGGTGGGATACTTGATTTGAGCAGTACCGGTATCTTGTCTCTGCAGCTGATATATAAGCTTGCATTGCCGACCATATGTATAGACACTCACGGGACCAATTCCATCGGAGCTTGGAACCTTGAAAAAGCTGAAACATCTGCACCTCGAAGACAACCGTCTCACCGGTGAGATACCTCCGTCCTTTGCATCTCTGGTGGGCAGTCTAGGTAAGCGAATGCTTGTTGGACACTTGCGAGCTAGTTCTTCCGTGCGTGATCTGACGGTTCACGAGCGCGCCTAAACTTCCACGGTCAACAGAGTCCCTACTGTTGTTTCGCAACAACCTCGAAGGCAACACATCGTCACTTTGCTCCGAGGACGTTTCCAATCTACAAGAGTTTGCCACAGATTGTCTTACTGAAGTTGTCTGCGATTGTTGCCTTACATGTTATTGATGAACGATCGGTAGACGATCTATATCGCTGCTGCATGATCGAATGATTCGCTCAATCAAAGAGGCAACACTGCCTCTTACTTGACAAAGAAGAGAACAAGGAACAGTTTTCGCAATAAGAAGCATGTCGCCGCTGCACGAAGACGAAGCAATTAAGTACAGTATGACGTGACTTCTGACTAGCTAGATAGAGATTTCATTACGAGCTTCATTGATAGATACTATCTCATGATCGAGCTTGCAACCGGACCGTAACAAACACAAATCGAACCGGTTTGCACCACTGAGCCGGGTTTGGTTACATGTAATTGTTCCACGCTGACGTCCCACTCTTTCCTAGCAGAACGCTGGCGCGCATCTGGTCCTACAAGTTGGGCGCGACCAAACCAATTTGAACTACAGTACAGTGTAGTACATTCTTTGAAAAGCATGTCCAACTCAAACCACGTCTCACGTCACACAATTGCTGACGTTCGTTTTATTTTATTTTGAAATGAAATGGCATGAAATCATTTCGGCTTTTGATTTTGGTTTGTTGTGACGTTGCCCGATTTTGATTTTGATTTTGAGTTGTCTTTGAAACAGTTTCGCTGAAATGAAACGACCGCAAATGAAACGACATAGCAAAACCAAGCTCTTTCTCTCTTCACTCAGCACAACAACACAACAACACAAAAACAAAGTCTTCTTCTTCCTCTCGAAGACTTGCATGACGATGACACCTTTGCCGGTGCTGCTTGCAGGAGAGTGATTGGGCTTCCCCTGTGGGGCCCACCGTTCACTCTTCGCCGGCAATGGTGTTGTCTTGCGGTGGTTCCATTGTGGGGTGGGTCGTCCTCGTGCATGACGATGACACCTTTGCCGGTGCTGCTTGCAGGAGAGTGATTGGGCTTCCCCTGTGGGGCCCACTGTTCACTCTTCGCCGGCAATGGTGTTGTCTTGCGGTGGTTCCAGTGGAGATGGAAGCGTACTCGTGCAACGGTAAGTCCACGTGTTCCTGTCTTTTGTGCCATTGCAAGTTTCACGGTCATCGACCAATCGTTGCAGCCTCATCCTCTTTAGTTCCCAACGTAGGTCGCCTCCATCTTGACTCAGTCGTCTTGCGGCGGTTCCAGTGGGTTGGTTGGCTGCCTTGTGCTCCGTGACCATGCATGCTTGGCCTTGTCTCTGTCCGTCGGGTTGGTCGGTTGACTGGTTCCTTCTCTCCGACCTTCTCTCCGACCGTGCGTGACCCTTGGACTGGCTGGCTGGTTGGCGTCGAGCTCCTGTTCACTCTTAGATAGCTTAAGTCTCACACTTCTTCTCTCTCTTGTGGTTCCAGCCGTCTTCTTGGTCTCTTGGCTCAAGACCAATCATCCTACTGCACTTCCTACAGCCCCACCAACAAATCATCCCACAAATCCACCTCAACACCGCCTATACCAACTCTCCCACTTCTCCGCTACGTCTCCGCCATGTCTCCGCCGTCAAACCCTCCCAGCTCCTCCCAGCTCCTCCCACCAAAATCCTGTTGCCGCCTCAATCTCCTTTCGTTCCCAGATTGTGTCGTCTCGCGGTGGTTCCTTTGTGGGTTGGTTGGTTCGTCCTCAATGTTCGTTGACAATGGCCGTTCGTGTTCCACTCTCCTCATCAACAAACGCACAGTTACGGTCCGATAGCTAGTGAACAGCATGCATGCATGCATGACATTCGTAGTTCTTCGTTCGGAGTCAGCATTCGCGTTGGAAGTGGCCGGGGTAGATTCTTTATGGACTGTCCTCGATCACTTCATCACTGAACCAAACTGGCAGCCATGCATGCATGCTTGCTGTCTTTGATTTTGCTTTCAGCACAGCTCAAGTCTAACCTTTTGTTGCCATTCTGCTTTTTCTTAGCTATGCAAGTCGAGCAACCGTTTCTTCCGTTGTGGGGTTGGTTTGGTCCCTGCTCGACTCCACTCCACTCGACTCGACTCGTTCCGCATCCACACAACTGTTAATTCACATTCTTCTCCTGATGCCATCTTCTAGTGCTGCTTATAAGCAGCCACTCCATCGGGGGTCTTGCGGGGGAGACTTGTTGGCGGCCATTTCATGAGACGTTCACCGTTCTAGCTAGACGTCGATTCAAAAAGTCATGCCACCTGCTCAAGTCTAACCCTTTCTCGCGCTTCCTCTCTCCTCTGCTTCCACACCTTAAAAGATCTTAGGACTCTCAGCCACAGTTGAGGAAAAGGTTATCCTTGGCGTTCACATTTGGAGTTGCATGTTGCGTGGGCTTCTTGCCGCCATACACCACTAGCGCCTTCAGCAAGCACTTGCCCCCCACATTTAGATGTAGTGTTGCCGTTGGGCAACGGTGATCCTGTCATGGTTCGTACTGCTTCCCCTCGCTTGCTTGGAGCTTGATCCGTGTAAAGTCTATGGACCACTCTCGTTCGTCTGTCTTTGCAGTCTTCCCTTCTCCAGCCCAGCTCTTTCATTCGCTCTGCCTACGTTTTCACCCCGGAATCACCGGTTGTAGCCACGTACTCTAGCTACCGGTAGCTCGACCGTAACGTTCGAAAATGAAAGGAAATTCTGACTGAATCTTTTATGGTTTATCTACGTATCTTCGACAGATCTCCGTCAACATGCATCTTGATTCCCAAGCGCCCAGAAGCAGTTTGCTATCGAGCGACTATGATTTGTACTCCCGTCGTAGGCTGGCCAACTAGCTTGTAGCTCGCCTGTGATTTGTTCACCGGCTAGCTAGTAGCACCTAGTAGCACTTGTGGCAACAAACACAAGATACTGAGCCTCCGTCGCTGCAGTCGGCCGTCAGATAGCGCAGGCTGTTGTCGGAAACAGCCAAGCAAAGAGAGTCTGAAATCGTACCGGTCAGGGAATTGTGGTGCAATCGAAGTGTCTCTGATTTTAAAATACACACAAAAACGCAGAAAGAAACAAAAGTCAGAGTGAGTACACGGCTCAAAGAGCGAACCTCTAGATTGCATCAACTGCGCATTAATTCCGCAAGTAATTGACTCACCCAAGTCCTCATAATTGGATGCAAAGGCGGGCACTGGACCTGTCAACTTGTTGATCTGCAAGTGTAGTTTCTTTATCTTCAGTAGTCCAGTTTCCAGCTCTGCGGGGATCTTTCCATGGAGATGCTGTCGCAAAGAGCAAACAAGCAAGCAAGCAGCCAGAACAACCAGTCAGACACGGCGACGAGGGAAGGAAGACAAAGTTATCTTTTCGTCTGCTCAATGGAACTCACATTGTGGCTCAAATATAGCTCTGTCATGTTTTCCAGCTTGCCGAGGCTTGTGGGTATTCTGCTACCCAAATGGTTGTGATCCAAGTACAGCGCCTCAAGGGGCGCATCCGCTAGTGCGGCGGGAATGGCGCCCGAAAGAGTGTTCTCCTGGAGAGCCAGCTTTTCGAGGTTCGCCAAGGAACCTAGCTCGCTCGGGATGGGTCCATAAAAGCTGTTACCGCTCAGATCCAACTCGACCAGTTGCTTTAATCACCAATAGAAGGACACCGCCACAACAACGCGTTAGAAAGGCCAGAACAACGAGACAAGGCAAACCGCACAATCAATCAATCAGATAGTTTCAGAACGAGCACGTACCTCGAATCCTCTCATTTCGGTAGGAATGGTACCACTGAGACCATGATTGGACAAGTCAATTTCGGTGACCAAGTCGTCATCATCACATTCGATTCCTTTCCACTTGCAAATATTACCAGACACCAGCCAATTGCCCTTGCCCTTGGGGCCCTTGCCATTGCTGGGGCCCTTGCCCAGATGGCGTAGATGTTGTGGGGTATTCTGATTCTGGCTCGATAGCCTCGTCGACAACGAGTGAACATGAACCGGAGGGGCCGTGTGCGGCGGGGTGCTGGACGGAGCCGATGATTCCGAAGGCGCGGCGGATGGAATAACTGACGGTACGTCCGAAGGTGAGCTGCTAATCGACTGCTGTGCTGCCGGTGGCTTTGGTGACGACAAGCCTCCAGCAGTCCTCTTTTTGGCTTTGCCCTTTGGTGGCGGAGAACCAGATGGATGGGTTCCATTTCCTGCGGAAGTGCCATTCCCGTGTCCTGGACCTCCTGTCGAGTTTCCTGGCGGCCATGGGTTTGTGCCATTGCCAGGGAGGGTTCCATTTAATCCTGGTGGAGGATGAGGCGGTCCGCCATTCTGGCCATCTGGTTTCGGTGGTTTGTTCGGTGGGCCTCCTCCTCCTCCAGCCGTGCGGGGAGTCACATTTGGTGCTTCATCCGTGCTCGAGCTATTGGAAGGCCGCTCATCCGTGCTCGAGCTATTGGATGGTCGCTCATCCGTGCTCGAGCTATTGGAAGGCCGTTCATCGGTACTCGAGCTATTGGAAGGTCGCTCATCGGTACTCGAGCTGTTGCTGTGAGAACCATCGCCACTGTCTCCACTGTCACCACCATCACCACTATCACCACTGTCGCCACTTGTGTCATTCCAATGATCGTAGATGTCGCTCTTGTTCCAGTAGTCAATGGCATCATGGACGGTTCTGGTAGAAGCATCACTACTACTGTTCCCAATGGTCCATCCATCGATGCCAATGAGCAAATTCCACAGCTCCGTGTCCGTGAGATTGTGCGTCGAGAAGAAGAGAACAGCAGCGACGTATCGTTCAATAGCGTGTGCATCCGTCATTTCCCCACCACGGCCATTGCCTTGACCATTGCTGCCACTATCTAGCCGTCTTGTCCCGCTGTTTGCCATTCCACCTTGTGACCTAGTCGAATCGTCCTCCTCGAGTCTCCTTGTAGTGTCCTCGTCTCGGCCTCCTCCGCCTCCGATTCCGCCACCCAAGTCACTGGCAATAATCATCCAATGCAATGCCTTGTACTGACTGGAATCAGGATCGTCGAGAACCATTGGATCGGTGAGATTGTTCTCCAAGACTAGGTCATGCAATGCATAGTATCGATCCACGTAATCCAATTCCACCTCGGAAATGTTGTAATCTGTTTTGTTCTTTTTCTTGTTCGGGTTGTCAGCCCGTCCAAAGCTGGAATGTGATCTTGTAGTGCTTTGATCGTCTCCTCCTGTCTTTGATGTTTGTCCAAAGTTGGACTTTTGTTTTGGTTCATTATTGCCATCATCATTGCCCGTGATAACGTCCATCATGGTGGTCCAAACCGATTTGACTTGTTCCCCTTCTTGTCCCGGCGGCGGCGGCTTGTTCGTCGTGGTGCCTTGTTCGGATTGTGGCGCCGACTTGTCGGCCACGGCGACTTCTTCTTCTTGTGGTTTGGCGGGCGTCGGTTCGGGTGTGGTCTCGGGCGCCTTGGTGGGCTCTGGTGTCTTGGGTGCTTGTGTTGGTTCGGGTGTTTCGGGCGCCTTGGTTGGCTGGGGTGTTGTTACTACTGGTTCTGGCGCCGGTGCCGGCATACTGTTGACCTTGTCTTGTAGGAAGGGTATCCAAAAGACCAGCGTCACAATAATGACAATCATGGTCAAGAATGGGGCACTGCAAATGGTCCTTCTTAGGAACTTCCATAGTGGCGTCATGGTTTCTTTGCATCGTCCCCATGGATTGTCTCTTCGTGCAGCTTGTTGCTGCAAGTAAAAGTGTGTCATGCGTCGTTTGGTCGGATCGGGTCCAAGATCAATGTTCTTCATGGATTCTTCGGCGGCCGAATCTCTTGCGTTGACGTTGCCCCCAAACATGGCCTGCAAGATGCTCTTGCGTGGTTTTCGCCTTCCACTTCTTCCTTCCGTGGCAGTGCTTGCGGTGCTGCGCCTGCTGGATTGGTAGTTTCCACTTTCGGCATCCATGAGGTTGACCGATTGATCGACTTCTCTCAAGTCTTGACGGGTGGAGAAGATGTTTCCAGTTCCCTCCTTCTTCTTGGTGTCATTGGAGGTACTACTACCTGTACTTGCATTGCTGCGCAAACTACCAAGGAGTCCTGATTCTTTGGCAGGGGTTCGCATGGGAGCATCAAAGTCAAAGGCATCGCCGCCAGCGCTTTTTTGACTTTCGTCCATTCTTGTAGTTGCTGACTTGTTGGTGGATGCACCAGTATCTGCTGCTTCTACTAGATTGAGATTAGCCGATGCATCTGAATTGCCTCTTTCTAGATATGCCTTGGGTACATGATTGCTGGCATTGGCATTGGGTTTGGGTGGTTGGTGCTTGTTGGCATGGAGCTTTTTGAGATCGGCGAGAGCTACAGGAGCTCTTCGTCCACCTTTACTGAGTGCATCGACGGAACTGGATCTTCTTTCTTTCTTCTTACCAGCTCTGCTGCGGCTTCTAGATCTTCCTCCACCTCCTCCTGTATCTCGTTCTGATCTGCCCCTTCGGCTGGTGCTTCTATCTCTGCTTCTATCTCTGCTTCTATCTCGTCTTCGACTTGCACCACTGGCGCTGGAGGATCTCTTGTGAGGTCCATCATTCTCCTCTTCCGTCGCAGAAAGAATTCCAGTTCTTCTAGATCTTCCTCTAGCAGTGGCCGTATCCGTAGCTAGTAAAGAGCCTCCTTCAGCCGCTTGGAACTTGTTCATGAAATCCTTAATCTTGTCTGAATTGCTGGAAGAACTGGAAGAGCTCTTCTTCTTGTCCTTGTCACCTCCTCCTGAAGAACCTCCTGAACCATTGCTAGCACCACCACTAGCAGCAGTATTCGTACTGCTCATGGTGGACTTGGTGTTGGTTCTCTTGAACCGTTGCGAAATCTTGGACGTGGATGTCCGCTTGAACGCTTGATCTGTTGAAGAGCTTGAATCGTCTGTTGCGGCGGAAGCTCTGGCTGAAGCATACGCAGGATCCCCTCCTCGTAAGGACCCTGAAGCTATCTCTCCTCTTCTACTCCTACTACTAGCTCGACTGACGGTAGAATTCCTGAACTGAAGCAGACCTTCATCTGCTGTGGCGGCGCGACGAGGAGTTCGTTTTCCACCGGGGCTGCTACTGGCGCTGCGATCCGCCATACTGGGAGCTAGTAGCTAGCAGCACTCACTCACTCTATTCCATTGGACTGACCCAACAAGATTTGTCGCCTCAGATAACCCAATGCAATAGCTACCAGTAGTAGCTAGCTAGCTAGCGTTTCTAGAGTGGGGGGTATCTTATTAGTGGGATCAGGCGCAACAAGTTTGCGTTTTCTCCTTCAGTCTTTCTTCCCGGAACTTGCAATAATATTATAATGTTGCCTTGCTTACTTGATGATGGTTGGCTTGTGCACGTGGTTGCTGCTATGATATGTATGCATAGATACTGTACCGTAGCTTATTAGCTAGCTTGCTAAACTACCAATACTGTAAGGCCTGAAGGTAGCTACTAGTCTAGTAGCTACCGGGGCTAATCGGGCATCACTTCTTGAATGGTTGTGTCCATCGGCTAAGCAGTTTCCATTGCTAGTCTATTGGGTACGATGCCATCCAACATCCTTTTCCCTCACATTTTCCAACTTCTTCTTGTCCCACATCCCACACCCCGAATGCCACCACTGCTTTTGTTCCGGCCTTCTACAACCCCTTCCACTCACTTCTTTCGCCGAGTCTGGAGTCTGGAGCCCGTCAAAAAGCACCATAAGACCGCCGTAATTTTCTCCTCACGGGTCACAAAACCTGTCACCACGTACTATTCTTAGCAGGAAAGGTTAACCATGAATGCTAATAAAATCGGATCCAAATCCAGCCATGGATTCTAAGGAGAGTGCATGGTAGAAACCCCTTCGTCCCACAAGTCCGTAAGGCTCAGTCACTTCAACATACACAATAAATATCATCCAGCCCAACAGAACATCTAGAGACACGCACAGACCCATAAACATGTGAACACAAATCCAATGAATCCATAACCATTCACACAAAAATGACCGATTACACGGATTCCCTTCTGCTTGGACACTAATAAGACTTGGACCAAGCTTCATGAGGAAGAGGTTACATGTAAGGCATTGCCCTACATGTACGTATCAAGCATCCATTTATTTTCAGGTCATCAAGGAGCCAGAGCAACTCCATTGGGGAATGCCGCTGGTCCCACAAGGCCAATGAATCGAATCCAACGAATCCTTCCCCACCAATGGTCACATCACATTAAAATTTGGTCAAGAGTCAAAGAACGACCTACTTGCAGCCTCACCAGTCTGCCTCCTCGCATACGGTAGGTTTGCACGGCCGCGTCAAAGGACAACGAGGAAGCGCTCAAAGCTGATAGTAGGGGTCACTCTCGGAAGATCGCATCTATCTTTGCCAAAGTATCTAGCTGGACTACCAGGTAGCTTCTAAGGTTATGGCTCTCGGATAACTGAGAAAGAGTTGCCGGCAATGACCGAAGGGATCTTGTCCTAATCGACTGGCTGAGATTCAATTGCATCGTTCAATCCTAATCGAATGCATCAATCTAAAAGATCTTTCCTGCCGGTTCGCTCCAAACCTGCTCTCACGATAAACTCTCCTCCGTACGTTATTTTCCCGGTTTCCTTCTTCTTGCACAAGGTTAGTAATGCAACTTTCAGCCTGTTAGAATGCAGCTACAGGTACAGGTACTCTCAATATCCAGAAACGCCCATGGTCTCTAACTTGGAGAACCTCAAAAGGACAGACAGCTTTTGCTAGGCTAGCTCTCTCAACCTTCAGGTTCTAAAGGCCAAGGACCGTGGAACGGTAGCCACGCTCTGCTTAACCTTAACCCCTTTTTTACTCAGTTTTTCCTCGCCTCGCAATCCACAAAAGCTCGATCCACACAATTGACCACCACTTTCCCCTTCCACAACCAAGCACACACTGGAGCGAACGGAAGAGCGCTTGGCAATGTCGCTCGTCTTTCTGTTGCAGATTGATTGAGAATCTCGTCATGCACCGTACCGGACCATACTGCTACACTGCCATCTTGTGGCATATCGCTAACTTTTCCTTGGTTTGGCATCCGTTCGCACTATTTGCAAGCTACTTTAGTGTATTAAGTTCGCACAGTTATAATCTTGTGCTAACCTACGTATACATTGTCATCTACTAGTTAGAAGAAGAACTTGATCATCCCTCAAACTACTACTACTAGTACAAGAAGCTGCGACCGTGCACAGAGATCAGAAAGATCTTTATAGCAGCAAGAGCAACACACCATCTCTCACTGTTGAATGTCAACATGCACGTTGGACATGCTCTCGCGCTCATTTGGAAGATTGGTACAAGTGGCTGACTCAAGAAGAGCGACGCCGATACGAGTCCAAGATGCCAAGTCGGATGCCCAGAAATGTAAGCCAAGAACAGGCCGAGGACTCGACTCAAGAAAACTACAAAACATGAGCACGTTCGCAGGCATTGCATGTAACAGGGCTTTCTTCTTTCCCAATATGATACCTACATGTAGTCTACCGGTACAACGTTCTTCCTGTCTTCCTCTATTTGCCATATGCGCCCCCAGTACTGTACTGGTACATGATAATGACAAGCAAGGGACAGGGTGAACAAGCGCAAGTTGTTGGACAAGAAGCAGACCGTGGAAGCGACCGTGGACACAAAGAACTACCAGTAATGAAGCGGCTCCACAATACAGTACTAGTGAGGAACAAGAAGAAAGCCATCACCATCCAGTCGCTGCGTCAAGAGCTTGGAAGGACAGACGTAATGTCGACGTGCAAGTTCCTGTTTTCGAAAGGTTGATCCTTCTGCTTTCAGCTGCGTACGGTACGGTAAGGTATCTTACGCAATGCATGGATCTGCACTCCTCGTTCCGAGTTTGTGGATTGATGTGTTCTCTCTTTTGTTTGTAGCTCTGCTGTGTTTGAAGTAAATATCCGATGAGAATTTGTGTAGGTTTTGTACTGAAGTCTACGTAATGATGCAGATTCTCAATTTGGGCGAAAGATTCGACGTGTCATCATCACAAATCCAAAATCTGAACAGGCAAATCTGAACAGGAACAAAGGATAGACTCCTACAGTACCGGTACTGTTATTGTTGTTTGCAGATAAAGAAACTACTACATTAATAGTAGTATAGTAAAGGTATAGTAAAGGTAAGGTGTAACGATGAAAGACTTGGAGAATCCCGGGAAGACGGGAGAAGAGACGGAAGATCCTTCGGTGGTCGTCACTGCGGATGACAGCAGCACCAGTGGGAGCCTGGATGAAGCTGCTAGTAGTACTAGTAGTACCAACGGGAAGGCTGTTGGAAAGAAGAAGATGTTCGGTTGGATGGGAGGAGTCTTGGCCTTGTTGGTGTTGACTGTCGTTATCGTGGTGGCGGCTGTGTCGAGTGCTAAGGATAAGGATAGCTCCACATCAAGCCTTTCTGGTTTCTGGAAGGATGGAGAAGATTCTGCTTCTGGCAATCACAAGGACAAGCCTGGTTGCAACAAGACCCAAGATCCTTTAGCTTTAGTAGATCAAGAAGAATCCACTCCAGCAGAACATGTTTCTAAAGATGAGGAAAAACTGGAAATGCCCACAGAGCTACCCTTTGATCAAGTTCCCATTATTCAAGGCTTCTCTCCAAAAGTCCTAGAAGGATATCCCACAGAACAAGACCTTCACCAAGATTTGATGCAAGTTGGAAAACACATTCTCAATCAGGTCATTCTGGAAAATGTTGCACGTCACCAGTACTACTCACAGACTGTTTGGGGGTCCAATGACCAACTTAGTAGAGAACGTCCATCCACTACTAGTACAGCAGCTGCTCAACAGGCTGGGCAAGAAATTGCCTCCGCTGCATCATCATCATCAACATCAACCACCACTTCAACAACTACGGAAGCTTCCAAGACCAACAACCAAGAGCACGATGCTGACGAAGCGGATCTCGTCAAGAACGACCAAAACTATGTCTATGCCGTCCTAGGAGATTACCTAGTGGTCTGGGACATTTCATCAGGAGAACAAATCACCCATGTCCAAATGCCATCACTCGACGGAGGAGACGACAATAACAATAATTGGAACTGGTCTCCACCCACGCGCATCAATGCCATCATGTTGACACCACACCATGTCATTCTCATGGTGGATGCACGCAACAACAATGACAACAATAAACAAGGACAGCCCGGATTGCTCTCCAAGTACCAAGCCACACAGCTTCGTGTATACTCCAAACCCACACCAAACAACACAGACTTGAACCTCCTGGCCACGCAGAATTTGCAGGGAGTCTACCGGGATGGACGATGGTTGGAAGAGTCACAATCCATACACTTGGTATTGTCGGGCGATATCAATGCCTACTCTTATCTCGTAGAACCACTCTCCTACAGTCATTTCAACTACAACAATGATGACACAACAACAACCATGACACCCATGGAATATGTCGCAGCGGCCACCGAATTGGCCACCAACACGCTCTTGCCAGAATTTGTCAAGGCTGTCTCAGAGACACTCAAACTGAACGGACAGTTGCCAAAAATGCTACAAATCAATGGATGGTATACGCCATCATCATCATCCACCATGGTTCCATCGGCACAAGAAATACTCGCGCGATTGGGAGCCACCACGACCGGTCCATTCTACGAATCCACCAGCAATTTGCCACTCCGAGCATTCATTCAAGTCGTCTCCATTCATGTGGATGATTTGCCTCATCCTCCTACTTCCAATCATAATAATAATAATGATGGGACCATACTACTACCCCAGGAGAGTCTTCCTGTCGCGAGTTCCCTCTTGATGGGACCCACCACCGATTGTCACTTTTATGGAACGGAAAATCACTTGGTCGTTGCATTCGAACATCTGAGTTATAACAACAACAACAACAACAACAATGATGAATCCACACGGGGAGCTGCGGCTGAAGAAAACCTCTTTGTGCTTCACTTGGGAGTCTCAGTCGAAACAGCCAGTGCTGACGAACCAGAAATTTTGACTGCCCGCGTTACAGCCAATTTCCACTCGGTGGCAACCGTTCCGGGACATCTCAACAGCGCTTACAGCATGGATATCCAAGGCAACGATTTGAGACTGGCAACGACCGTGCAAAAATGGAATTTCCTCGAACGAGTGGGGCAACTCTGTGGCGGTGATCGAATGCAATTCTTGGAGGGCACTTCCAATAATAATGACGAATGTCAGATACACGACAGTTTGAGACAATGCTTCAATCTCGCCATGGATGGATGCACGGAAATAATCCAAGACACTGGATCATGTCCCTACACGTACGCATGTGCCCAACCCGAAAGAATGGAATCATCCACTGACAATTTCGTAATGGTCTTTGATTTGTCGTCGTCGTCGTCGTCGTCGTCCAATGATGACATGATGATGACGGAACGCGGCCGTGTCCGAATTGGTCATGACCACGAAGTCATTACTTCGGTGCATTTTGGAGAAACCTTTTCGTATGCCACAACATTCGATCAGCGTGATCCTTTTATTGTCCTGCAACTGGAACCGGAACAACCACCGGCCGTGTTGGGAGAACTTGAGCTGGATGGATTTTCAAGCTACCTTCATCCTTTGGACGATTTCGTACCCAACAAACTCATTGTTGGCATTGGTCAAAACACAACCGGAACAGGTCTGGATCAACGCAACACTGGTGTCATGGTAACTGTCTTTGACGTGTCCAATCCTGCTGCTCCTGTGGCCGTGGCCAGTCACATGCTAGAAAATGATGACAAGATTGAGTCCTACACCAATGTTGCATGGGATGCCAAGGCTGTGCAATATGCCAATGGAAAACTGGTGTTGCCAGTAACCATGTTTGATAATGGAGATTGGAATGAAGTGGATGAAGACGATTCCATGCAAACCACTGGCGAAGACAACATGGACGAGGAACTCGAAGTGGCACGTGGCCAAGACGACAACAACAAGGAATCAATCGGTGGCGGGTTCAAGGGATTCTTTGTCTTGAATGTTGGTCCAACTGGCATTACTGAAGCATTCCGCATCAATAATGTCAATACTGCCAATACTTGTCATTATTGCCATGGTGGTTTGACTGACTCCCGCAGCATCTTGATGGATGATGGCAGTTTGATGACCATGTTTGATGAATCTGTTCAGAGTACCAACATGACAACTGGTGAGACATTGTGGACCATGACAGTGGAGCTGGAAGGTGTTTCCAAGGATTGCTGCTGGTAGACTGAAGGAGAAGTGGTTATGCGATGACCAACGGACTTCCATGGGTATGCTTGTATGCAGCAATACGCTTCGTTTTCGGAATATTATGGTACTGCTTGTTGGTATGCAGTGTACTGAGCCAACTGCTGGCTCGTCTTTGACCCGGAGGAGAGTGTGGCTTGTAGTTTTGCTGCACTTTGTTCGATCCTTCCGGGCTGCCCTGAACGGGTTTTAATCAACTAAAAAGCTCTGTGTTCAAAACTTCTGACAGGCAAAGCAGGCCGCCATCGCTCGTCTCTTCGCTGCTTGCCACACGCCTATTTACTATGAAGCGAAGCCCTGGTTGGGACGAAACGGATGTTGTACTGTGGCAACGCTATAGGAAGTTTGAAATGCTGGAGAATCTTCTAGCTGGCTGGCTTTGGGATATTTTCTCTCGCGCCGAGCGAATCACGTTCCATCCGTCACGGAATGGTTCTATGAATAGCTCGTACTCTGTTCCCCATGTGCTGATCAATTAATGCATCGCCTGCTTATGGCTACTAATTTTGGAGAAGCGAGAACTACCAGATGTTTAGCCGTGCTCGGACCTGGTATCAAAGGGCACTGATCGACGTACTGCCATACCCTTTCGGTGCATCCAACCAGAAATCATCGAGTCTGCTGCATGTAGCTACCAGTGCCATGGCGTATTGGTGAGCTGTACACCAGACGATGAGCCATTATAATAGTTGAGGGTTGAGACGGAGAAAAAATTCAATCATCCATGGGTCCGTTCCATGTTCCACGTTCGCGCTCCACGGTTTCCTCTCCTGTTTCAATCGTCATTGCAAGCTGCCAATAATGCTGCGATGAGCTGTTTCCTCGTACCGTACTGTGGTTGCAGATGCAGCTCCAGTCTTTTTTAGAAAGCCTGACCGTTGGCTAGCCTGACAGCGTGTGAGGGGGCTTTGAGAGACTAGCTAGAGCAGAATGCGCATTTGTTGTCTACTGCCTTCTATGTAGTTGCTTTGCACCTAAGCGAAAATCTCCTGGATACGGTATTCAAAATTAGGCGCACGGCTGAATCAATCTTGAACGCTATGTGCCACAGCTACCGGTAGCTGAGGACTGTGGTACCGTAAGAACAATAACTAGGTTGAATGGATGCATGGATCCACTCTCTATCAAGCTGCGAGGAGGAAGGATGCAAAACATGATGTTAACCGCCAGCAAAATGGAACGGCTTATACCGGTGCCTCCGCCAGCAATGCAACGGGATGTAGGCCGGGCACGAGGTGGCTGATCTCCAAAAGCAACTCGCTCTTGCCAACAATAAAAGTCTTGGCAGCTCGATCGGTCCATGTCCGGCTTTTAGTGACAGAATGATTTTCAACCACATGCGCAGACAGCTCAGCCGGTTGTGAATGTTGGATGCGAAATCGCGCTGGGCCCAATGTTCATCCTGTACCATGTTGTACGTACAAAGACTACTGGAGAACCTTTCAACAAGGCATTCCACTGACATTGAAGAACCATGTTTCTTAATTGGATAGAGCCCTCAATGGCTAAGTATCCACAGCAATCGCTAAGTATACACAGCAATGCCGTGTTCATGACACTTTCAATCGGGAAAGAATGGCACTCACTATAGAAGTTTTTGTAGGTACAAGGCCCAAGAGGTGTTCCAAAGTGAAGACCTGTCAATATGCCAGTCTTTGTACCACTTTGTGGAAGTTGGTTGGGACGGATGGAGTCCACAAGCTCAATGGTTTGGGCTCATTTTTGTCAGCTACCTTGCGAATTTGGCATTGTTGCTGGTAATAGCATTGCATGCAATCTAGTAACTACTAGCTAGCTAGATACCATCCAACCCAGCCGGCAGCCGAGCATGTTCCTACTGTACTAGCTCTACTACTAGTAACGAAGCCAAGCCTTGAGGAAGTCCAACAGTCTTTTTCCAGTAAACCTTCAAGATTCAAGCTACTACATGTAGCTAGCAAAGCTCTACCTGCCTTCACACGAGACCATCTCTGCAAGAAAACTTTATCAGGCACTTCTACCACCGCTACCACCATACTTTTACTGGATCTACTGAAGCCACCACCCAGCTGCTGCTGCAGCTCAGGTCAAATCAGGGAGACTTTCAGGAGTTTTCAAGAGTTTTCAAGCAACTTGAAGAGGTCTTCAGGTCAAATTTCCTTATTTCTTCACTTCCTTAATAAATTGCAATCAGCAGCAAAGCTAAGCTAAGCTACTGGTAGGGAGTCAAAGCGGTGAGAAAGAAAGATCAGGTCGCCCAAATTGCTCTGTCTGTTTGGAAGCCAAGAAACCAAAAAGAGCAAAACCAAAAGATCAGGGCGTTTTAGAAGACCAAAAAACGCTTACTTTCGTTGCTTTCTCCATAATCTCAGCCAAAAAGTCTTGAACTCTGAAGGAGATCAGAAGGAAGCGCATTGTTTTGCAGCAGAAAAAGTTACAGCTTGTGCCTTTTCTGAATCATTGAACTGGAGAAGATCGCAGTTTTGCTCAGGCTTGCTACAAGATCAGACAATCAGAAAAGGTTGTTCAGCGCTCAAGAGCCATTTCTCGAGCTACTAACTGGTACTTTGCAGGCCTTGCAGCACAGCCAGAAAGATTAAAAGTCGAAAAACAGGTCTGAAGCCCAACTCAACTAAGAACTCAAGGGTCCAGAAATTTCGGAATACGACTAACTGCAGCATCCCTGCCAAGGAATTGAACTCCTCTAAGAAACCAGCTACATCTATCTTTTGGGCACTCAAGACTTCAGGTCAAACTACTAATATAAAATGGCCGGCAAAGAAGACGGGACCGCGATGAACAGCGGCAGTCATCACAGCCACTCGGGTGCTGGGAAACGTCGAGGTGCCGCACGACGAATGGGAAGTGGGGTTCGAGGACGATCCTCCAACAACAGCAATGGTTCGGGACATTCCCGTGGCTCGGCAGGGCCACGACGGACCAATACATCCCCGAATCCTCCCACCAGCCGACCGGCACCTCCCGGATCGGCTGCCTATCATCGCTCTCACTCCGATACTGTCAACACCCCCAGCAACAGCAACACCCCGGGCAGCAGTGTTTCCGAAGAATCAGATCCCTTTGATTTGAGCACCGTCACATCGCACACTCTCTTGTCCAATTCCAGTGCTCATTCCCGTCGGAGTCATCACACGCACGGTAGTAACAGCGACGACGTCTTTCAAGATGAACCAATAACGTCCACCACGACGACACCCCGATTCAGTACGTCGCGCTTGGGATATTCGACGGCCCGACACAGCGACGTTTCCGTCTCGTCGCAGTCACTCGGATCCACCATGCTGGCCGACCGGGCAGGTCGTGATCTACGACAAGTCGATCAGTCCGTCAATATCATGGCGGGACAATACGGATCTGGAACCGGGGAGGAAAACGATTTTACCAAGGAGAATGGTCGAAGCAGTCTCGCTAGCACTAGCACCACTTCGAGTCGTGCCAGCAGACGTCGACAAACCAAGAGGGCCAGCTATCTGGAAATCCTCTTTGATTCGGGGTCGACCAGGGTCAATCGAAAGAGCATGATGGTAAGAAAGAACGGCATCTTATGATCTTTCAGTCAGCTTGCTTGATTGTAAGCTCTAACACAACATGTTTGCTTTCGTTCATTTAATTGATTATCCCAGGCCATTGATCTTGGACCGGATCCCACTAAAAAGCCGAGAAAATCCATCTTTCAGTCATTTACATCGGATTCCGGGATGGTCCAAGAGCCGCTGTCCATGAAAATACAGGATTGTTGTGAAAGGTTTTGCGAATGCTTCTACAAGATCTTTTGCTCGATATGGTTCTGGGGCACTGCGCTAGCTATCGTGGTGACGTGTGTGCTAGTTTTCATCGTCCCCCATAACGGCGGCGACGACACCGGCAATGTAACCGAGAAGACGACCAATGCTCCCACGAATGCTCAAGTCGCAACAACACCATCACCCACGGCTGCCATCACGAGTCTTACAGCCCCGCCATCGCAAATACAAGTGGTGGAAGAACCGACCACCGTGGAAGGGCGAATGCAAGCGCTACAGACCAAGCTTTTCGATGCAGTCCCGACTCGACAGGAAGATTTCAACGACCCCAGCTCCAAATCGTCTCTGGCTCTTGCCTGGTTGGCAGAATTTGATCCACTCAAGTTGTCCATTCTCGATACTCCCATGGATGATCTCGTCGAGCGCTATGCCTTGGCCACTTTCTTCTTCTCCACCAACGACAGTCTGGATCCACAAGATATTTCCATCACGGAACCTGCCGTTACCAATGTTCAGTTGAGGAGACAGCGACGACAACAGCGTGGTTTGCAACAAGATCAGCAAGAAATGGGCCTGCAACCGTGGATGTCATCGGCGCCAGTCTGTGAATGGGAAGGGATGCGTTGCGAGAATGGTCGACTCGTGGAGCTCAATCGGACCAAGGCTGGATTGACCGGAACGCTTCCACGAGAGATGATGGCCCTAACCAGTCTGGTGGAGTTGGATCTCAGTCACAATCTATTCCAAGGTTCCATCCCAACAGAAGGAGGACTGCCGAATCTGCGATTCTTGCTCCTTCATGACAATGGTAAGCTTTTGGGTGTGTGCATGCATGCATTCAAACGTCGTGATCAAAATGTTCGATCTCGTGCTAATCTTTCCCTCTGCACGACCTCTCGCGCCGAAATGAATGCAGCACTGACGGGAAGTCTGCCAGAATCGATTGGCAACATGTCGGCATTGTACGATATTGACTTGAGCTCCAATCAACTAGAAGGGAAACTCCCAAAGCTCGACAAACTCAGCAATCTTCGTCTCTTTTTGATGGATCAAAACATTTTCACGGGGACAATCTCGCCTACCGTTCGAAAACTGGAGCACCTAGGTGAGTCTACGCACGGCAAGAAGGCAACACGTTTTGCCAGTTTCTGGTTGGCTCTTCGGTTCGTGTGCTCACACCTCAACTGTCGCCGGGCCTTGTTTCTTAGAATACCTCTATCTTGCTGACAATAAATTGGATGGGGAGCTACCGTTTGAGATATTTTCCCATCTCAAACGACTAGGTAAGATCGATTATGATTGCATGCTCGACTTGTTTTCATTACAAACTCGTCAGACTTATGCTCACCTCCATGGTTGGTTTACGCAGTCGATCTGAGGCTCGAGAACAACGCATTGACCGGAAGTATTCCTCCAGAGGTCGGGGGCCTGCACAGGCTCGAGTTCATCAAAATGGGGAAGAACGCTCTGGGTGGCTCCTTACCTGATGTTTTTGACCGTTTCCACTACTTGGGTACGTTAGTTTGACGGTCGACCCCCGTGATAATCCTTTGATGGATACCTCACCTCAGGCATCACCCATCTTTGTTGCGTATCTTGATTTGCTTCAGTTGAGTTTGATCTCCACAGAAATGGCTTTCAAGGTTCGCTTCCGACTACTCTGGCTACGTTGACTACATTGGGTACGTTGAGATCTTGCTTGTCATGGTTCTCGTCTAGTTCTGTCGTCTACCAGTGTCTGACTTTCCTTCGTTTTGCATGCACTCCAGAACGTTTGAATCTAGCCGAGAACGCCTTCACCGGAGCCATCCCGTCAGGCTGGGCGGATCTACCAGAACTCTCGTCCATGATGCTCCATCACAACCATCTGGTCGGGCCCATCCCATCTGGCAACGGATTGAGAAAGCTCCAGGATTTGTGGCTGAACAACAACACACTAACCGGCTCAATCCCCGAGGGCTTCGGTGATTTGACGAGTCTCGTGGATATCTTTTTGGAAAACAATGTAAGCTCTTGTGTGGTCTAGCTGTTTGTTTTGTGCGTCTACAAACCTTTCGCCCCTGACACTGGTCGCCTCTTCCTTCATAACAGGAGCTGGACGGATCTCTACCGGAGTCCCTGGGGAACTTGAACGAGCTGGCGGTTCTCAAGGCCTTTCACACCCAACTGACAGGAACCGTCCCTCTTTCCATTTGTGCACTCCGGACCACCAACAAATTGAAGTACCTGGCAACGGATTGTGTGAATCAGGTTGTCTGCCGTTGCTGTGACAAGTGTCTATGATAGCGCGCCACGGCACAGCACGGGGGCATGCAATTTTGGAAAGATAGGACGTGCACTCTACAATACCGGTACTGGATAGGCTGAATTATTTTCTTATCTTCCATCATGACCAGTCTAACCACTCTTAGCTAGTAGCTACCTACGGTACTCAGAGACTCAGAGTGAGGATTGATCAGTCAGAATTGCTACTGTACGCCTTGCATTGTCCACCTCCAAGTTTGGTGTCGCTCAACACTGGATCGATTTTAGTTTGCTTTATGATGTTACCCGTGTACGATACCGTAGTGATTGTGACGTTGCATATTTCAATGGTTTGGGTGGCTTGACCAGGCGGTCAGTGGCTACTATTAATAGTCTAGTGCTAGGTGGTCTACAAAAGACAAAACAAAATGCATCATTGGTTACGTTGCAGGTATAGAGTTGCTTCCGTGTTGAAACTCAAACAACTGACTCTTGCTCGGATCCATGCTAGCATGGTAGCTGGCTAAATGCTCACACGACCGATCTCCTAGCACTACTGATCCCTTTTAAAAGCTTCCAGATAGAGGGCGTAGACTGACTAGCACCACTGCATCGCAACCTACAGAGCCCACGGTACTACCAGGTACAACCGGTACTCGAGTAGCTAGCTAGCTACGGTAGGTCTACAGCTACATGTAGCTCTACTAGTTGGACTACTAGTCTGGCTACCGGTAGGCCTGAATTGAATTCTGATTGCAGCCTTGGGACTGGGAGGGTGACCCTGTGTTACGGTTGTATTTCCGGTACCGAACCCAGGCACGGCGCCAATGGCAAAAGGAAGCTGAAAAGAAGCGGTTGTAGTCGCAAACAAGGTGATCTAAGCCCACTTGCCACAACCTTTCGTCACACAGAGAGTCTTTTTACAGGTTGATGGGGCATTGAGCTTTAATTAATACTGTAGGTAGCTGTCAGGTTGAAATGGTCACACGGTACTGGACATGGAGAACTCCGATCTAGTAAGATCTTCCCCACGAACACCCAGCCAGTGAATTCTTTGCTTTATTAATAGATCTTCCCCACAATATCATATTCATAGCTCCCACAGTCTACAATTGATCAAACGCTCACAATTTCCAAAATCGCAGTTCAGAATGACACTCGCACCCTCCTCCGTAAGCCAGAACACGCTTGCTGCATTGTCGACCATGGCGACAGACAACCACATCAACACCCCCAAAATCTCTCAGAAGAAAGACGTAAGGCCCAAACGCAGCAAATCGGCATCCAGCCTGAGCGTTCCTAGTAGTCTTGTCATGAACCGGCAGCTTCAGTTGACCCAACGATTCTCCCAGGTAAGCAAGGGAGGACTAAATGTCCCTGATATTAATATGATTGAGTCTCTGTCCAACGAAGGACTGGTGGCAAATCGAAAGCGCCAAATAGCTGGAAGACTTTCCACTGCTGCTGCTGCTGCTGGTGGTGGTACATACGATAACAGGGGCAATGCCGTCTGGTCATCGTCTCCCAAGAAAAGTCTGAGCGCCTGCAAGAGTTTCCCACCGGAACGAAAGGGATCCCCGGAAGACTCGGATGCATCCTTGGGCACCGTGGAAAGTGGCCAGAACCGTGTTGCAACCCTACGGGAACAGTTCGATCACAGCCACAGCGGTCATACGCTCGACACCACCAACAGCAGTCGACACAGTCTGGAGAGCGACGCTAGTTCCTCAAGCACGGCTGAAGTCAGTGATGATGACGGCGATGATGATGATTGCTCAGTGGGAAGCTTAAGCTTCAGTCAAGATGATGATGATGAAGATGAGGATTTCACAGAAGATGTAACCAGTACTGTGAATACCCCAGCAGACATGACTGAGAAGAAAGAGAAGGAGATTCAAGAGTTGCTTCACGAAGCATCCTTCAACACTACCTTTCTCAAGGTGCAAGGATCTTCTGGTAAGGACTACCGGCAGACGGGGAGGGGTTGCCTCTTTGTGGTGGCGGACGATCGGTTGGGCAAAACCAAGGTCATCCAAAGCAAGCTGAACAAGGCAGCAAAAAAGATACAGCGCTTCTTTCGATACTCCATGGCCATTCTGGTGCTTCACGGAGACGAGCTACAATACTGGCGCCAATGCATCGACGATTGCGAACGCCGCCGACAGGAAGAGTTGATACAACTGCAACACATGGTGGAGATTCAGAAACATCAGTTCCAAGTGGAACTCGAACGAGAGACTTCTCACAAGCTAGAGAAGGACCTGGAAGAAACACAAGATGTGCTGACCCAACACCAGCGGGAATGGACTTTGGAAAAGGAAGAACATGAGACACTGCGAGCAGACATTAGCAAGATTACTCACGAGAATCTGCTTCTAAAGGCTCAGGTCAACGACCCTGTCCAGGCTGACAAGAAGAAAGATTTGGAGGAAAAGATCCAGGTGGTGGAATTCCAAAAGCAGCGCTTCGGTGAGGCATTTGATCAGTTGAAAGGATTGTGTTTGGAACTGAAGGACAAGATTCGAGTCTCGAACGAAAAGGCCTCCACAGAGCAGTACCAAAAGAGCGCGTTGAGGCAGTGCATTTATCGCATCATTCAACGTTTGGCCAACAGTGAAGAAGTAAACCATGCTGACTCCGAACTCGCGAATCTGATTCTACAGCTATGGCCACAAGCAGAAACCGATTTCCTCAAGGCACGCAGTCACCGGAAAGAGAGCCATCACGACGAGCCCGTGGCCACGACAGAGCCAACGAAAAGCGAGCATCAGGAGCTGACAATCTCTAGCAACGGCGGTGACCTCAACAGCTCTTCTTTGGAAATCCCTGCTGTTGTGGCAACGTCCAAGAAATGCTCTACCAGGAGCAGCAACGCCGACGGACAACCGGCCGAGCCCGTGTCATCGCGTACGGTCATGAAGGACTCTAGTTTGCGCGATAGTGCTCGTTCCAGCAAGCGAAAGGGTTCTTCCAAGTCGTCCATGCGCAAATCTGGGTCAAGCCCCCTGCAATCTCTCATTGAGTGCACCACCGGAGGCACTAGGAAAAGTGGAGAGCCAAAACGAAGCAGTGGCAAAGAGCTCAAATCTGGGTCAAGCCCCCTGCTGTCTCTGATTGAGTCCAACAAGAACGAAGGCACGAGTACCAGTACTTCCAAGTCGTCGATGCGTAAATCCGGGTCAAGCCCCTTGCTCTCTCTGATTGAGTGCACCACCGGAGGCACTAGGAAAAGCGGAGAGCCAAAACGAAGAAGTGGCAAAGAGCTCAAATCCGGGTCAAGCCCCCTGCTGTCTCTGATCGAGACAACCGGAAGCACTCGTAGTCCTTCCAAGTCGTCCATGAATAAATCCGAGTCAAGCCCCCTGTTATCTCTGATTGAGTCCACCACCGGAGGCACCACTAGTATTAGCGGCACTCCTAAACGAAGCAGTGGCAAAGAAGTGAAGGACAAGGACAAGAAGAAGAAGAAGAGTCGTAGCAAGGACAACGAAAAGTCTGACAAAGGTGGCAAGAGCAGCAGTAAGAAGAGCAGCAGCAAGGGCAAAAGCAAGGACAAGAAAAGCAAACGGAGCAGCAGTGAATCTTCGCCTTAGTTGGTTTGACAGCAGCATGAACAGATTGCAACTTCTTGCACGGCACTTGTAGCCAGAGGATGTCTGAGAATAACGTGAATCGAGGGGTACAACTTGGGGGAGATAAGATCTGCCGCCAGTGATAGGAAGCAAGACCGACAAAGCTAGCACCAAACTTTCGGATTTGTAAATAAATGTTGTGTAAACTGATTGATATCCATTCATCCACGAGATGGCTTTGTATTGGAGTTGCAAAAAAGCTATAGAAGCTAGAGTTCTACCTCGCATCTCGCATGGTGTCATAGCAGTAGGAAAGCAACCACACAGATAAGGAAACCAGAAAAATGGTTTTCGTGATTCTGATGAGGTTGCCGGTTTCAAGATTCGGTGCTGAGACTCATCACTCATCATTTCGTCCTCGACTAAGCTAGCTAGCTAGCTAGTAAGTGGATCACCTGAGAATGTTGTCAACAACCAAGCAACGATGGATGCAGCTTCAAATCCCGAAGCCACCAGGTCTTGGAATAGTACTACTTGATGTGGCCATCCAGCTAAAGCTAGCCAGATTGCACCATCGATCGTACATGTATGCTACTAGTACCTTCTCTGCCACCTAGGTAGATCTACATGTATGTACATACATGAGCAGCCAGAAATCCACACGTAGTTCACCAATAATAGCCGCATACAAACCCACAAAGTGAAAAGAAAGAAAGGAATAGTAGGACTTAAGCCACCCAGTTACTCTGCCCTTTTGTAGGGAGGAGAACAGTCATTTGTCCGCCAATGAGTCGCCAAAAGACCCAGTATGACGCCAATCATGACTGACTGGCAGCACTTCCGAATTTCTGCATCCACGTTCTTCCAGGATAATCAATCTACACGACTGGTTCCCATCCACCCTTCTTCATTCTTTGCAAATCCATCAATCAATAAGAATAGTAACAACAACAACACCTCTCTCTCTCTCTTCTTCCTGCCTTCCTTGCTTCCTTGTATGTCTTCTATTGATGCTGGTAGCTGCCCTGTCCCATTCTCTGCTACTGGAGCTCCTGACAGAATGACTTCAGAAGCTTCAGAAACTTTTCAAGAATCTTTTCAAGCCACTGCAGCTGAGTTTCAAGAAGAAGTTCCAGATCAGAGTGAAGACACTGCAAGTGCTACATGCACAAGTACAAGTACATGTACTGTTACAAGTAGTAGTGCAGGTGGAAACAGGAGAATGAGTTTGGTGGCTCTGAGGCGTCAAGAGCTAAGTAAGAAACTTCCTTGCAAAGATCTTTTGAAAGAAATTCCATCTGCCTTGAAAAGATTGTCAAGTCCACCTGAAGCTGTGCAAAGTGAACTTGAATTACTTGAAAATGCAAAGGAATCAAAGCTGGCAAAGGAGGGAGATGAGCAGGATCAGGGGCAGGGAGATGAGAAAAATCAGGAAATCAAAGATTTTCAAGCCATGACACCTACCAATGCTATGCATAGCAACAACCAGGATCTGCCAATGGGAATTGTGGCTTCTCGCAGAACGGAGCTCAAGCGAAAAATTTCCAAACAAAATCTCAATCTACCGGATCAGAGTGATGACAGTCAAACAACTACCGGTATGAAAAACCAGCAGAAGAATATTATTGAAGATCAGGATGATACCACTGAAATTGAAGCAACTAAAGCCACGGAGCTGTCCAACAATCACCATACTACAGAGGGAATGAAAAACAATTTGCCAGCCGTCACCTTTGATCAAACGGCAACCTCCTTTTCATGTTCGTCATCATCTCTCACGTTGCAACAGCCATCATCCACTGTGGCTATTAATAGTACCGGTACTACCATGGGAATTGTAGCCTCCCGAAAACGAGAAATCAACAGGAGAATGTCACAACTCAGTGCTTCCTTCAGCGCTCTACCAACAAGCAAATCAAAAACGAGATCATCACTGACGAATACTTACACTGGCTCCATGAGCTACATTTCCTTTGACGACGACAAAACGGAGAGTGTACAAGGCGACGACGACAACGAAAACAGCTATTCCATCTTTCACATGATGTCCAATAATAATAATACCTTGGATGATTCGTCGTCGGGAACTGATATCGATAATGACAAGGAATCAGTAGCGAGGACAATGGCTCCTCCGACCGTCGGAGCAAACTCGGGGCTGGTCCAATCCATGAAGCAAAAGGTTCTAAAGCGACTTTCACAATCCATGATCGTATCCAACAACAACGGCAAGAATTGGGATATCGGTGGTGCACACGGATCTTCCGTATTTGTGGAAAACTACAAACAGGCCCTACTGGAACAAAATACTCCAGCCGAAAAAGATGACAATGCACAGTCCATTTCATCCTTGGGAATCACAACAACAATGTTTAATAATAGCCAGCACACGGGGAAGAACGACGACGACGACGACCTTTTGAAAACTCAGGACGTGTCCAACGAGTTTGTCCAGTCTCGACGAGACGAATTTTATCGGGGCATTCAGAACAACAATGGTGTGCGAGAGCAACAGCAAGTGGGCAAACTGGATACGACCGGGTGGGATAATCGTCCTTTGACGGCTGGAACAATAATCGCGGGAAGTGCGGCTATTTCCCGGACCACTCAAGCTCACGCCGTGGAAGCAAAACGAAACGATTCCTTGACTGGCATGGTAGCAACGTACGACGAGGCCACAATCAAAGACAGGGCAGCAAGGACCATCCAACACTTTATGCAAGAGGCCACGGACGTTCTCATTTGGCATAGGGAGGAAGCTTCGTACTGGCAGGAAGAACTGCTAGACATTGATCGAAGAAAGAAGGAAGAGTTGGAGGACGTGCAAAGATACTTGCAATTGCAAAAACGACAAATCCTAGAAGACTTGCGCCCTGAACATAATGTGGATTGCTCCTGTTCCGTAGAGGGAAAAGAATGCCGATGCCAGGAGCAGGAGCAGGATCAAGACTGGGCTGCTGACTGGCAGTGGGTCGAAGAACACAAGGAGCAACTGGCCCAGGAAAAGAAGGCAAACGAGGCACTGAACAAGTCCATGAGAACGCTGTCTCTTGAAAACAAAAAGCTGTCCATGGATCCTGCGGCGAAAACTGACCAGCTCAATCTGCTCAAGAAAAGAGTAAAGGTTTTGGAGGACGAGCATCTGAAATGGACGGATATTGTTCATGGTATGCAACTTGCCAAAAAGGGTCTCCGTGCGGAGATCTCCACAATCGAAAGATCCGCCCGCCGTATCCAAAGATTCATGCAAGAGGTCACCCCTCTTCTTAGCATCTATTGGGAAGAGATGCTTTATTGGAAGGAGGAAAAGGAGGACGTGGAGAAGCGCAGGCAAGAAGAACTGGACGATGTCGAGATGTACCTCTTGCTGGAGAAGCAGCAAATCCTTGCCGAGCTTCACGAAGAATTCGGTGGAGGCGACGACGACGGTGATGACTGGACGCAGCAATGGGCTAGTGACTGGGCGTGGGTTCAGGCCAACAGAGACCATTTGTCAAATGAGAAGCAAAAGAAAGAAGGATTGATCGAAGCCATTCGACAATTGGTTCTAGACAACAAGAAACTGGGCATCGTGTACCAGAGAGAGGATGGCAAGCTGCAAGAAGCCAAAAAGACGGTCGATGCGCTACTCGAGGAAAGAGACAGATTCGTGTCCATATCGAACGCTTTGGAAGTGGCTACCACAGAGTTACAGGTTGTGATCGCATCGCTCCCGGTTGCCGATTCTGACGACAGAAAGTGTCCTCCCAAGGACGAACAGTCACCTGTTGGGGGCGAAATCACCGTCACTGGCAGCGAAGACGAGGTGGGAACAGAAACGGAAGGGGTCGAGGGAAACAACGGCAGCAGCGACAATGGTCACGACGAGGTGGGGAGCACACATAGCGATAGTAGCGATAGTCAGGTCGCCGACGGAGACGAGACGGACATGGCGTCGACTTCTGCCAACCAAGAATCTACAAACGAGGGTGCAAGTGACAAACACAAATCGGATGACCATCATGCCAAACGAAACAAACGAAGCAAGCCAAGGGGTTCCTATTCATGGAGGAATCACCTCAAACGGACGAATTCTGATCCGCAGTTAAACGTAAGGGGCTCGACGGGTGGCTCAGAAACCTCTGAAGAGGGGAGGGGTCGCGAGCCGAATCCAACTTGGAGCAGACCCATCGGCGAGGACCCACGTAACGACATCGACATCGACAACGGGCGTCCAGAACAATCGCGCAATCTCGTCGATCCTTCAGTAACTGGAAACACTCCTCCAAAACAGACCAATGCTGTTCCTCCCATGCCGACGAAGGTCACAAGGGTCAGCGACGAAGAACTGCCCAAGCAGGAGACACCGGCCGATGTGAAAGAAAAACGATTCAGCAAGCAGGGCAAGAGTAAGAGCGCAGACGATGCCAACTCAACGAAAGGACACCTGCAATGGATGGAGTCGGCTCCGCTTTTGTCTTTGGTCACTGATGCCCACAGCTGCGGTTCAGTTTCAACGAGTAGCGAAAGCCATCGAGGCGCAACCAAGAGCAGCGAGGCTGCGAAGAAAGAAGACAAAGAAACTAAGAGCGACAACCCTGCGAAAGAGGAACGCAAAGAAACTCAAAAGAAACAGCACATCCAACCAGGTGTCTCGTCTCCATCACTACACCCACTGGAGTCGGCACCACTTTTCGCAATATTCAATGACACAACAAGTTCCGAGCACGTTGGGACTGATGCGCAAGGTAGCGGTAGTTGCAGTACATCCAAGAAGAGCAAGATTGAAAGTGACAAGAAGGAAAGCAAAGAAACACGCAAGAAACGCGGCAGTCGGGCCGTTTTGAAGCGAAATGACTCTGCTCCATCTTTTTCTGGGAAAAGTCGTAAGGAAAAGAGCTCAGGTTCTGGAAAAAGGGACAAGGGGAAGACGGATGGGGTGTCAAGAAGCCGCAGTATGGAGGATGGGATCAAGTTGACAAGCGGGCGAAACGGTCAAAGGAAGAACAAATCAGCGTCAATTACTAGTCTTCAACCCGGAATGAACTGGCGTGACACCGGGAAGAATCAGGGGAAGAGCTCCATCGGTAAAGCGCCAACCATGAACTGGGGCGAAGTCAAGTCAGCCAATGATGTGGGGAAGACAAAAGCAGAGTCAACTGCTCGGGCAGAAGGGCCTGAAATGAAGTTGAGAAAGCCTGAGCCAGGAATGAACTGGGGAGAGACGAAGTCCGGGAACGAATCTGGGAAGAAACAGGAGAAGAGTGCTGGCGGCCATAAGCCAGGTATGAACTGGGGTGAAGTCAAGTCAGATGCTGCGAAGAGTAAATCAGACTCGGCCGCTGGAAGCTCACAGAAGCCAGCAATGCACTGGGATACGGTCAATACCACAAATCATGCTGGGAAGAACAAATCAGAATCAACGCCCATTTCAGATATTTTGGGCATGAACTGGGATGCGGGCAACTCTACAAAGCAACCTGGGGAATGCAAATCACCGTCGACTGTGAGCACACATATGCCAGCGTCTGCAAAGGATGGCACTGGCAAGGACAGCTCGAAGAAATCGGACATGAATCTGGTTCAAGATGACTCCAGCAAGAACTCAGGCAAGTCAGAAGAGTCGAGCGCCAGCACACAACTGCCAGGGATGAACTGGGAGAATTCCAAAGTGCTGAGCGACAAGTCCGAGTCAAGGTCTAGCGAAAGACCCGCCATCAACATGGACAACAAAGTCACGAGAAAGAAGAGCGGTAGAAGCAAAGGAAGCATGAGGCGCAACGATTCGGCTCCTGCTCTGAGTGGATCTTCTAGCAAGCACGACAAGAGTAGCCGCAGCGGGGGTGGCAGAAATGCGTCGTATACGTGGAAGAGTCATTTGGGTGCGCTGGATAGTTCCCCTCTGTTGGCCCTCATCTCGGACAATCGCGGCTCTACGACCGACCCAAACAGCAGTAGTCGCAGCAGCAAGAAACGAGGCAAGATGAAGCGGGCCAAGAGCAATTTCTGAATATCTTTGGTTTGGCAGCGGATTTCTCGGTACCAATGCTTGGCTTGAATCGTCACTCCCAATTCTGCTCATTTTCTGCTGGTTTCTTGTCTCGCAAACGAGCCCTGTGGGCTCAACCACCAATCCTACATGTATTTGCATGTAGCGAAGCGACGAGTAGGTTGGTTCTGTGGGTGGCAAAACATGGATTGAGTCGTCAACTTCTGTGCCTTTCCTAGCTTTGAAGCAATATATTTTGCGACGTTGCCCACTCCTGAGATGGGACGGACTCATCAAAACTTCAACCATTAGAACACTGTGAGACTATTGCAGCTGCTGGGCAGTGCGATTTCAGCATGGATTGAGTGATTCAGTAAATTTGACTCTTGAGCTTGCAATGATGGGCTGTTGGGTGGGCATTGTCTACTTTTGATGGAATCATTCATTCGATTCGTGATCTAAAATAAATGATGTTGCTATATTAGTTTCCTTCATCGTGAGACCCAGGGCAGCCATTCTCGCGTAGCCACTGGAGCACTTGGGTGCTGTTGTTGCAAGCAGCAGTTTGATATGTTCCAACCATTTGCACGAGCCCACTATTAAGAATTATCAAATGGCCATTTTCGGCCGCATGATAACGTGTCTGTTCATTCCATGAACAACCCTTTGCATTTCCAAGTGTCCTTTTGAGGCAGGACAATGGCATGTCTCTTCATCCCATGGACACCCATTTTCACGAGCCCACTTAAAAAGATTTCCAAATGTCCATGTGCAGCAGCAAGATAACATCTATTTTCGTCCCAAGGACAACCATTCTCACAAGCCCACTTCAAAATCTCCATATATATGCCCATGGAAAGCAGCCAAAGCACATGTCCGTTCATTCCATGGACAACGGTTTTCGTGAGCCCACTTTAAAATTTCCAAATGTCCACCTTGAGCAGCACCTGAGCATGTCCTTCCATTCCATGGAGACAACTTTTCATGAGCCCACTTTACAATATCCAAATGACCCTTTTGAGCAGCTCCAGCACACGTCTGTTCATTCCATGGACAACCATTCTCTCTTAACCATTGGAGCACTTCCTGGCGCCCGTTTTCTGCAGCTCCAGCACATGCCCACTCATCCCATGGACAACCATTTGTATGCAGCCATTGGAGCAATTCCAAAGGTCCATTTTCAGCAGCATGGGCACATGTCTGCTGACTCCATGGAAATCTTTTTTGCCGTGCCCACTGCACGACCATAATATTCCAACTGCTGCAACTGCATCACAAACATGATCATGATCAGGTGTTTTGTTACACATTGCAAATGCTTCGCTGTAAAGGGTATCAGTGATTTCTGCAGAGCGACTTGGAGAATGTCGTCCAGGCTTATCTTTTACGTTTCTTGGTTTTTTCTGTAGTTCAATGTTGCAGTAGTATGTGTACAGTTGATTAATTTTCCTGTTCACAGCTCCAACAAAAGCATACTGTTCAACACAAACAAACGATATAATCCAGCCACTCCAAATCAAATCGTCAGCAAACAAAGAGATTGCACGGTAGCAGACATCTTCATTTTCTTGTTGTTATTGCTGTTAGCACTGTGATCGTCATTTGTAGCAGTGGTGCTATTCATGATGCTGCTGTGGTTGTGGTGGCGCTTTTTGCTGTTTGTAATAGTAAAAGATCCCAAAGCTTGAGCATCCCACCAGCAGCAGGTCCTGATACCTCTAGCTAGCTACTAGCTATTAGAGACTCTAGCTAGGGTCGATTGGTGTTAGCAGTTCTGCCAGCTTGAATCGAATCGTTTGAGAGCCTCCTTCAACTTGTCGGTGTTCCGTTTTCCGTCATCGGAAACTGCACCACAACCCTAAGTTCTGGCGAAGCAGGCGAGATGAAGTGAACTGCCACCTTTTTACCTTTTGCTTCCCTTGGACGTGTTACCAGTACCGGTCCTCTCTTCCGACTTCCAACTTTTCGAGTGTGCAGTGTGCAATCCTTTTTCAGCAAATGGTTGGTTTCCACCTCTCTTATGTTGCAAGCCTTCTCTCTCTGAACTCTCTATGCATACCGGTAGCTTCTCTAGTCTAGCTAGAATAGTAGCTACTATCCAATCTAATCCACTGTTGTTGGAATGTTCTGGAGCAAGCACGCAGGGTGTCTTTTTGCATCCTAACTCAATACTGATTAGCTGGTAGCCTGAGCAGTCTGAGTAGCTACCGTAGAGTACCGTTGCATGCCCTCGAGGCCTCAATTCCAACTAGTTTTCCTTCTGAGCAATACTCTGTGTATGTTTTAGGTCGGTTACCGCCTTCCAGCCTCCTCTCTGGTACGGTACGGTGGCTACATTGCCGGCGAGCCAATCTTATCTGCCGGTACTGCTACGACAACGAATTAGCTACTCGAGTAGCTACGTGCGATGTTGCCATGTTGCCATAGGTTCTGTGGGAAGAACGGGGGGCGGTTGCTATGCTGTGTCCTTGTGTACTTGATGTCAGTGAGTGGCTTGCTGTGATGGATCATGGGGCGGATCATGGTGGTTATTGCTGTGGTTTGAGAGTTGTTGAGAGAACAGGGCAAGTTGAACCATACGAAGGCTCACTCCGAGCTCGGAGCCTACTAGTATGAGCCTACAATATACTAGTAGTAGCTATTTTAATAGTACGTGATGTTCTTTTTTTTGCAAGTGCCCCTTCCCTCTTGCAACAATGATGCGGTAATTATTCAGTGGTTTCCTATCAGTAAACTTCAACGACTTCGTACGACGCACCGCATCATTGTGAATTAGAATGATGAAATTGATGTTAAGAATTGACACCGTTGTTCTACTTGAAGTAGAGAACGCGAATGCAGCTTCTTTCGTAGCCAAAGTTTCCCCGCCTCTTAATTATTCCACGGCAATAGGGGCTTCTTGTTTCCGGATGGTGCTTCTAGCAAGCACACTTCGATTGTACAGGTTCAATCTGTTGGGGAATCTAAGGTTTCTCTGTCCCTGGATAACATCTGCACTAACTCTAACCCTGCGGTGGTACTGAATCTGCTGTAGAACTGATCTCTCTGGAGGCAAACATTTCCGCTGCCTGGCCTGCTTGTAGCAGCAAT